ATTTGGATGTCAGGGTATTTGGTTGACCTGTTGAGAAGAAGATGAGATATAGTTTTATTCTCTTCACTGTTTCATTGAAGGAAAAACTCACCTATAAAACTAAAGCAGAGCGAAATGGTCACCCAAATCTTCAGCGCAGTCTGCTGGGACTGTGGCCTTGACCTGAGCATAACCTTTGACCCAACCTTGAACTTGTTACAGTAAGTTTAAGCTCGACCTGCTTCGCGGATCACTGACATTCCTCTGTTAAAGAGAATTCCATTGTGTTAGGCATTCTTAGGGTGCCACAGCATCCAGGTCTGCGTGCAAAAATGCGGCCATATAGCCACCTTCAAAGCCAACCTCGAGAACTCGCTGGAAGGGAGCGCGGTGGAATTCCACTCCTCTAATCAGTTATTTTCACCGCTCAATTATTCCCAAATTTAGATATCCGATTCATTGTTTTTCAAGCAAGGGACCCAGACGTCGCTTCATTTCCTAGAAGGTCATGGCCTGCTGCTTGTGCAGCTCCTCGTTATGCGCGGGACTGGGACTAATAAACAAGTGGCTGGTGTTGGAGGCAGGGCTGGAGGCTTTGCCGTAAATCACTCTTATTTACTGGGTGCTGCGCACACCTTTGTTTCTGAAGGGCGATGTTGACGTGTTTGGGGAGTGCGATAACGGGTATTTCTCACCATGGCCTTCCTGTTATTGAGCGCTGCCTCTTTGTTTGGCCGCTCTTCGGTTCTCTGGGGAACAAACGGGAGCAAGCGTGCCTGAGAGATTTCAGCAGCAGCACAGAGGATCAGCATTATCACTGCCTCACCTCCACCCACTGCCTCTCTGTCTCTTTCTCTATCTCTCTGTCGTTCTCTCTCTCTCTCTCCTGCCTCAGGCTTAAACTACTGTTCAAAAGTAGATGTACTTGTCATCTTATAATCTTTGGTATCGTATTCAATGACATACAATGTCAATTACAGAAGGTACTTTATGATGCTATATTCAACAATTCATCCATTTAGGAACAGCATGAAGTCATTAGATGATATATAATACTGTATTGATCTATTTGCAGTAATTTCTTGTCTTTTTATCTACCTTCAGATTTGATCACTACTGAAATACAAGACATCGTGGACGTTTAAAGGACCCCTTGAAATCCCAGGTTTATTACATACTAAGGCTTATTATTCAGTAACCACAGGGACTTCAGTGCAAACTGTCTGAGCTATTCTTAGGTTATAGAAGTGTGTAATAAAACTTTGGGCCCACCGGTGGGTCCTGGCCATGTAAGGGGTCAATTTTGTTATGACTTTATTCCCAATGCTGTAGAGCCTTCTCAGTTATTATGAAACCATCTACAGCTCTGTTCATCATTCTGGATGCACCTAAAATTGATTGATTTTGTGCCGTCATATGTAAGTATTAGTTTGGGCGCCCCTCGTCAAATTTTATGTTTTGTTGGTTTTCTAAGTGTAAATTTAAATAAATAAGTAAAAACACACTTCTGCACATGATAATACACAGTTACTGTTTATTTGCTGAATTCAACATATTGAGTAAACAAACTATAACATAAAACATATGCAAATGCAAAAGTTATGGCATTTTGTATTTTATGTTTTATTGTTTTCCACTTTCTTAAACTGAGAAAATTAATACAAACTGTGCAGTAAAACCTGTATGCATATGCCATATTGAGATGTGTTCTCTGTAGAGGATGTGTTAGTTTGTTTCTACTTAGAAAAATCAACAAAATGTGACCAGCGGTGTTCAGACTTTTGCATTTGATTATAAACAACCAAATTGCTTCAACATGTTCAAAAAATTCAGTTGTCAGTCAATACTATATTTCAGTGCCAAAGGACTCTCTTATAAAAATGGTTCTTCAAGCGTTCTTTGGTGAAGGCAGCATTTACATAGAGCCATGATCACTCGCACGCATACTTGTCTTTTTTTACCACAATAACAAAAAAAACTGTTGTATATTGTTCTTTAAAGAAACCTTTTTTTCTAAATGGTTCTATATAGCACCAAAAAGGGTTGTACTGTTGTTACAAGTTGTATAAAACATCATAGTTTCGTTTTTGTACTAAATAGAACCATAGAGTGTATAGAGTGTGGGAAGACTTATCAGTATCAACAGGCACTAAAAATACTTGTTCCAAAATCTAGACAGGTGATTGACTGTCTAAATTACAGTTATACATGGACATTGTTAGTCATAAACATGCTGTGCTATTAATACCAGCACTCCTGAAATTTTGGCTTGTTTGATTGCAATTAATTCCACTGAGTTGAGAAATTTTATTTTGAAAGAGATTATGGTAAAATGTTGAACGATACCTAGTCCTATGTATCAGAATTGATTTATGTCACTAAAACAGTTGTCAATTATGTTATGGAGTCAAAATGTGCAAACAATAGAGCATATATTGTCCTGTCTGTACCCTTCCATTACTGATCACAACCACCCAGGACTTGCCATGAAGGATTCTTCAGACACTCTAATGTTGCCAAGGGACACTTTCATGTAGAACTGATCTTGAAGGATAAGATTTAGACTTTCTGATCCACTGAAAAACAGCAGATGTCTCAGATGTTAGCTTTCATAAAACGAAACAATAAAAGCTGCCTCTGTCATAAAATCAACGTCCGTAATGCCCTCTACGCACTCTGTAGAGAAAAGCCCAATATCATGAGTAAGAAATAAAGGTTTTTGATGAAATATTGATTTTTGCATTTGAAATGTTTGCTCATTAAGGGACATATATATAAGCAGTAAGTGTCAGAGTCTCTACTGCTGAACGCTGCAGTCTGCAAGCCAAATCTTATACAAACACCAAATCAATGCTTATTACATCCAAGCACAGCTCCTTCCAGACTGACCGGCTCAAACCCCGATTCTGAAGCTCTAAAACAATTGAACATGTTTGATGTATTGCTCACCCAAGGACATATAAATACATTTTCAAGAGCTTATTCGAAATTCAAGATTCTTTGTTTTCTTTAATGTAAAAAAAAACAAAAAAGTAAGGTCTGTTGAGGAAATTCGGCATGAAAGGGAGGAAAATCTTAGCAGAGAAGCTGTGAATAGACTTTCTCTAAAATAAGCAATGTCAGGAAAGTGACGTTTTTATTGGAAATGTAATATTTATTTAATAAATTAATAAAAGCCCCGATTATTCAATGCAAACCTGAGTGCTATGAAATGTATTTATTTATTAATTTATGTTTTTGGTACATTTTCAGTTTTGTGCATGTTGAGGCCAAATACAAACATATTTGCAGCAAATGGAAAATAAAAAGCATAAAATAACAGCCAGAAGTGACCATGTGTAACCAGCATTATGTTGAATGAAAATACACTATTTCAGCTTTTCCAGTGGAAGTCAGTGTTTGCAAACTGGCCATTTAAAAACATGAATTAGTCCAGAAAAGCTGTGTCTGGCCTGAAATAAAGCCCTCAGTGACCTGCAGCATGCAACATCTTCCTGACTAATTACTGTGAGCTGGTAAATAAATCCGCTGTGTGAAGCGCTGTGTGTTTTTCCCATGTCAGAGAAGCTTGTTTATGCTTAGGTGTTTAGATTTACGCTCTGGGAAGGAAAGCCCAGTGATCTGCGGCTCCGGAAGGTGTGCGTTTCTTTCGGCCTTGCCTGTCCTGTGACGTGTGTCACTTGACAAATTCCAGGAGTTTTTTCTCCTGCGATGCAGACACAACAACAACAGGAAGTAAGGCCATTTTCACAGGTGTCAGGAAGCGCAGGAAATAAACAAGTGGGCTGCTGGAAAACAGCCTCGTTCGAGGGGCTCGGTGAGGTTTGGGCTCCGCTGGGTATTTATAACCTTGGGAGGGTATTTTTGGAGCTTTCTGATCAAGGTGCATCATGTTTAACTGGTGAGAAAGAGGAAGTGAACTGGGAATGATGGGGTAAAACCCTGTAATGCCGAGACAGTTTTTGAACCAGTCTTCAATTTCAGTCAAAGTTCAGAAGATTTGTTCTTTATGTTAAGGTTGGGATTAAAGCTGGGTTTAGGGCTAGTTTTAGAATTAGGTTTGAGATTAAGGTTAGGGATAGAGAGGGTGTTAAATATTTTAGGATTGAGAATAAAGTAAGAGTTACAGTAAATGCTAGATTTAGAGTTATGTTTAAGTTTTAGGTTGAGGGTAGGTTTCAAATGAGTGTTAGGTTTAAAGCTTAGGTTTAGGTTCAGATTTGGGTTGAGATTAGGGTTAGAGTGAGCATTAAGTTTAGGCTTAAGTTTAGGTTTCAGGTTAAGGGGAGGGTTCAAATGAGTGTTAGGTTTAGAGCTTGGGTTTACGATCAGGTTTTAGGTTCAGATTAGTGTTAGAGTGAGTGTTAGGTTTAGCTTTTTGGTTGAGATTAGAGTTAGAATGAGTCTTAAGTTTAGGTTTTATTTTTACATTCAGGTTTTTGATTGAAGTAAGGGTTCGAGTGAGTGTTAGATTTAGGTTCTTTTCAAGTTGAAGAGATAAAAAAATTGATTTAGGCTTAAGTTAAGTGTTAAATTTAGGGTTTAGGATTTAGGTTTAGGCTGGGTTGAGATCAGAGTCAGAGTGTGTTTTTAGGAAAAAAAATGTTGAATTTGGTAGGTTGCCACTGTAGAAGCAAAACCTTATATCCCTAATGATAAATTCACAGGAGAAGCAGAAAAGTTCTTAATGTTTAATGTAAATTACTGTAGTAAGATTTTATTCCAAGTCATTTTGGACCATTTCTATTGGTCTATTTGTCATTTGTTTTTTACATAATGTTAAGGACAGCAGACACATTCCAATTATGAATGTTTTGATATGACAGTAATTTAGCTAAGTGTTAATTAAAGACAAGGTGGAGCTACAAAGCATCTCAAGGACCATTAATATTAAGTGTTATTGAGCATTTATGTAGATGTGTGACACACTGAGTCTTTTTCATGACTTCAAACTGCATTTTTAATTACATATTCATAATGTGAGAATTTACATCTATGCTCAGCAAGAAAACAAAGTAAGATTTTCTTTTCTTATGTTCAGTTTAATTGAATACTGAAGCCCATCCGCACTGCATCAGACCAGGATGGAAACATACAGTGTCTTATTCACAGATGTTACAAAACATTTAAAAGATTTAACTGAGAATCCAGAAGTGTAATTCCACACAGATTAGAGAGGATACAGAACTTGGCATGGAGGAAGAGAAAACACACACAGACACACAGGCCCTTAGTTCTTATCGCCATCTCTTCAACCTGAAAAGGCCTTCAGGACAAATCACGTCACCTGCAGTAACCAAACCAATGCGGACTGGCTGGTGTGATGATTCGGTACAAAAAAGGTACATCGGCAGACTATGATTCAAATAGTTAGTGTGTGGCTTTACATAATTATGAATATTTGATTATATAAATAATGTAATACATTTACATTCATTGTATGCATGTGTTTGCATGTGCCTGTCAAAAAAAGAATAGTGACACCTGGTGAAACCTGGTGACATCTACAATGGACCACATTGATAAACCAAACCCTTTTCCAAAGTTGTCACCAAACCTTTAACACAGTTTATGTGTACACGTACAGCAGGGTCCCAAAGTCTGGTGAAAATGCTTCTATTTTGCATTCTTTTCTTCGACATTTTAACATTAATTTTTTTTAAATTTCATAGTACTTGGTCCTCTTTTGCTTTAATGACAGCAGATCAAATCTACCTGAGTGACAACCGAACACAAGCTTCAGTGGATAAGGGCCTTAACATGGTAAGGATCACAAAATTGCTTAAAGGGGATTTCCATTGTTTTTTTCAATAAATCTGTACGTATGTATAATTTGATTATTCAGATGTAAACAGAGTCATTCAGAGTGGTTTGGTGTGAAATACTCCATTCTAGAGAGACTTACTGAGTCTGAATCATTCACAGTGGTGGTGATAGGAACCAGATGTCTGAGTTTATGCATCCCCACATACAGAATAGTTACAGATACACCACCTGATGCCTGAAACATTGCTTTATGATAGTTTTGAGATAAAGTTAAACCTTATTTTTAATAAAATTAAATTTTAATAAAATTAAATAATAAAATTCCTTCATAGTGGAGGGCATTGTAAGCAAAATGAGTAACCAGTATTTTTCAACAAGATGTGTAGGTTCACTGGTTGTTTTAGATGGTAAATAAAAAGGCTACATTTGTACTGTAGACACAGTTACCCCTGGTTCCCATCAGCACCACTGCAAAGTTTCCCTATAACCAAACATTTTGCATCAAACCACTGTAAATGATTTTGTTTAAAACTCAGTGACTGAATTATGCAAACTTTCTGAAGTTGATGGAATTCCCCTTTAAATTGGAGTAGTGAACAGAGAAACAATGCAGGCTCAGACTTTGGAACCCCTCTGTATGTTTGAGTATAGATGCACAAAACGCTTTGGTATAATATGACATGGCATTAACAACTCATCAAATATTATACAAAACTCTGATATAATATTTATACCTTTTCAAACATATTAAAATATATTCCTTTTTTGTCTTTAATTTACTATGCTACATGTAGACCGATTAGGCCAAGAGTAAATGGGGTTATGGTCAGCGGGGTGCGAGTTTTGGAGCAGGTGGCCGTTCTGTGTGTCCAGCATCAGTGCTGCTGCTGTTGCTGCTGTCTCCATCTCCTGACGCCACCTCATTACCTGCAGAGTAAAACCAGCAGAACCTTTAACATGCATAATTCACACAACCTATATACAGTATCTGTCTCTGTTATTTATTATCTCTTTTTTATTTGACACTTTGCATTGTGTAAACATTTCATTATGAATGCACCAATAGCAATGGTCAAAGAATTTCTTGGAATAAAATATTGTTACATAAAATTTGCAAAATTTTTTTTCTCTTGTTTCTCTTTTTGTTCTCTTGTTTTTTATGACAGCTACAATATGCTATGTAACAATAAGTACACAGTGCTCCATATATTCTTTGTGTCACTGTATAAACTCACTTTCACTGACTTTATGCACTCTGTCTACCTTAAAGGTCCACTGTATATAGTCGGATGCAAAAGTATAGGCCTGGTCAAATGACATGCTTTGTTGATTTTCTAAGTGTGAATATTTTAACACATCCTCTATAGAAAACATACTTCTTTACATTTTAATATACAATAATTGTTAACTAAATTATTTGCTAAATTTAATATATTGGGAAAACTAAATTTAAAAAAAGATAACACGTAAGGTAAAAAACTGAAACTGTGCCCTATAATTTCTGGAAAAATGCCATATTTAAGTTTATTTTCTGTAGAAGATGTGTTAACTTTAACAATACGTGTCATTTGACCAGTGTTCAAATGACACATATTTGCATGTGACTGTAGAGTATAATACAAACTGTAGCCCATGTGTTGCTTCACAATTTATAAACAACCCCCTACTTTATTCACTGTGGGTAAGTTTCTGACCACAGGACTGCTGCTGGCCAGATATTCTTTGTGTGGTGAATCATTCTCAGCACAGCAGTGACACTGACATGGTAGTGTTTGTGGTGTTACGACACACAGTGGTGTTACTGGAGTTACTGCAGTGCTAGGTTAAGACAAACAAATATCTAGCCAAGAGTGGCTCTGTGGTCAGAAACTGACCACTGATGAAGGGCTACAGTCTCTAACTGTACATCAGCATGGTAAGCTACAATAGTGAGATTGCTAATAACCCTGGACAGTAAGTGTACCTTTGATTTTATATGGATGTGGATACTACGACTGAACACAACAAAATCCATTTGGTCAGTTAATCCTTATAATGTACATGTACACATACATAAAAACACATCTATTTAGAATATATGATTAAAGAAGGCTAACCTTCATGTGCCTTGAGCTTGTTAGTCAGTTTTGTGAAGAATTTAAAGCTGAGGCATGCTCCAGTCTCTCTGTCACACAGCCCTCCGCCTTTACAGTTGCAGGTTTTCCGACACTCGATGCCATACGTGCCGTACGTGCAGTCTGGGGTAGAAAAGAGAAGTGACATTAATTGTTCTTCATTATTCTTCATTTAGACAATGTTTTGATTCATCACATGCTTTCTCTGAAAATCATCTGATTGGGCTCTATAATACTGTTTAAATGGCACCACTTATAACAGAAGACAGATTTAGTCACTGCGTCTCTCACAGGAGTGAAGATGTGAAGATTTGCAGTGGCTTAATTCATGATTTATGTAGACGTATATAGTATATGTACAACATACATTATCTGATTTGCAGTTAGGAGTAGGTACACATGCGTTAGACATCAGTTAATATGATTTAGACAGTAGTTAGTATTGCAAAATGTACATACCGCTGCTGTCATAAGAGAAGCTCGTATCTCCATTTTTTGTCATTTTTCAGTTTTTGACATAATTTGAAAAGGGCTGTTGTTCTTTACATTGTGTGTAAATATCATGAAGAATGGACCAGAAAATTACTTGGAAATAAGTCAGATAAGTCAGTAAGTCCATTGACTTACATTAAAAGTAAAGTAGGTTTTTTCCTTCTTCTGTAAATTTATCATTTTGGAGATATGAGGTTTTGTTCCAACAACAGCAATATGGTTGTGTCTGTGTGTGTCCATGTATGTGTACACATATATATCAAAGTATATATATATATATATATTTCAGTTTTTGACATAATTTGAAAGTAGCCATTGTCCTTTACATTGTATATAAATTTCATGATGAATGGACCAACAGAAATGACCCAAAATTACTTGGAAAAAATTCTGGTTCCATTGACTTACAATAAAAGTAGAGCAGGTGTTTTGCTTTTTATGTAAGTTGTCATTTCGGAGATATGAGGTTTTGTTCCGACGACAGCTATATATATGTAGACATTTTTCCCTAGAGGATCTAATTTACTTCAATAGTCATTACGATTTGTTGCATGATGCTACATGCCTATGTTCAGTCTCAATGTGCACATTTTCTTGTTTTACTTTACTCTATATGATCCAGTGCCTCTGTTTAATAACTGCACTATAACCTGGGGCAGACCAGAGGAGGATGGGTTTCCCTTTTGGGTCTTGTTTCCTCTTGTCTTGTTGTGTTTCTTCCACACACTCTTAAACAGTTTTTCATTTCATCTCCCTGAACCATGCTCATTGTGGGGCTACACACACCTACACCTATTTTCAATGTGTTAATAGTTTTCTGGAGATTGTCTCTGTCACATCTTTGAGTTGCTCACTTCCTTGTTATGAAATAGCTCATAGCTCCCAAATTTGTGGCTAAGCTGTGGTGTAGAAGTAACATAATGTTTTACATGATGGCATCATACAACGCAGTTCCATTACACGGCACTTTAAAGGGAGTGTGGATTTAGGCCGCTCTACCCTCTTTTGCCAGTGTTTACAATGGATTCAGGCATTCTGAGACACTTTAAGAACTCATGTTTATTCAAATTTCAGTGCTGCTTACCAGTGTAATCTTTAACATGAACCAAATGAAATACAGTGAATATACAAAAGTAACGTCTGATATGATGTTGAATAAAAGAATGGCTTTATAATTCTGGGCCTGATATGGCCCAACATGCTGTTCCGCAGTCAGAGGTGGGTAATAAATCGTTCCATTTACGTTGTAGTCAAAGAAGAAAAGTGCCTTATTCAAATACCTATGTTAATAGATGCTGTAGCCCATGTTCTGCTATGCAATTTATCGACTACCCTCTACTTTATTTATCGTTGTTCAGCTTTAGACGTTCCACTGCGGTTCTGTGGTGAACTCAGTACTGAAAGAGCCTCTGGACGTGATGCTTACTCATGCTGGTATTTGCTAGGCTGCTTTTCCTTCTGCTTGAGTCATTATTCCACTGAGGTAACATTAGGCTGGAATAAAGCAATGCAGGACAGTATGTTAAATGGAAATACACTTTTAAAACTGTGTTAAAAACAACACATCCTGTATCTAACTAGACACATTAATGTGGTCAGTTGTTACTTTTAACACTTTTCTTTAGCACAGAATGTGTTAAATCAGATAACAATATGACAAAAAAGTGTTAAAACAGGTAACACAAGTAAGTGTGTTGTTATTTGATAGTAACATAGGTGTAAGGACACAACTTCTGAAATTACGCAGTAATTCTTTTTTCAGTTTTCTATTAAGGATAGCTGCTGTAATGCAATTAGCTTGTTCATATTTTTCTCTTTTTTATTTTTTGGGCATCCACTAGTAAGGAGAAGCTGAAATTGATACAAATAAGACTTTCTTAAAGTATCCTTTATAAGCTTTATAAATCCACACTAAGTAAAGTTTAGACAAGACTGTTAAAACTGAAAAATGTGCTTGAAAGAACACAAATACCTGTAAATGTACATTTTTCCCCCATTTTGCAGGTTTCAATCAGAACTTTAAGCAGGATTATCACCCTACTGTATTTTTACTGTATTTCTACTGTATTTTTACAGAACCTGGCAAATCTTACAAGATTTTATCTTATTTTTAATGGATTTTTACTGTAGTTTCACAGCAATTCTACATAGGTTTTGGCCTGTTTTACAGAATTTATACAGAATATTTAATAGATTTTTTACAGAATTCCTAAAATGACAACGGTTTTTAATGTATTTTTTACTCGAATTTTATAGGATTTGTAGCAGAACTTTTACTGTATGTATATATTAATTAATTTACTTGCATTTATTTATTTAATTTATTTGCATTCGGTGCTAAATCTTCACATAACGCCGAGTTTCCTCTCTCTCTCTCTCTCTCTCTCTCTCTCTCTCTCACTCTCTCCGTTACCTCTGCACACTCCGTACTCCTCCCCATACTCGTCTTCGTCCTTGTAGAAGTGGCAGTAGAGTCCAGGTCCGCACTTCACGCCGTGCATGCCGGACACGGTGCGGTAACACGCCTCCCCGCGTCGCGCCGCGCACACCCTGCAGCAACCGCAGTCATCCAGCACCGTGAACGCGCAGCGCGCCCCCGCGGTCCCGCAAAGATCCGCGCGGCAGCGCTCCGGACAGCTCGTGGCGTACTTGGCGCTCGCGCTCCACGCGAGACCCCGCGGCACGAGCGCGACCAACACGGCGGAGAGGAGCACGTGCATCATGATGGAGGAATAGAGGGATGAACGGGTGGATGGACGAGTAAAGGCGGTGAGTGAGGGCGGTGGAGCGGTTTTAAGCGCGCGGGTTTTTTTACACGTGGCCGCGTCAGTTTCCTCAATCCGGTGTTTGCCAGCCACCCACCCCAAAACCAACATCCTCCCCCACCACACCCCGCTGCCCACCCACTAGCAACCCCACCATCAACACTCTGCCCCACTGCCACCAACACACACCAGCACACTGACCCCCACCCAGCCCACCAGCCCCCCCCATCAGCAGAAATCCGGCGTGGAAGTGCGGTTGGAAGCTCGACTGTCTCCAGGAATTGAAATTCGTGCAAAAATGATGGAGTTGGTTAAGTTTAGCGTTGTTTGTTTGAACCATGTTAACCCCTTAAACCCCCCCTAACATCCACCCATACACCCCCAACACACACACAGCCCACCCTCCAAACACAACCACCGCCACGAGTTCGTCACCTGTTCCTTGTGTAACATGTACATAAAGCAAAAGGGGGAAAATAATATGTATATATTTATGTATATATTCCCCATTTATCGTGTATTTTTCTCTTAAATTGCACGTTTTTAATGCCCACAATAGTTTAAATATCCAAATAACTTTGAATTAAATTATTGAATTAAAAAACATCAAATGTAAAGATTTCACTAATATTATTATAACCTCCTGTAATACTGTTGCACCTTTAGGCTGAATTGGAATGATTGCTATTTTGATGATTAACTGTTTTTATACGAATGTGTAAATGTAGTCTACATGTACTCTGACCCTGAGATCATCAACCACAGGTAATAATAATAATAACAACAACAATAATAATTATTATTATTATTTTATTTATTATATATATATATATATATATATATATATATATATATATATATAGATATATATATATATATATAGATAGATAGATAGATAGATATATTATTATTATTTTATTTTTTTTTGTGTCCATCACTATGTTTGGAACGACTTCGTTACGCAAACTCCGTGCGTGCCAGAGCGGCGCATGCGCTGTGCGCGCTTTTCCTCCCATGGAGAACTGATGGAACGTTCGATTCAGTTTACCGAACCGATTCTTTTACCCTGTCCATTTAAATGAATCGATTGTCTGATTCAAAGATTCATTGATTCAAGTCAGCTTCATTCTCATCTCTTCCATGTACCACGAAATCAAACTCGTCTCTCAAAGCACAGTAAGAGACAGGGTGGGGGGGTGGAGGGGTGAGAGGAGGACGGAGGGAGGGTAGTGAAATTCAGAGGCTGAATAGCTCACTCTGTGGCTCAGCAGAGCGTAGCTTAATAATACTTGCATGATTGACAGAGTACTGCAGAGCAATCTGAACAATGCTCTAGTATAAACATTGTTACTTCAGTGGAATAATGATTCAAGCAGCTTTAAAGGCAGCTACCAAATAACAAGTTGAGTAAACAGTATAATTCATTATAGAACTGCAGTGGACTCTTAGTATCTATCACCAGAGGAGCTGAAGTTTGTTAGGCTATATTCTTCTCGTGTGAAGACATTTGTGATTGAAAATGAATCACAGGGATATGATGCACACAGCACAAACAAAACCAGCTCTGATAGACACAAAGAAATAAATTAATTAATAGATATTGTTCTTGAAGGACAGGTGTCTTACATTTTTCAATAACTTTAATAGTTTTCCTTGAGGTCTTCTTGTGGTATGTATGTGGTTTTATGTACCAAAACAGTCTTGATTCATTTTTTTATCACAATTTCCAAACTCTTTTTATCCCTTAGACAAAAGGTGTTTTTTGTTACTGTGCCTTTAAGATTGATATGGGTAAATGGCTTCTGCTTGGACTGACTGCATCATTCAAAAAGCAGTCCAGGCTAAAACACTCCCTATAACTTCAGCATGAATGGGATGGGGCTAAACCGCTGTAGCCAGCTTCGGTGAACATACGCAAATGCACTGACTTTCATGACATTACAGTGAATTCAAAATGAACTGTGTTTGTGCCTTAGTTTGCATATGAGGAGTGTGGGGGGATAAATGGAAATCATTCCATTTACATTTACAATGTTTACATACCATATCAAACCTTTTTATTTAATAAACAGTGAGGAAAATCAGATGACTTACTTGTCTACATTGTGTAATAGGTCATTTTGAGACATGATATTATTGGTTAACATTCATTTTCCCACTGGTACACGGTGATGTAATTAAAACTCAGAAGGCTTTTCAGAGGCAGGCTAAAGTAACTATCTTTACTTTAATTAAAAGTATTACTGGATAATACTTAAACTAGAAACTATAACATGTATTTTTGGCCGTGAACAGCAATCTCGAGCACTAGTTGCTGTCTCTGGGCTCCTTACAAATAAGCAGCACCTGATAAACCCAGAGACATGGTTATGTAACATGAAAGTTCTTTCAGTTGGACTTGTGAATCGATGTGTTGAGAAGAGTCGGTTCAAAAGAACCGATTCGCTCAGAGTCGTTCATCGCTGCCATGGAGCCGCTCTTCATGGCAACAGTCACGGCTGTTCTCACTAAAGCTACCGGTTAGCCAGCGATCAGTTAAGCCTCATTTCAACAGCAAAAACCCACAACTACACCCTGACATCATTAATTAGCACTTGGAGCTAATATTTACGCTCACCTAAACCACGTATAGTTGGCTTGCCGCCCGAAATGACCCATTTGTAAAAGCCGTTTCAGGTCTGTCAGTCGGCTAGCTAAGCTAGCTAACTACCGAAGTCTGACTGGGTGTGAATGACACAGGGAAGAGAGGTAAGACAGGCGTTGGGTTTTTCCTAATGCTGCCTAATTTTGAGAGAAATATTGATGTGGATAGCTAGCTAGTTGTATTAACCGCTTTAAGTAGGTTCACTGAATTGTGAATTTTGAACTGTCACTTGTCATTTGCTGTGTTTTTCGTCCATGTCACCTATAACTTAGCCAGCTGTCTTGTTTCTCGTAGTACAGCTGTCGTGCTATTGCTTCATGCATTGCAGCTTCTCGTCCAGTATTTCTCTGACACGTTCAGATTGTGATTAGATTTCTCTGTGCCCCCCAGTCTGGGGTCTGGATCGGACTATAGCTGAAATGTGACAGTGATGTTGGCGCGTGGTCGCTGTTTTTAGGTGTTTGTGCTCCTCTCTGCACAGCTGCGAGTGGGTGAGAGGGGCAGGATTGCAGCTGGTGTGCTTGTTTTACATGGAAAATCGTCTCTGCACCCAAATAAGCATAAAGAGAATGAAATCAAAATGGTTGCATAGCCTGACCTTGCGGTTAGCATAGTTGGCATGAAAGATATTGAGCCAAATGAGCCAAGAATTACAGTCTTTTCCATCATGCATAGTATGTAGGATGGTCTCCATTGGAATAAAATAGCCTTTAGTGTAGCTATGCGTGATAATAGTGCTACTATGCTGGTGTAAATTCACCATAGCTGAAACAATTAGCCAGATATTGCGATACCAGTCTTGTCTTGCATTAACTAGGCAGTCTTCCAGATGTGTGGTTGGACCACAAGTTGGTTTCTTTACTCTGCTGTACTGATAAATTGCTTTGATAATGAGCTTTATGTCAGTTCTGCTATATAAAACACCTTGTTATGTATCTGGAGATATGATGTGTTAAGACTAATCTTATCCACTTTGCTGCTTTTCTTTCCATTTACATTACTCATAAGTGAGCTACCTCCACCATGTTAGGGTGGGCGATATGGCAAAACTATAATGTCACGATACTTGAAAACATTTTCCTGTTATACAGTACAGATCGCAATATTCTCTTTTTCTGAGGTTCGATAAGTTGGAATGGGGAAAAGTCCCAGTAGTGCCACAGTAAAAAAATACAATCAAACACTAAGAAAACAGTGATTTGTATTCAAAGCTTCACATACTGGGCTACAGTAAAACCACTTAAACAGGGCTAATTACTCTCTCTTTGTAACATGTAACACACAGTTGGTCAGTGTTTAAGTACTGAAGATATCCACCTTGTTTAATCTCCATAGAAAAGCCTTGCCAAGAGAATATAACATTCTCTGGAGTGATGGAGCTCCATCCAGTAACTCTGTGATGAGTTGGAGTGTCTCTTGTAATCAACATTAGTTCCATTTCACTAATGCTCATGGGGCTGAATGCAATCAATTCCTATCAGCAATGTTCAGATATGTGCACTGCCTAGTACTCACCAGAATAATGGTACTTGAAGAATTTAGCGTGAGTTGTTATGGTCACCTTCCAATGTGTTCTGTAGTAGCAGCCTACTAATAGAGTTGCATATACAACACCATATTTGATTTCCGGACAACGTTACTGGTGTTAATCCTTATATTTTAGGATAAAAGTCATTGTTAGTGCTTTACTGTAGGTGCACCTGTCTTTGTTGTGTGCTGGTCTGGCACATAGTCGATTTTATGATGTCCTAGTGACAGTATCTTGTGAAATATGACCAGCTTCCCACAAGGCCGAAGACCTAGCTGTCACAGTTGCAGCAGCTTTGTCAGGTGCTAAAGCGTTCTGGTCTTCATTCTGTCTGGCTCTCTTAGCTTGTATTGGCTTGCTGTTAATAGTGTGCAGTAGGCTCATCATGCTTCAGCTCTGTGGGCGAATGACTGACTTTTGAACGGCTGAATGCTCTTGTAGATACCATCTTCACCCAGATCAGACTCAGATTAGGTTTAGTTTAGCTCTCTGAGGCCAGAACATGGGTTAACTGCTCTGTTTGTTGGAAATAATCTATTTCCAGTTCTTTTTTAATAACATCGAGGTTTGTTGAATATTGAGACCTTCCTCACTGGGATGGAATGGCATGTGCTGAGACAATGGGGACACAATGATATTTAATGTGCAGTACTGTTATTTCTAGCACTTTGTAATAATGTCACTGAATTTCAGTCAAACAAGTTCTAAGATATTTTTTAGATATGCAATGGATTCACTGGTTTCACAAGGTCCCACTGAACTTTCACATTGTAATTTTGTTTTATTTGACCTTATTTGAACTTGTGTATACACAAACATCAAACATGGATGTCAAGGAAAAAAATACAAGAAACATGTAGGAAACAGGTCCTTTAATACTGTGGTCCTCCTGGTTGATAACATATTTGGAGTGTCTCAAAATGCTTTTATTATTGCATTGAATGGCTACCTGTACTTCAAGTCAATCCTAGGTCAAAGGATTCTGTCTGGGTGTACTAATTGACAATGGTATTATATTTAAACTATGTTACAGTTTGTGGTTTTAAATTTTTCTGTTTTTTCTCCTCTTTAATTTCCTTCATCCATATACTTATTAAGACTGGTGAGAAAACAGGAATTCAGAAATAAATGAAGATTATGCCATTATACAAAGCTTTTTAAGGGATGACTGATGATATTGGAATCATATCGAAATCAGCAAATAATTGCTTAAAAAAATATTGGCATCAATCAAATGATTGGATTTAACCAGTCAAATTTATATTTGCTGACATATTTATTTACTTTGGGAGGGCAGAATGTTTAGCTGTCGCTGGACTGCTGTGCTGAAACATCTGCATTTTATTCGTTTTTCTGCCTTTGTAATGCTATAGAAATAAATGTTATGTTTCCCCCTAATGCTAATCCAGGTAGATCTAACCCCAATTTTCTTCATTTCATAAATGTTTATGTATTGGCTTCAGCAGATTTGTGCATGAAAAATATCAGATATCGGCATCCCATTCCCATAACGATGCATCCCTAGTATTTTTCAAAGATAGAAATCCTCAAAATGTATAAGTACCAATCGATTATTGCTGTTAAAAAATGACATTAAAACACTACGTGTGTACGTGTATTGTTTTATATGTGTAGTGTTTTTTTTAATCCAGTGTCATGATAAAAGATTAGATATAAGCACACGTCAGCACACTCCTGTGAGCCATCATTTTTATCATTTTTTGCTCTTCTTTATTTAATATTTTATTCCTGTTTTTCTTGTGAAATATTTTTAAAGCTTGGTCTCTTCTCTTATTTTTCAAATATGATCTAAAATTAGCTGTTTGCTTAATAATAGATATTTATAGTAACATGTTCTTGTGGTAACGCAGACTGTAAGGCTATATGGTCATTAGGCCTATAATGAAGTTAGTCCTGTGAGCCCCTCATTAGAGTTTTTAAAAGGTCTAAAAGTTTTTATATAGAGTTTTTTGTGATTGAATAAAAAAATAGACATTTCCTTTGAAGGGCCCATATCATGGAAAACCAAAATTTCCTTAATTTTATTTTTAATAAAAGTGTTTGATGTAGTGTGTAAACTCCCCAGCCTATGCACTCTTATGTGGGAGCGTATAGAAAAACAGTCTGTTTTGAATATATTGTTTTTGTGATGTTGTGAAAACCCAACATTTAAGTATATCCACGTATTCAGCCTGCAGCAGTTAAGACTCGCCCTTTTGTGCTGAAGATATAGGTTTTTTACATATTTCATTCTTATAGGCACAGTAACAAAAACAGTATGTTTAATTCTTAGGGATAAAGAGAGGAATTGGTCATGCAAAAATGAATAATGACTGTTTCTGATTCATAAACCCACACAAGCGTCAAACGTGGACTTTTGGAAAAATATTAAATGCCAAAAAAATCGAAACACTTTTATTATTGTATTGAATGACTGTCAGTACTTTAGAAGCAAAAACCCCCAAAATTCTGTTTGACTGTTTGTATTTACATGGACCGTGTTGCAGTTTTTGTTTTGAAAAAGTTGTTTTTCCACTGCTTAATTTCTTTTATCCATATGTTAAGCTGCAGCCTTAATCTGTGTGAATGAGTGTGAAGCCAGTGGAGATCTAAACTAGTCTGGGATCGTCCCGGAGTGAAAGCTTTGAGATGCTTGGTGTTATATTTTTATACGTTAGGAAACCGTATAGCAGCAGTGGTGTAATAAATTCCTGGTGCAGTGATAAGCTGTGGGCGAAGAGAGAAGGAGTGACATCTCCAGAAGTGTCTGGAGCAAAGACTGCTGGGTCATGTTCCCCTTTGGCCACTGACCAGGGGACAAGAGGAACTCTTGCTAAAGCTTGAGAAGGCCATCAGGTCCACCGACTAGACACAGACGAAACAGAGATTCAAGGCTGCAAATGAATAATCCAGATAGCCAGCTGCAAATGGATAGTTAGCCTGCGACTGAAACTGAATATGTTTGTATTCACTGAGCTTAAACTTCACAGTGTCTTCTCTTTCTCAATCATTTATTGACATATAACTTCTCTACCGGACGGTTTGAAGTAGGCATGGTTCTTTAAATTAGACTAACTTCCACAGCAGATCGACTTTCTGACATTACTTAAAATGGTCTGGGACACAGCGGGCCTTAATAAATGTCCTATGATTTTCATGTTTTAAGTTGGTTTTGATTTTAGTTCAGTGTGTTTTCAGAGGGGCTTTGGGCTGTTACTTCACTATTGCTTTCTGCTGTTTCTGTTGTTTATGGCCTTTTACAAGTTCTGACTTAAAGCCAGTACACTGGCAAGGCCGACAAGGAATATGAGATATTCTACGGCAACTTGAAAATGAATAGAATTCTTTTGCTTAAATTCTTGCTTGGTTGTTGATTATGTGTCATCCTCATCTGGACACCACATAAAAGGTCCAAGGTAAAAACACATTTGGAGGCCAGTTGTCAACCCCCTGTTTCAGTACCGGTTTTAAGAAGCCTGTGGCCTTGTAATTTCTGCTCAGGGGAATCCCCTCTTAGGGGCTGTTCTATTACTTTATTACCTTAAGTGAGGGGTGTTAGATGAGCCCTCAGAGGGTCGAGGGATCAAGTGAACACAAGTGCTGATTCAACAGCAGAACTTGCCCAGAAATCATTGCAACCATGATGCATTTCCCTATTCAAACCTGAAAATAACAGCAGACAAAGCTGTTTATAAGCCATAGCAATAAACTGCTTTAAAATTCTTAATGTTTCAAATCATAACATTCATTTTGCTGGGCTTTAAGTTACAGTCTACTCCATCTGTTGTACATGACTGCTGATAAAAATTCATCCCTTTCCTGTGTTAGTTGGCTTGTTAGCATGCTAAGAGCTACACAGCTAACAAGAGCAAAAGGCATTTCACCACAGTTCTACACCAGGTTTATAGCCAGACATGCAGAAATGCACGTTATGCTCAAACCTCTTAAAAAAGTTTTGCATTGAAAAGTTTGCATAGCTGGCTAAATAGCTTACTTAGGCTTACCTGTTGAGGGCGAATGTGTCCTGTTTGAAAAATCCACTCCTCACTGTCCCCTTGTCCTCTTCTGCCACTCATGGCCACTTGGTAACATAGATGTGAGGCACATCCGAGTCAACGTGGATGAGGGTTTATAAGTGTTTATAGGTTTAACAAATTTAACCACTTTTACAGGTTAATATCATGCCCACAAACATTTTGTATTTTTGTGTAAATGAGTGCCGGAATTTAAATGTGGTTATACTAAATCGTATTTGAAGTCTGCTTCATATTCTTGAAGCAGGATTGAGAACAAAAATCATTACAGTGTTGTTATAGTTTACCTGCTTTACTGCTAGAGGTTGAGTATCTTGAATCTTTCGCTAATGCACCTGTAAATAACAGAAAGTATATACTTAAGCTCTAAATAGATTCTGAAAACTGGCTCAACAAGCACAAATAAAACAGTGTCTGGTGACTGGAGAGAGCCCATCTAAAATTGTGTCCTCCCCTAATCATGGGGAGTAGCACTTGGTCTGTGGATCGATGGAAGCTCCACCTACAGTTTATGACAGTAGGTGAAAGCTCCAGCCACAGTTTATCTGGCAAGCTAAAGCAAAAATCCTATAAAACCTAATGAGATGAAGCACTCTTTATTTATATTCCCTGCATAATGATGAGTTTCTAGTTTAAAATGCTGTGTAACTGAGCTGGACTGTGTTGGTGTAGCTGTTAAAACAAGGCAGGCTTGAAAAGACACCAGAAAATTAGTGAGGTCGGATCCTGATGTTGGATTATAGTTCTGTATCACACGCCACTCCAATTCATCCCATGTGTTGGACGGAGCTCCATCACAGTTCCAGTGCTCCACAGCCCAGTGCCCAGGGGTTTATACCCCTCTGGCTGATGCTTGACATTAGGGGTAGTGACATTAGACTCATGTGTGGCTGTTCCAGGAGTGTCTGAATGAGTGTTCATGTGTGTGTTAGAGACAGACAGATAGAGAGAAGTGAAACAAAAGGAGGAAAGAAAGTGACTCAGAGGGTCAAAGGTTTTCAGTGTATGTCCATTGGGTTTAAACCCCATTCCTGTGTCACTGAAGCTGACAGGCCAATTTTTGCAATGGTGGTGACATCTGAACAAACAAAGACCAAATCAGCAGAGAGTAGTACAGGCTTGCTGACTTCTGAAATATAACTGTGCTTTCAAAAGACAGCACTCACTAAAACACAGAGGTATGGCTGAAGAGTGCTTTCATCACTGAATTTTTTGCAAAACATTTTAGCCTTTGAAACGTGTAGAGGGAATAATGCACTATGACTGCTGTCAAAATGTGACAGTTTACCAGTCCTCAATTAGGAATGTAAATGATTAACTGATTAACTATTAACCTATAAACGAACAATTGTTTGACCTATGTAAAATCGGTTAAAAATGCTCAAACAACGGTTTGTATTTGTATAGTTGCATTGAGCCAAAGCTAGACATCATGGCATTTATGTTCATTTTAAATAGGTCTAGAAACGTGTGGTAAATATAATTCCAGAACTTTAGAATATAAAACTGTCTTTAGCCCATCATTGTATAACCCAGACAATGTTTTAGTATTTGGTCTTATAATTCTGAACATTATAGTTGTCAGACCCTTGGTTTCAGCAAAAATAGGTTCTTATGTAGTGCACGTTTAGTACCGTTTTGGGACGTTTCTTCATATACATGCTTATGCCAGGTTCTACCCATCAGTAATACAGTCCAATACGGTCCACTTTTTAACATCTTGGTACATTAATACAGAATTCAGTTGATGTTTGCATTCTTAAGCATGTGTAGATACCTAGTCAGCTTTTTTCTGGAAGTTTTGGTATTATAATTGATATTTTGAAGGGTCCTTGATTTTAGGCTCACTGATTAACGATTAATGGCTCAGAAGAAATGCCAAAATTTGCATCGTTGCCCAATAATAAGCCCAGCTCTTAGGTGGCTCAAAGAAATGACAGTAGTATCCTCTTTACAAGTGCAAACTCCTTAGTAATGCATCAGTAGTACGCTGGCTCATGGGTGGCTTTTTGAGAGTTGAGTAAGCTTTTGGAGAGCTGAGTAAGCTGGAGACTGATGCTGTGCCAGATTAAGGTTAAATCTAGTGTCTAGTGCATCAAAACGCTAATTGTATGAGGCCTGGTGGCCTAATTCTTCATCATCATTACCATCATCATCTCCATTGCTCACTGGTAGAGCTGAACTCTTCCCTGATGGAGGAAATGTAGTCAGTTCATAGGTCTTTGTTCCCAAAAGAGAATTTTTTGGAGAATGCCCCTGGCTCTGTTTGTGTATGCTGTAGTTGGGACGCCCCAGTGCTTAGCTGGAGAACACAAATCCAGTCTGTTGGTCGGTTCCAAAATGTCCTACTGTAGGGAAATCTGGCGTGTGAGTTTGTTCTTCAGAATTTTTTTTATCCTTGTTTGTTGTTCATGCTTACATTGTGGACCTGTTTAATGAATCTTGAAAACAAACAAGGGTTTAGTTGTTGCACATGTTAGCTTTTACAAAATCCTTGTGCTTTTATAAGATTCATACTTTTCTACACCCTACTTGTATTATTTATTGTAGTGTATTGTTTATTGTATTTATGTCTTATGTCAACTTTTGTACTGTGGTCATCTTATCCTGTTGTCTGCTGTTGTTTTGTGTTAATTGTAGCACTGTGGTTCCAGAAGTACCATATTTTGTTCTTCACAAAACACTTTGCATGAGAGGAGTGACAATAGAGGAATGACATATTTAATTGTGTATACTTTGGAATCTTAGTTGTAATTTATTACCGTTTTTTAAAAGTGATATCAGTGTCATTTATTATTTATAATCATTATTTAAAAAAAAAAAATAGAAAAAATAAATAAATTGGTGTATAGTTTTTTACACTGTACTGTGCATTAAGTCTTAGTTCAAAAACACAAAACACTCACACATTGGAGTAAATAGCCTACAAATGAAGAATACATTGATTTTTTGTCTTTTTGTTTGTTAGCTTATCCATTTCCAGGCCTCTCCTTCAGGAAGACCAGTGTTTAGAGTTACCATCCAGTACCTAGTCAATCCTTCATTAAATTAAATCAGGTGCTGCTGATAGAATTTAACAAGTCTATACAACGGCTGGAGTGCAGCGCGAAGTTAGGATCTGTATTCTTCTATCCAAAATATCAGTAATAACTTTTTTAAAAAACAAAACAATTTTCTCTCCCTCCCTAGCTGCGTGCCCCCTGTGTATGTGAGGATAATGTGCAGCGATGGTGCCTTGTCAGACCCACGTGATGCTGAAGTGGCAGGAGCACTTGAACAGCTCCTGGGCGGCGGAAGACAGCGTACAGACGGCCACACGCTCCGGTGCCGCGTCGCTCTACACCAAACTGCTCCACAACAAGGAGGTGCTGGGCCTGGCTCAGCCCGTGCAGGACCTGATGGGGCCACGGCTGCCCGACTTTCAGTATGAATCTAGTGCCGAAGAGGAGAGGGAGGAGTACCTTTCAGCTCTGCTGCATAGCCAGCGCTGCCTAGCCCACCGTGTTCTTGCCCGCACGCCTTATGCCCTGTCCCTCCACCACAGGCTGGCGGTGCTCCAGAGGGTGTACTATGCACTCCATAGCAAGTACCACGACCGCTTCCGCACTCCGCCTCCACCACAACCAGCCTCCTCCTCCTCTTCTGGCACAGAAGGGGGCGCCCTGGAGCCCATTTCAGAATCATGGCAGGTGGCTGGATCCCGGGTGAAGTCCGGCACGGATGTTCTGATTGAAATGGGTGTGCGGACAGGCCTGAGCCTCCTTTTTGCTCTCCTGAGGCAAAGCTGGCAGCGTGGGCGACTGGTAAGGGTGGGAATCATAGGGTACCTTGGTATAAGATACTATCACTCTGTGGAGCTCACAATAACAAGGGCTACACAGTATACGCACAATATTGGTATTATATACAAGTATGTACGTGCAGTGGTGATATTATCAGGCTAATACTCCACAAGATCAGGATAATGATGAATGAGGTGTCTGTGAATATACATTGCACCCTTTATTTTCATGAGACAGTTTATTCATACCCTCAGTGTTGTAAAACACAAAGTGTGGGCAAACTTAAAGTTGCCAGTGCCCCTTTAATTAACTGTGATTTTTTTCTGCCCTTTATAACAAGTCACATGGCTGCCCCCTTCTCAATTTCTTCAGCGCCCCCTAAAGGAGATAGGAAGTATTAATATTGACAAGTCTGATAAGTGGTGACAGATTGATAACATTGAGGAACAATTGTGATATATTGCTAAATCAATTTTTGTCCCACCCCTAGAGTCTGGAAGATGACCCGCCTGATGTTGCCCTGTGTAACGAGGTGCTGGGCACAGCATCCTCCGTTCTGGCAGCCCTGCCACCGCTTTCGCTGGCTAATGAAAACAAAATCCCAGCGGTGGGCTTGGACTGCCTGGCACAGGTATGATAAGATAAGACAAGACAGGATAACATAAGACAACATTGCACTGATCCGTGCTGGGAAAATAAAATGTTAAAGAACCATGAATCATACATTCCAAAGTGGGTATGAAAGTAAATAAACAGGTAAAATAAATGAAATAAAATAGATTAGAAAAAAATAGAATAGATAAAATAGAAGTCAAAGTCTTTAGAACATTTTGTATCTCTGAAACAAAACAAATGTGACAAAAACATTTTTACGATAATGATGAGACAAACATATGAACAGGGCTCTACAAACATATAGATTTATGAGTAAACAAATGTGAAGGTGAGCGACTTCCTGAAGAAGACGGCAGTGAGTGGTTCCTGGGCAGACCGGGCCGGACGGCGCTTGGCTCTGGAGCTCCTGCTGGGACTGGCCGTGCAGAGAGGATCCCTACGCTTCCTCCTAGAATGGGTGGAGGTGGCACTGGCAGCATCAGCTTCATCTTCTTCATCATCCTCCTCCTCCTCCTCTTCTGAGCCTTCAGGTGTGGGCTATGAGCTGATCAGTCAGATCCTGCACCAGATGAGACAGTATTCGGTAAGTTTGAGTTTGAGTTACTCAATACGATGAAATGTGCAGAATTGGCCTGGGGGATAAAATGCTAAAGATTATTCAAAATGTTCTGGTATTAGTGTATTTTTGATAAAGATGATTGTTGTTTTGTTAGCCCCAAAGTCATGAACTTCAGGACAGTAGGTGGCGATGTGCCTTTTACTCATGAACTGGGGAGGGAGAAGAAATCTAGCCGTTCATTCACAACAGAGAAACCAGCGAGACAGTTAGCAGAGTTAGATGGGTGCCACCAGAGTTGGGCTTAAGCCCTGAATGTTTCTAGCAAAGCACCAAGTCCTTTTTCCCCTTTGTTTCATTAGCTACAATGCACATCCTTCTAATTCAGCAAAATCCTTTAGAACTGCTCCTTGTCTCAGCCCCGCCCACTACAGCATGCATGTTCATTGTTGTGGTAATGTACCAAGCTGAAATTTGCTGTTTTCTAGCTACTTATTCCAATTTTTCATTCTACTCTAAATTTGGGCAGTTATATTCTGATGGACTGTTGCCTTTGGGCAAACTGCTGCAACATTTACGGTGGGATGGAAAGTTTAAATATGAGCCCTACTGGAGAAAGAGGAAATAAATAAGGAAAAGGGGAAAGTTATAGGTATTTTGCAGAGATAAAATACAATAAGGGAGTCATGAGAAAAGGGGAAGTTATACGCACATGCGAAACTACATGTGTTTTTTATTTAGTGACATTTTGAATCAGCTTTTTCTTAAACATGTCCAAAGACAGTCTGCAAACTATCAGGTGTGTTCAATACCTTATCCAAAATAGTGTTTATCCATTAACACACATATGTTCCTAATTTTAGAAGCATGTGGTAACTTTAAATTAACGGACAGTAGAGATTCAGGCAGCACCAGGGAGGGGCTTGTGGAGTTCAAACTCCAGATATCCACTAACCCTAACACTGCACCTGGCTGTTTTCAGTGTTGAAATTATGTAGATTACTAAGGCAAGCGTCATGCAGCAAGAGGATATTGTGGCAAAAAAGAGCACACACCCTCTGCAGTGTGGAAATGTTTTGGTTTTCTTACATCATTTTTTTCCAGGGTTGAAAATGCTGTTAGACATAAAATTGACCATTAGGTAATGCATGTAATAAATAGCGATAATTATTTGATTTGTGAAAATGTATTGTGAATTAGAGGTGGGCAGTCTGATGATATTTTAATCAATTTTATCAATTAAATCATTTTCAATTTTGATAAATTATCAGTTTTGTTACAGTGATAAACAGCATGCTTTTCGGAGCACATTGTGATTACATACTTAAGAAACCCTGAATAACTTCATGCTTCTTCATGAAGAGAGCTTGATTAGTTCTGTTTAACTGGATTTAATGCAGTACAGTATGTAAAATGTTGAATAAAAATCATTGTACCTAGAGTTTTGGGTGGATGATTTAAAATGTGGCACTTCTAGTGCATTTTATCTGTGCGTCAAAATATTGTGATATTGTGTGTCGTGAAAATGGCTTTGATTATCGTGAGATGATATTTTGGTCATATTGCCCACCCCTACTGTAAATAGATAGACAGCCCTGGTGCAGAGCCACTGTAATGGCAGCAGTGGTTTAGTAATGTACACTGATGCTGATCAGATGTGTGCCTATTGACTAATGATGTGTAATGGATGTTAAATGATATGTATAATGGATGCTGTATGTAAAATGGATGCACACACAAACCCACCCACAGTCATACCCAGTATAGATTTACAGGAAACACTGTTATTCTCAAGCTAAGTCCTTGACAGCCCTTGGTGTCCTTTATGGTTATTGGCCCATTAGTGCATTAGTCCCTTTAGTTTTCTGTATAACACACCCATCCACTGCTGTGAATCTCAAGGAGTGCAGGCAAGGCCCAGCCTTTCTCCTTATTCTAAATCTGATTTTGCCTTTTATTTGACTGAGCGTTCTTGGCTGCCTGCCTGGTTCTGAAAGCCACTGGCCGGAGCTAGTCTTGGCCTGCTGTGTGTCTTTTCCAGAGATTTATTCATGTCTTAATCAATAACAAACGCTCTGGCTGCCACAAGGCTGTTTGTGCAGAGTTCAGATGCCTGCCACTGTTATTCTCCGTTGAAGAAGGACATTAGAACAGAGTAAGAACAGGATTTATATATTGCAGGATAAAATACTGATATAAGTGCTGTAAGAAAAGACGGTGTCAGCATTAATCACCAAGAAATACTTCAGTATGCAGTTCCTTTTTTCTTTTTGGTAAAATTGTAAACCTGCTTAGGCAGAGCTGAGTGTCTGGAGCATTAACCTGACATCTTGTGCAACTGGCATAAACTCACTTCTGAAAAAGCTGAGACAGTATGTGAAATGCGTATATGAACACAAAGTAGTGATTTGTACAGATCCACTTTGACCTGTATTTAAACAAAAAAGTACAAAGAAAAGATATTTAATGTTTTACTTGATCAACTTTGTTGGTTTTTGTAAATGTGCGCTCATTCAGAGATAGATGCAACAAGTTCCATAAAAGTTGGAACAGGGACAGTTTAAGACCAAGAACACTGTGAAGTGTTAAATATATATTTGTATAAACAAATGATGCAGTATTGAATAGGTATAAAAGGGGCATGCAGGAAAGGTTTAGTCCTTCATGAGCAAGGATGGGTCAAGGCTCTCGACATTGCCAAAAAATGCAGCAGCGAATAATCCATCAGTTTAAGAACAGCGTTCCTCTATCAGCGATTGCAAGGATTTTAGCTATGTCTGTATCTACAAATGCAAGTTAAGACCATACTTTTCACAGTGGAAGCCAAATATTAACAACATCCTGAAACACAGCCGACTTCTCTTGGCTCAAGCTCTTCTAAAATCTTGCATTTACAAATCTTACATTCACACATTGGAAATGTGTATTGTTTTGTGGTGAGTCAACCTTTTAGGTTGTCGATGAAAACAGTTAGTGAACTCTTCAAACTCTGGGTCAAAGAAGAAAAGGACCATTTAGATTGTTACCAGGATAAAGTTCAAAATCCAGGGTCTGTCGTTGTATAGGGGTGTATTAAAGAGTAACTTTGTTCAGCACAGCATTGAAGGCACCATTAATGCTGAAAGGTACATACACATTTTAGAACAACATATCTTTTCCAAGGATGACCATGATTGCAGCAAACCACATTCTGCATGTGTTACAGTAGCGTGGTTGTGTAATCAAAGAGTGCTCAGCACTTGTGCTGAAATTTGTGATGTTATAAAGCACAAAATATGACAACAGACATCCCATATGGTTGAACTGACTTAGCGGAAGAATGGCAAACAAATTGCGCTTTTAAAACGGGATCAGTGTTTTCAGTCTTGATTTGTGACAAATGATTAGTAAGTTTTGTTGAAAAGTGATGTAGCACTGTGGGAAACATGCTCCTGTCTCAGCTTTTTTGGAATGCATTGCAGACATCAATTGGAATGAGTGTATATGTACAAAAAAGCAATGAAAGTTCGTAAGACAAAACATCAAATATGTGTTTGTTTACTGTTTTCATTTTATTGCAGGTAGAACAGAATTTACAATCAATGCTTTCTGTTTTCATTAGCATTTCCTGTACTGTCCCAACTTTTTTGGAATTGGGTTTATGCAATTTAGTAAAGAGTAACCGAAAAGGAAGACAGTGTCAAATAATTGTTTGTTATTTTGGTCATTTGAATGATGAACCCTGTTTGATGGTTTATGTTTGTGATGGAAATAACAATTCTTATAACATAGTAATAAACCATTATAACTTTCTTTTTTGTTGTTGTTTGCTCACAGGGTTTCCGTGGTGACTTCGTAAACACTCAGGTGCTTAAGAAGGACGCAGATGGACTCTGCAGTCTTTCACATGTAGCGCTCTGTCTCTTCGAAGAGGTGTGTGTGTGTGCTGTGCGCTTGGCCTGGATTAAGGCCTCCCACAGTTTCCTTATGTTGTTGCTTCATTTAGAAGACTTTGATGATCCGACACGTACAATAAACATTGCCAAAATCCCTGGCGTGCTCTGTCAGGCATTTCTTATACTTTGATGGGGGAATTTAAAGTGAAAGTTTGCAACTAGGCAGAAACTTATACTGTCTTTTTGTTTGTCTTCAGTGTAAAGGATGTGTGCTGTACATAAACTCTAAGCTTATTATTCAGTTAATAACCTAAAAGAGTTGTCTTTTATTCCACTAGACTAGGAACACCCCTTCTATTACTAAATCTTGTAGATGTTGTGTAAAACATTGTTAAAGTTTCAAAACTGTTCATGCCCCAGTTCATACACTCTGTATATGTAAACTAAGTTGCGAGAACAGCCTGTATAGAATGAATCGTTTCTGTGATGTTATGAAAAATGAATGCGTTCACCTATACCCACCATTCAGTCTACAGCAGTTTAGCCCTGCGCGCTCACATTGAGGTTTTAAACTGGACTGCCTTTTGAATGAGGCATCATTTACATGTATTAGTCTTAATGACAGTAACAAAAAACAACCTGTTAAATGCTAAAGTATGGAGGTTGGAAAATGATCATGTAAAAATGAATTATAACTGATTATAACTGATATAACTGAAATATAAATATATAAACATACACAAATGGTATCTGTGAATCTTGGGAGAAAACTGTTGAATGTGGGGCTTTAAGTCCTATTATTCAGTAACTAGTATGATTTATTTAGTAACAACTATGAAACTATTGTAGAAGTTACATAGTTATGAAAGTGACAAATTGAAGTACACTGCTACATCTGTTAAACATGCCTACTTGCATTGGTGCCACAGCAGTCTCTAAAGTGAGATATCCTGGTTTAAAGACTGGAAACCCCCTTCTCATGATGAATCTTGAAGGTGGAAGTAAATTATGAAAGACTGTAAAGTTGGAGGGAATACTTAAGGGCAGGTTGTTTGATGTTTTTTCATTAGCTGGCTAATTCTTTAACTGAGTTATTCCTGTAACAAAGAAATCAATGACCAATTGAGGTTTGTGCTATATCATTAATGTCACCACAGATTTATCTATTCGCCTCTAGATTAGTGGCCGTCAGTCGCTGTGTTATGTATTTGGGTAGTACATATTGTAGTGAGTGAGAACTGATGTACAAAAACACAAAAAAGGTTGCAAAGTTGTGAATTTAAACCGATGAGGCTGAGATGTGCAATGCTGCACTACAGAATATTTTTTTATGCCAGAATACTTCTTTAAGGACAGATTACCCTTTGCAGTTTAGCAGGTGGATTACATACATGTATTAAACATTTTAAAAAAGACACGCCCAATGTCCTGTCGCCATGTTAATTGCATTTATGTATAGTTTTTGTTGAATTGTTGTAATATATTCTCTCCATTTTTATGTGTGTTCTAGATTTGTGCCCTGGCGTCTAACTGCCTCTGCTCGTGCAGCATGGGCTCGTCCTCCCCTGGCTCTGAGGGCGATGCAGTGAAAGTGTATGTTTGGGGCAGTAACAGCAGTCACCAGCTGGCTGAGGGAACTTTGGAGAAGATCCTACAGCCCAAACTGGCACAGGGCTTCAGCGATGCGCAAATGGTGTGTCTGCCTGAGTGTGTGTGTGTGTGTGTGTGGTGTCTGCTCCTCAGCATGCATACACATGCTCATGTGTTAAAGCGATAGTTCAGTGAAAACTCTAATTTACAGTTTCTACCTTTCCTAAATGTAAGATCAGCCAAGACATATTTGGTGTCTGAACTTTGCTTCCTTAGTTTTGCAGTGGAGCTTCGAGGCTAATAAGTAATGGAAGCTAATAGCCACCAATGGTCAATGTGCAAATTCTGTGCGTGTGTAATCACAAACTTGCCTCAAACTGCATTTTGCTGTTAAGTCATTTTGAATAATCTTGCTTATGTGGCTTCTGACATTGTATAATGTACTGTTGCCTATCATGAACTCCTGTGTTTATACATTTTGTCCATTTTAAAGATTTCTGTGGACAATATGTCATGTCTTGGTTGATTGACTACATTTAATGTACAGCAAAATATTTCTGTACTGGACTCAACTTGCCATGCTTGCTGTCCTAGGATTATACAGTTGTGTGCGAAAGTTTAGGTGCCCTTGTCAAATGACATATTTTGGTGATTTTTTTCTTTTTTTTGGGAAAATAAGTGAACTCATCCTCTCAGACATTTTCTGTACATTTTAAATTTAGCTACTGTTTATTTGCTGAATTTACCATATTGGGGAAAAAAACATGAAATGTGGCCTGTGCAAAAGTTATTACCTGTTTTATATTTCATATTTAACATGTAATTTGATGAGGGGTTGAGCAAACTTTTGCGTACATCCGTATAACTGTGTGATATGAGATTATGTTGCCTGTGACCATGTACCCCTTCAGACCATACTTTGTAGATTTAGTCCTACACTTTGTTGCACTGATGTTTTTGTCTTCCACATCCAGATCTGCAGTGCTATCTAAACTGCATGGTCAGCAGTGGATGCTAAACCCTTTGCAGCATTTTCATTAGATCCGTGAGCCATAGCTCTGGAACGTCAAACACTGTCCCTATAACAGTCATTACCCTTGCTCTAGTACAGTTTGAACGCAACAGACTCATCAACCTCGATTGAATTTACTGACGCACACGTACAATAACCTTTTTTCAAAATTCATTGAACGTCAGCTTATTAAGGGAGATGCAAATGTTCAGTTACATTTGAGCACACATTTGTAAACCCAAAGTTGTTAAAATGTCTTGCTACCATCTTTTCACTAAATTCTGTACATTTTCTCTCCAGTTCTCTGCAACTCTGCAGTTTTGTTTTTTTTTTTTGCACCACTTTGATATACTGGATCAGTGTTGACACTGTTGATAACATTATTAAAATGCTTAGATATTGACCAAATGAGACCTACAGTCTGTTTGCTGAATTTAACATATTTGGAAATAAAAAGTATAACATATTAAGTGTGCCATAACCTTTGTACAGGCCTCACTTTCTGTTTTTTTCCCAATCTTATTTTCAGCCAATACATAGTAACTATGGGGAATGTGTACTTTTGCATATGTCTGTATCCACACTCAGTGCTATTTCTTATTCATAACCATTACAGATTTTTCTAAACCTTTTAGAACAACATAAATAAAAAATTTGCTCAATCCTAAAAAGAGTTTTGTTGAATACCTGTATTTTCTATGGTATGTTAGCCTCTACTTTCATGTTTATGGACTTTGTTACTACAAAGAATTGTATATTAAGTGCTTTAACAGTGTGTGAGTTTATCAGTATAGACAGAAAAAGGTTAGATCAATGCTTCCCTAATATTCATCTGTCTCTTTACAGATTGAGGCAGGTCAGTACTGCACCTTCTCTGTATCAGCTGACGGCTCAGTGAGGGCTTGTGGGAAAGGCAGCTATGGACGTCTGGGCCTGGGAGACTCCAACAACCAGTCTGTTCCCAAGAAGCTGGTGCTGGATCCACCTCGCACCATGAGAAAGGTTTCCTCTTCCAAAGGCTCGGATGGCCACACATTGGCCGTAACTGCTGAAGGGGAGGTGTTCAGCTGGGGAGATGGAGACTACGGCAAACTTGGACATGGAAATAGTGCCACACAGAAATACCCCAAACTAATACAGGGACCCCTGCTGGGCAAGGTGAGGGAAAACAACCCTAGGACTCATGACCTTCTTTGTTTTAATATTAAATCTGTGTATACAGATTCATGATACTAGCTCCAACATTAAAAACTGTCAAATAGTTTAGATTTCGAGTCAATTGTAAGTCAGTATTGTAAGATCAGTGTAACATTTTAGTAGCTCACACCTAAGCTGCTTGTCCGAAGTTTGAGGAGTCCTAGCTTTTCTGTGTGTTTTTAATAAATGAGCATGTGTTCTTTGTTGATACTGCAGCAGCTTAACATAGAAGACAGTTTAGATTTCCTTTTTCTTTGCAAAAACCACAGAAGTGAGCAAGCAGTTGACAAATGCCAAATGTTGTTTGGTGGTGATCATCAAAAGTTGGAGACCCATAGCTTTCCTAGATGTTTTTAATACAAATTTTCTTGTTTTCTATATTATTTTACAGAAACTTAGCATATTAAAACTCTGCAGGTATATCAATAGAACACAAGTAAATATTTGTGTGAACCCCAGCAGAAGACCAGATATTCTGGAGAAACCCTATCCATATGGTCACCAGGAGTCGGGAAACAACTTGACGACACTTAATAATAATAATATAATAATGATATAATAATAATATAATATAATAATAATAATAATAAAAATATTTGTGACAGTATTCATAACAACGCCACCTTAGAAATAATGCTAGCCACTCATTGTTTTCTCTTGCTGTGAGGTTAGCACTCATCAGCTCTACCTTTAAGGTGTTTATACCGCCATTGGGCTTAAACGTGTTTCAATAAGTGCTTTTAACAACAGTTTGGAAAAGAAGACCGTCAAATCATTATTTAGGCAAAACCTGCTGTTCATATCAAGGAGGACACTTTGGTGAACATAAATGTACCAAAAGAAATAGCACATAGCTGTTGTATGCTAGCAAAACCTTTTCTTCTAACTTAATTGAATATGAAACCGTGATTATTACGTGAACATTGCACAGAAAAACTCACAAGTGTGCCCACAAGTTTGAGGTGTTGTATATTTTTTCTATTTCGTCCTTACACACAGAGAGTTTCACTTTACAATACATTAAAGACTGAGCGTGCAGAGTGGGCTTCTATAGCCAATCCTCATTTACATATATCACAAATGGCACTATGTGAGCAGAAGGATGTGAGGGAGTGTGAAATACAGCCAAGCTGTAGGCTGGCATGCTCTGATCATTGTTAAGTTACAGGAGTACTACCCAGTAAGTAATGCCAACATGTCTCACGACAAATAACATCTACTGAGAACCAGTTAGCATGAACTGCCTTGTGTGATTCTCATAGGCCCTCTGCTAGTCTTCATGAATTATTTGTAACGTTAGCCTTTTTTAGGGATGTATTTTATCTAGGTGATCAATGGTGTTCAGAACAGGCTGCCAGCCGTTTAGACAGCAGTGACTGATGAGCTTTTTTCTGCTCATTTGCAACTAAATGGGTTTTTATCACAGCAAACTCCTCAGCGTAGCATATACATGTGTTTGTATGTTGTCTGTCTAGGTTGTTTACTTAATATGCTCACTGTCCACTTTATTACAAACTCCCCTTTTGTAGCTCCACCTAGCTGGTATACTGGCACTTTAGTCTCTCTGATGCACAGTTTGTGTCACCATCCTCTAGCCTTTCATCAATAATCAGTCCGTTTTTGTCCACAGAGCTGCTCTAAGACGGATGTTTTTGGGTTTCTACCTAGCAGTGACAGCTGTACTAACACCCCACACACTGGCAAGCCAGTGTCACTGCTGTGCTGACAATGGTCCACCACCCAAATAATATCTGGTCAACAGCAGTCCTGTGGTCAGAAACTTACCAATGATGAATTGGGTAGAGGGAACCTCATACATTGTGCAGAATCAGACGGGCTGCAGTTGTACATCTATATTGTTGATCTATATTCTTCGGATCTCATAAAGCGGGCAGTGAATGGTAGTACAGCTTAGAGGTTTCTAGTGAACTGCTGAACAAATTAAGTGAATGAGTGAGCGTGTTTGTAATTATCAGTGTATTTTTGTGAATGTGAGTACGAGAATGTATCTGACTGTGTGTGTGTGTGTGTTTTTCTTCATCTTTGTGCTAGGTGGTGGTGTGTGTGTCTGCTGGTTACAGACACAGTGCAGCAGTAACCAACGATGGAGAACTGTACACCTGGGGAGAGGGAGATTTCGGCCGCCTCGGTAACTCTCTCTCTCTCTCTTTCTATATGTGTGTGTGTGTGTGTGTGTGTGTGTGTGTGTGTGTGTGTATATACATACATATATATGTGTGTGATTGTACATAGTGTATGCAAATAAACAAACACAAACACCATAATCCAGAATGCTGTATATCCATTTGTAACAATTTTAGGTTTAGAGAGTTTTTAAAATGAATTACAGCTAATGTTAATGGAAAACACATTACCATTTCTCTAATGAAGGTGCTATTAATAATAATAATATCTTACTGATATTTCTTGTATGTGTAAAGCCCACTGCCAACAACATATGTCATTAAAAAAGAGGTGATCTGTAATGCGTTGTGCAACGAAACCCTTAATCTTTATCATGATTCAGACAGGCGGGATTGTGTGTACATGGAGAGGTGAGATAATGTATATCTTACCAGCGTTTGATGATTTTAGTCCCATCATAATGCAGATTATCAGTCATTTTTACAGACTGTGAGCCCCCTATTTCAGTAAAGATTATGCAAACAAAGTACAGAAATAATTCCAGGGTATATTAATCCCTTGCAAATTGACTTGTCGGTAAAAATGCAATTATATTCTGAGTTATGTAAAGGAGATAGCATGGAGGCACTCATGTTCTCTGTGGCTAAAATCAAGCCGATTCGTACTGTCCTACATCAGGTGTTCCATCCTGAATGTTAAAACGTGTAAAATGACAAAATTACAATTATAGTTTTATGCAGGGATGTTGACTGTTGGCTGTTAATTTCCAAGCTATTGGTAATGCTAATGACACAGTGCATTCAATTAGGACAGTAACACAGATGGTTAGTGTATAGTGGTTAGTGTTAATGAATGGATAAATGAAAACAGATTTCTTATGCTGTACACATTGCTCAGACATTACAGACATCCTATCTGTCTGTCCATTAATCCCCCAAACACAAACATTTTTTCAGTGTTTAAAAAACATACTTAAATGGTAAGAGCTCTGTAACAGTCGGGTTAAATTCTCACTCTCTCTTTCTTTCACTCTCTTTCACTGTCTCTGTTTTTTTAGGCCACAGTGACAGTCACAGCCGGAACGTTCCGACACTGGTGAAGGACATCAGCGGGGTGGGCCAGGCGGCGTGTGGCAGCTCACACACCATTGCCGTGGCTCAGGACGGACGTATCGTCTGGTCATTTGGAGGAGGAGACAACGGTCAGCATTTACACTGCTGAATATGATCCAATTCACACAAATCTCTCAGCAAGACTGAGTCATCTTCTTTGTGCATGTTTCCAACCAAAAACATGTTTTAGAACATTTCAGTCTTTAAAACAGTAATTAAACCATTTGTAGCTTTTATCTGTATTTAAATGCTGAAGCCTAAATCATTAAAATGATTTAAAAAAGAAAAAAAGAAAAAAATTCAGTCAAATTTACAGTTTTTCCTTCTACCCTAAATGTAGTCTGTCAGCCTAGGGACGCATGTTGTCTGAAGCTTGCTTTTTTAATAATTTTTAGTAATAGAATTGTCTTTATTAGGGATAAAGCTATATTAGCCTCTTAGCTCCAGTGTGATCCTACAAAAGCAAATACAGATTTTGCCACGAGGCTGTACACTTTTGTCCAGTTTTAGAGAGGGCAGTGTGTCATACAGTGTCGTAAACCACATATTTGAGAAACCACCAATTTGAGATTACTCAACAACTCAACACAGTTTGATGCAACTTATCAAAAAAATAATTTAGACATGCAGTTTGCACAGTGCTAATTGATGGGTTGTTAGCTTCCATGACTTGTTAGCTACATTGGCCTCGTAGCTCTAGTCTAAATAGGCACCAAACTCACCTTTGCTGGTCGACTACATTTCGGGTAAGGGGCCAAACCACTATAAATGAGATTAACATTCGAAGAGCAGTTGTAGTTAAACCTGCTGCAATGTTGCTGGTATGTTGGAGTCAGTAAGTCTGAGCAGGAGGCTCCAGATGGGATTCCCCTGAATTTTGAACGGTGTCTGTGTTTGTTTTACAGGTAAACTGGGCCACGGAGACACAAACCGTGTGTACAGGCCCAAGGTTATAGAGGCTCTACATGGCTACATCATCAGGAAAGTGTGTGCTGGAAGTCAGTGTTCACTGGCTCTCACTTCTGCTGGACAGGTATTTTTTTTTTCAACAAAAAAAAAAACCTAATATAAATAGTCCAGAGTTACTTAAAGTACAGTTTTGTTCCTTTAAAGTGCATTAAAGTTATTCTAGTATCACTGTTCTTGAACCCTGCTACATATTGTTGACATACCCATGCCATAAACTTGATATCGTGATGGATTTTGTTTAATAAATTAAGTATGTTGTGTTACTATTGCCAGTAATTTTGATGACAGATGCCATAATGTGTCATGGCAGCTTATGCCACAAGCTGATTTTTGCAGTGCGCTCTACATAGCTGTTCAGACATGACACTTTATGAAATATGTCACAAATATTATGTAATTTTAGTAAAGTGTTATTATTACTCCTTTTCCTATGAAGTCTTTGAACTATTCTGGAGACACAAAGTTGACATTTTCTGGTACTACAGGTGCTCATAGACAGGCACAGAATTGCACGTGTCTAACAAAGATTTAACCTTAAAAGTGACAATACACCATTATACACCCACCTTTAGTCTGTGGTTTTCTCTGTGTGTGTGTGTCCTCTTTTTTCAGGTGTTTGCCTGGGGCTGTGGCTCGTGTCTGGGCTGCGGTTCATCTGAAACCACGTCTCTCAGGCCTCGTTTCATAGAGGAGCTGAGCGTCACTAAAATCATAGACATCTCCTGTGGAGACAGCCACTGCCTCGCACTGTCTCACGGTGAGAGGACTGCAAGAACGACACAGAGCTATTACTGTTTCTTATTGACTCACTACACAACTATGACAGCCAGTCCATCAGGAATTAGCTGTGCAGTAATAATGGAGTGAATGGCCTTTGGTAATTGGTTTAACTTGTAGCCCACATTAATAGTAGTCCTGTTCCAAACCAACTCACCAACACACAAATGTAAGTTATTGAGCGTGTCTTGTGGTGAAACTCTGATGAACAATTGAGCTATGACTTTTTAATCCGGACTATGTGTAAGAATTTGAGGAAAAGATATACTATTCTGAATCATTCAGCCAATTGAATCCTGACAGATTACATTACACTGCTTTCTTTGGTCAAACTAATCCAGCTGGAGTTCTGAAGACTACAGAAGAAATTGAAGCTTCCAGTTCTTGCAAGCCAAGACATTGTAGAATTTAGCATTTGATCTGCTTCAACACATCTGATTTAACTTTGAATCAGATGTGTTGAACTGGGTGTGTTAGAGCCGGGAACATAAACCAGTAAAAATGAAACTCAGTGCTGCAGCCCTTCACTACCTGAATTTGACAACATTGGTATGTTTTATGTATAGTTATATTGTGTTGTGTTGTGTGTGTTTTTTTGCAAAGTTTAATTTTTGCATGTCTGATTGTCACATTTTGTCTCAGAAAATGAGGTGTATGCATGGGGTAATAACGCCATGGGCCAGTGTGGGCAGGGCCACACATCAACACCAATCACCAAACCTAAGAAGGTGATTGGTCTAGAGGGGGTGTCAATCCAGCAGATCACTGCAGGAACCTCCCACAGCCTGGCTTGGACTGCCGTCCCCACGGACAGGTAATAATAACTGAAAAAAATGGTAACTGGAGCATAGTTTGATAATCAGTTTTGTCCTGTAGTACCTTATTACCAAAACAAAATAAACAATATTATGCTTTTGTTATAATAGTGTAGTATTATTCTATTGCTACAACTGTTACTAATATTACTACTACTACTGCTACTACTACTAATAATAATAAAATAATAATAATAACAATTTGGCCAAAACAAATCCATCTGACCTATGTAACAAAATGAAATTAGCTCCTGTGGCTCAGTTCCAATCTGTTGCATCTGGCCCAAGTTCCTGCCGCTGCTGCATTAGTGTAATGGATACAGTTTCCAGGATTATGAATGGCAGCTCATTGAGCTCATAGCTCAGTCTGAATTATTCATATTGTGTGTGCTTTTGTGTGTGTGTATGTGTGTGTGTGTGTGCATGTGTGTGTGTCTCAATAGGCAGCTGGTGGCATGGCACAGGCCATTCTGTGTGGACCTGGAGGAGAGCACATTTACATACTTGCGCAGCTTCCTAGAGCGCTACTGTGACAGCATCAGTGGAGACACACCCCCAGCACCTTTCTCCTCAAAGAGGTAACACACAGACACACACACTGAGGCTTGACCAATATATAGGTTAAAATTTACCAACATTAATGTCCCATGTAATTTTTTTGATACCTGCCAAAATCTTGCAGATAAAACTACTTCTTCTGTACCATAATTAAGATACAGCTCTAGCATGAGGAGAATAGCTATTTTCTGAGGATTTAAATGCTTTTAAAGGGCCCATATTGTGGAAATCTAATTTTCAGTGCAGTCTCTTTAAGTGGAAATAAGTTAACATATCCTCTATGAATAACAAAATGAAATATAGTGTTTTTCTGCAAATTTCGGTGCAAGATTTCTACGTACATGCTGAGTTTAATCTTTAGCACTATGATAACATGTTGTGAAAAAAAAAAAGAAACCAGCAAAACCACTAAGAATTTCAGGAAGCTCTTCACCTGATGCTGCAAAATTTTTTATCACTTTCTGGGGTTGAGTTTAAGAAATATGACAGTTTACTGGAGTCAATTTAACTTTTGATCATATTAAGTTATTGGTTATAGGAATAACCTATAGTGCTAATTACAGGAAAGTAGTAATTTTTAGCTTCTTAAAATTGCCATCAGTTTCAGTGACATTTTTAAAATTGGCCAGGCTCTGCTCAGTACATACAGTGCTCTTGGGATACATTCTGAATACAGTTTATGTCTTGTTTATTTATTAGTATCCAAGCTAAATGTATAGTTTATTTATTTGTGTCTGTCAACTAATTTATAACAACCAACAATGATTTTACTAACTGAAACTCATTTGAAATGAACCCTGTAAATAGCCAGGGCCTGCCAGCCCTAGTTGTTGTTGTTTTATTACACACTTCTATAACCTAAGAATAGCTAAACTGGTTTGCATCAAAGTCCCTGTAGGTACTGACTAATAAGCATTAATATGTAAAAAGCCTGGGATTTTAAGGGGTTAAATAATTACTACCTGCAATACGGTAGAAAAAGTACTTAAACATGAGTGTTATAAACGTTAGTGTCTCTTTATTTTGTGTAGCTAAGTATTTAGTTTTTTGATTTAGGTTAATATTTTGTTACATGTCCCTTTGGATAGCAGCTTGAAGTCTTCTCGGCATGGAGTGCAGAATTTGCACAGTTAATGCTCAGCTGTGTTTGTTGGATGTTCTCTTTTGATTATCTGAGTGTGGCAAGGATCACCACTTTTTTCATTACATTTCAGTACTTTTTTCACACTTTATTTCATAATTTTTAGTGTATCTGCAATCTATCTGAAATGTTCTTTTGAATATGATAAAGCAGAATTTCCAGGATACATTTATAAATAAAATTATTCTAAAAAAACAAATGATGTTAGCGTGTTCCAAGACTCTTTTTGAGTACTATACATACAGACCCCACATAAAGGTCCTCAACACAGATACACACACACACACACCACCTGGCAACCTTGAGTGTATTTATTTCTGTTTTTAACATCGCCTCTAATGTATTACCACCTTTCAGCACTCAAACTGTTTACTTAGTGCCATTTCTGTTGGAAGAAGATTTGTTTCTGTTGAAACATAAATAGCATTGTCCCCTAAACTATGGACTCCTAAAATAAGTCAAGAGGTGGCACTACATCATCCTCTGCTGAGTGGCGGTGTTGTAGAATGACAGCTGAAGCTCAGGCTTTAGAGCTTGTTGGCTCAATCCACTGCAGTGCTGGGTTGCTGTCAGTGTGTATGTGCTTTTACCTGATACAGAGTGGATTGTGTTGTCACTCTGGTGCAGAATGCAGACCAGCTGACCGCCTGCTTTGGCATTTGCAGCATGAGTGGACTGCAGTGGTTGTGCTGCTTGCCCTCTTTGCTGTGTCTAAAACAAATACACAAAGGAAAGAACACAAGAGAAAGATGAAACAGAAAAACCGAAATGTTGGCTACTTTAAATGTGCATGTGCTGTGCCTGGTCTGAATGTAGGATAGAGGTCAGGTCATAAATTGTTTCATGTTATTATTTATACATTTCTAACAATTGAAAAGAAACAATGTGCGTTGCAATTTAAAACATATACATCTTGGTGAGATAGACATTTAACAAGGGGATTTGTTCAAAACTTCAAATTCAGAGTGTCATTCAGTCATTCTGAGTGATTTGATGTAAAATAGCTTTTTGTAGAGAAACTTACCAACTCTGATTTTTTCACAGTGATGGTGAGAGGAACCAAATTACTATCCAAAACAACCAGTGAAACTACATATCTTCTACGTTTTAAATGCAATGTTGATATTTGTAAAATAGTGGCAAATCTAAAAAAAATAAATAAATAAAGTTTTCTTTGGCGACTACCTTACCTTACAATATCCTGCATGTACCTCTCCAACAATTACAAATTACAAAACAAATTTTAGGCAATAGCTTATCTTAAAACTATTGTCAGGCACTGTCTCAGGCATCAGGCAGTGTATTCGTAACTAGTGTAATAGCTTTCTGTAAGGTAGCTTTAGAGGCATTATATGCTTCAGACCTCGGTTCCTGTCTCCACCACTGTGAGCAATTCTGACTCGGTATGTTTAGAAGGAAGGAAAGAAGGAAGCGCATCTCTGGAAGGGAAACCATTTCACATAAAACCACTTGGAATTACTTTGTTTACATCTTAACAAATTGATTATGCAGAAAATTTGAAAAATTGGACGTATTCTCATATAATGCCTCTCAATTCCTCTAGTTTTCTCCTTACCTAAGTGTAGTTGATCAGACAAGGCATTTGTGGTGTCTGAAATTTGCTGTTGTAGTTTTGCAAAGAAGCTACAAGGTTAATGTAGATAAGAATTGTTGGATGCTTGTGTACACCAATTGTGATGTGTGTAAGTGGTCCCTGACACCTTCACCTTGACTCTGTGCCCAGAGTGATGATGTCACTAGTGAGAAACCCCACAGACCTGCAGACAGAATTGAGAAACAAACACACACACACACAAACGCACACACACACACAAATATGGACGGAAGAACAGACACACACTCCTCCATGGAACATATGGCCCAATTCTGCATGAAGGTCAGCCCAAACTGCCCACCTAACACTGATTGCCTTTCTTTTTTTTCTTTCTCTTTCTCTTTCAGGGAGCATCACCAGTTTGTGTTGCTGTGTATGAAGCTCTTGTCTATCCACCTGTCCTTGGCCCATGCAGGAGGCACGGGGGCTACTGTTCTCGGAGCTCAGGGGAGACCCCTCCGGAACCTCCTGTTCAGACTCATAGACTCTAACGTGCCCGAATCATTGCAGCAGGTTTAACTACAACTACTTTTCTAGTGTTAATCTCATTTAAAGCAGTGGTTTGGACCACATCAAATGTAGTCGATCAGCACAGACATGTTTGCTTCTTTAGTTTTGTACTGCAGCTACAAGGCTAATGTAGCTAACAAGTAATGAAATAGTATTTACTTTTGTCCACAATTCCTTCTTGGCTTCTTATTCAGTTATTAAAATCAAGGCTTATTTCTCACTAAGTACTATGAATTACCCATTAAATACTATGAAAGTACTATGTAACATGAAGATTGATGAATTGAGTATAAGGGGTTAATGAAGCTTTTAGATTATCTGTTAGATCACTTAGTAAAATGTCATTAGTATGTTAATCTTAAAGGAAATGTTAAATGTTACTGTTTGCTGCTATTGACTACTTTAGCATAACAATGAATGCATAGACACCAATCACAATTTTGTGATCTAGCAGATTTAAATAAGCCATTTCCTCAACTTTAGTGTTAAAATTGTGTGTGTGTGTGTTTGTGTGTGTGTAGGCGGTGATGAACACATTGTCAATAGGAGCGTCTCTCTTGCTGCCTCCTCTCAGGGAGAGAACAGAACTGCTGCATTCACTGCTACCTCAGGGCCCAGAGAGCTGGGAGAGTCTCTCTAAAGGACAGGTACACACATATCATACATTTGTTCCTTATATGTTATATATAGTAATGTCCAAAATCAGAGACCACCCTTCATTTATTTAATTTCCAATCAAAATGACTATTAAGTACAAGTCAACTATCAGAAAATCTAATTGTAAAAGGAAAATCAGGGGAAAATAGGGATTCATAACATCCTGGTAGACCACAAAACTGTCACTATCAGATAAACAGCACTTAAAGCTTTCATCTTTGAGAGAGAAGAGAAAATCAAGCTCCATTCTTGCTTCAAATATGAAAAATGTACAGAAGTTTCTATCCATCCTTCCACTGTGAGAAGACAGCTCAGTGCTATGAATTTAAAAAGAAAATATGCAAATCAAAGAAGGTGCTACTATTCTCAGGACAATGAATTGATCACCCCAGAATTCACACCTCAAGATCATTAAATATGTTTGGGAATAATTGGATTGTAATGAGAAAATGCAACCAACTGCTAAGACTAAATTTTAAAGCTGTGGAATAATATTCCTGCAGATTTCTTTGAAAAACTTAAAGCAAGTCTCCTGAAAAAAATGGAAGCTGGTCACACTAAATACTTAAAAAATTCTATTATGTTTAGTGGTTGAGGCTTCTGTGTAATTTTCTGTAACAAGCTCATATAAAAAACACATGCACAAATCTACCTGCTCTCAGTGTCTCTAGACTCCAGCCCTGCTGATCCTGTCTGTCTGTACTCTTCCCCAGCGTCTACAGTTGGACATGGTCCTAAACAGTCTCCAGGAGCAGAGCCATGTAGCTTCCCTCCTGGGCTACAGTTCTCCAGGGGATCTAGGTGCTGGCCTTTTGCCCCCTACACCAGATCGGCCTGCGGGCTCCTCTACCTCCAGCACTGAGGCCCCAGACCACCTTCACTTGGCTGAAGTCTTGCTTAAGACCCTCTTGCTGAGCATCGGATTCTATACGGTCAGTCTCCAGCCCTGGCACAGGTTTTCATGGTTGCCTCATTGGCCAAGGTAGGGTTTTTTGATGTAGTGTTTAAATTAAGAGAGTACTTAAATGGCCAGCGGTAATTTTATTGAAGGACTCGTTTGGCAAAAAAAATTAATGCATGTAAATTTCTTTTCACCTCAAACATAGTTGGACATTCAAGAGCAAGTCTCTTTAGGTTTGGACGGGAGCTACAAGGCTAGCTTGTACCCTACCAATTAAATCATTGCATACTTGCATCAAACCATGTCAAGTTGTTAAGTCATCTCAAATAGACTTCTGACGTGCTTTGTCTACAAACATGGACAAAAGTGTATCATATAGCTAAATAGAGTAGCAGCATTTATCTTCAACCCTGAATTGTGCCTGCACTTTTGTCCACAAATTAGCAGTCTCTGGAAGTTTGTTTGGCAGCAGAGATACTGGCTAATTTAGTAAATGGCCTGTCTTGGAATAGTTCCACCACCCTGAGGGTGTTAGGGTAGGAGACTAGGGTGAATATATGAACTACTTCATCTTCTATTGTGGGTAATTGTGTGACTGAAAGCTCTTGTGCTAATGAGCTCCTGTGCTGAGTAACTGTCCTTTACTGCTGTATGTGTAGGAGCGTGCCTTTGGTGAGCTAGAGAAGAACAGTGACAAGCAGCAGTCCAGTTCAGCTCAAAAACAGACTGAAGCTCCGTCTCACTTCCACCATCTGCTGTCTGCCCTGCACAAACACTTGCTGGCGCACTGCTACATCTACACCAATACTGAGGTACCATCATATTTTTATGTCTATCATTTTATGTGATAGTGTAGGTAGTTGATTGATGAAAGTGTTTAAATGCAGACTTTAACTGCAGATTTGCCCCATTGTTCTGATACCTTCGTCAGGTGGTCTTTATTGTCAGTCCTTCATTAAACTTCTATACATTGGAACAAAATGGTCTTTACTATGACTGATGTGTCCATCTATGTTTGTTTCTCTCAATGTAGGATGACAGTAGTGTGACGTTGCTTCATAAACACCTGTGCCTGCTGCTGCCCTATGCTGCTGAAACTTTCAGGAGGTCCACCATTCTGCTGGAGGAGAGCTCACTGGATAAACATGTCATTAATAAGCTACACAGTAAGAAAATAGCACAATATAACCTCCAGAATAGTGTAATATCCAGAATGAAGTTAGAATATCCAAAATAACAGCATGTTGTCACATCATCCAATAAGGAGAAAACACCTTGTATAGAAGTCCATAAGTTATCACCATCTACTGATGCACCAGTCAGCTCTAGTGCTAGTGTTAGCTCTGCTAAAAGAACAGGGGGCCCATGCTTTTGGAATGGGATGTCCAACAAGCTTATATACTATGTGTCCATATACTTTTGGCCATATAGTGCATATTATGCAGATATGCTATAACGTACAGATAATGCATAATTAATCAGAATACCTATCCCTAGTATTGAGACTTTTATATTCTGATCAACATTACATAAGTTGATAATAACAAATTAGACACGTTATGACAAGTGATCCCAAACTTAAAAACATATGCTGTCTTTTTATCATTTACATTGATGAAACTTGTGTTATGTGTGTTTGTGTGTGTGTAGTGGTGTTGTTTGGCTCAGTAGCCGGCAGTCTTCTGTGTCAGGTAATGTACTCTCTGCTGCTGTTGCCTCTGGCCGTGGTCAAGCCTCTCCTGCCTCACCTGCTGTCTTTACTGGAGCACCTAAACGAGCTGAACTGCTACCTGCCCAACACCAGCCTTCTAGAGTCACTTGAGCTGGAGGGAACACCTCAGGGTAAATGCACCCCCATACATATACATGCAAGACACATGCATGCCAGTGCTCTTTGTATGTGTGTATATAGCTTTTTAATTTTTTTAATTTTTAAATTTACCTATCTGATAAGATAAAGTTTTTTGCGAAGTGATTCACTATGAGCCAAATGTACATTTCCAAAAGTACAATGTGTTAATTGACATCTAGTTTATGAGGTTTATTTTTACAGAACATTCCATTGTTTTGCAGAGCTGTACTCTAAGGCTACAGCACACTGGATGCAGCGCTTTCAAAAAATTAGATCGGTTGTTTTTTTGTTTTTGCAACTTAGTTTCCATATATGGATTCTATGGACTGTGGAGTCAGTGATATGTTTAGAAAATTTAACAGGGTTAGTGTGCTACATCAAACTCTTCTATTTGAAAAAAGCAAGGAAAATTCAGTTTTCCATGATATCGGCCCTTTTAATGTCTTTTGGTGTGGAGGAGTGAGCTCATTTGAAGCTAATGGAACCACATGCACTCAGCTGTAAGATGACTGACACAGTCTGCTTAACTCCACCATACCCAGAGGTTTCAGAGATGTCAGATGCTGCTCTTGGAGGAGAGTCACATGACTGGGCATGGCTTCTGGACCTGGAGAGATCAGTGGCTCTGTCAATTGGTCGGTGCCTGGGAGGGATGCTGCAGGGCCCTCCCCTTTCTGTTCAGGAGAAGGCAGCCGAATATTGGCTCTGTAACCCACTCCTGAGGAACGGACTAGAGATGGACTTTGAACAGCTTGGTAACAAAATGTTGTTGTTTTGGGGGGTGGCAGTGTGTTGGTCAGATGATCAGGGTTGGTCAGGAAACAGGGGTCTGGAACTAAGGGCCAGAATCAAGGACAGTTTGGTGTGTTCCCTGCTCTAACACTGCAACTAATCCTAGCAATTGACTGATGAATAAAATCAGGTGTGTTTAAGTGGAAAAATCACCGAACTGTGCATGAATCTAGCATTCCAGGCCCCAAGTTCTCTATCCCTAGTGTAGGTAATAGGGATGGACATGATTACTCATATATGTGGATATGCAGACCTATTTTGTGCTTGGCTAAAGGGTTCATTTGCAAAGTCTAGCCTTCTGTGATACCAGTATTGCAAAGGCAATATATCACCATAGATCCTCATAACAATTAATAAACAATGTATTATGCAACCCAGTCTTAAACCGTAAATTAATGTTGCGGGTTGATGGAATTTCTCTTTTCTGCAGATTTGGCCATGGGCTGGCTGACAGAGGCGGTATTTCTAGGCTGTGGAGATGCTAGGCTGGCTGACCTTCAGCTGTCTGAGGAAAACACCACGCTGGTGGAGTTGGCCCTTGGCTCCCCACGAGAGCCAGCTGCTGGTCTGTGGAGGAAGATGAAGGAGTATGCTGCCAGCAGAGGTGAAGCAGAGAAGGGTCATCTTGAATTTAAAGCAACAGTTCAGTGGAGCTGAGGGACATTGATGCTAAAATAGTAACTAACTGTATCATTTTCTCTAAGAAAAGAGATAAAAACAATACAAAATAAAAAAAATAAATAAAAGCACCATATATTCCCAATAAAATCCTCAACATGTCTTTTAATATTCAAATATATTTTTAAATCATTTAAAGGGCTCAAATTCTGTGTTTTTCCTGTGTTTTATGTTTTCAGTTTTCCTGTGTTTTATGTATGCAGTTATAATTCATTTTTACTTGACCATTTCTCAATTTTTCATTATCCTTTAGAATTAAGCAAGTGGTTTTTGTTACTGAGCCTTTAAGACAGATTGCCCATAGTTCTGTTTGGCTGTTCTGTATTGAGTTTCATTCAAAAACTGTCCTGGCTGAAACACTTCTTATAACTTCAATGAGTTACAACTTGAATGAATGAGCAGAGCTAAACTTCTCTTGGCTGAATAGGTGAATATTTTGTGCATATGTTCATTTTTCATGATGTCACCAAAGCAGGTAATACAAAACAGGTTGTTTTCACAGCTTTTTTTTACACTTAAGCTATGAGGCTAATGTAGCTAACAAATAATGGAAACTTTTTCCCCACCAATCAGTGTTGTGTATAGCGCATGTTTAAAAATAGTGAAAAGTAAGCCTCAATTTGTTTCTGTGCTGTAGTCTGTTTATAGATAACAGCATGTCATACAGTGTCAAAAACCTCAAAAGGGCATTTATTTCAGATTATTTAACAACTTGTTGTGGTTTCAGGGAACTGAGTGATAATGTAGGCATGTAGTTGGCACAGTGCTAAATGGTGGAGTATAAGCTTCCATTAGGTACATTACCTTTGCTCCAGTGCAAAATTAAAAAAAAAAATTCAGACATCAATTCAGACTCACATTTCTTGACTGATGGACTACATTTGTAATAAATGGAAACATATTATTTTATTTTATTTTATTTTATTCAAAATAGTGCTTAAAATGGAGCTGGCAAAAGGGAGAAAAGGGGGGAGGAAGGATCTCATTCCTGGTTGCTTAAAGGCTCAGAGCAAGCGCTGTATTTGAGTAGATTGATAATTAATCAGTACTTATTGTGTTCAACATCCCTGTTTTTGTGTTTGTGTTACTGTATATGTGTAACATTGTGTTTGTGTGTGTATTATAGACTGGGATGGCGGAGCTGCTGTAGGGGACAGTTTGTTAGAGACGGCGTGTCGCTGTAGTCTTGCTGCTCTGCTGAAGCACACAGGGCTGCAGGATGATGCATACTGGCAGGACAGGTGAGTCTCTGCCTTTTCACCATCAGCAGCCTCTTTATCCTTCCCTCCTCACACTTACTGTGTTCATCAAATGAGTAGAATGTTCAGTTGGAGCAAGGGCTGCACAATATATTGTTTGTTAATTGTTAGCGCAATATTGGCTGTTGCAATACCAATATCACAGAAGACTGCAATAAGCAATTGAGCTTCTAACCAATCACACTGTCTTTACTGTGTGCTGTGAACATCCTGACCAGTCACAGTTCTAGATGAGTTTTTGCGTGAGTGTTTTGTGTTTCATCACTGAATTTTTAATGTATTTGAACTGATAAATTGTGCAGCAGTATAATCCATAATTGTAATGCTGCATAAATGGTTGGGTGAGTTTGTGTTTCAGAAACATCAGAAATATTTTTAAACCTTTAATATGAAGTGCAGAGAAGTTAAAAAGAGTGAGAAGAGCTACTCTTTTTAATGAGCAAATTAATGAACCAAACATAAATATGTCTGACACATTTACTGTATTTCATCTCCATAATTAAATGATCATTCCTTCTTTCTCTGTCCTTTTTCTGTCTTTTCCTCTGGATGTGTACACACACACACACACACACACACACACACATTCCACCCTCTGCTGCTCTCTCCCTCCATGATTGTGTACTATATTTCTGCTGTCTGGCTGTCTGTAGGATAAATGCATTAGCCATAATGACTCATTTGAAAGAGTGAAAGGTCTGTGGATATAAACTGGCAGTTATGAATTGATATTAACAGGCTGCGGTAGGAGAACTTGCTATGCCTTCCTTGTTATACTGGCCACAAATCCAGTGTTTTACAAAGGATATTTCAATAAAGCTGGATAACTTAAGCCAGTGACCTGTTTAGTGGCATAGGCAAAATTTTATTGGCCTACTCCAAATCCCCTCATCTCCCTGTTTTAAGTCTTTATTATTCACTTACAAATGCAGATTTTTTCTAATGAGGCAATGCTGTTAGCAAGCAAGTAGCTTCTGTGTACATTATTGAAAGATAAGGAGCTGACACGAACCTACACCATGTGATCTTCATTTCACCAGTAATTTTTTAAAAACGGGCTAAGGATAGCAAGGAATGTAGCGCTGAAAGAGCCCCCAAAGCTGCAATAGCAGGGTGTGAGAGGGAAGGAGTCACATAGTATTGTGGTGTAAAGTATAATCCTAATTTTTGACCAAATGTATAAATATTGTTTTGGTATATATGTATGTGATTGCAGGTATGAACCATGTGAGATGCTGATAGAGATCTATGAGGTGGTATATAAAGTCCGCACCACTCTTCTGTCTCTAAAAGAGAACATGGCAAATGCAGCCAATATCCAGCCTGCAGCAGTTGCTAAACAGGTAAACATTTCAGCACATTTAGTTTCTGACTCTTTTTTACAGTATTCAGTTAAATGTGCATTATTTAGTTATTTTCAACACTGACTGGTAATAGTCATTCTGTATGTACTCCTTCCTCATCATCTACATGCATGGATGTGCAAGTTTTATGTTGTAATGAAGCAGACAAACTAACAAAGCCGTACATAAATTTTGGTATCCTGTTAGTCCATCAGTGGGATAACATTAATGATCAAATAAGAAAACATCAGTACTTGGGCCTCCATGTATCAGTAATATTTTTTCTGACAAAATATTGCAGTAATATATAATTTTTTCCCTCCCACCCCTAGTCTGTAGTGTTACATATATGGAAAGTATTTTCTGAGCCGAATGATATAGCTTGTATTTGGCAGCGTTTATGGTCTTCAGAGTTTGTATATGTGGTGTGTAATGATCTGGAGATACTTCAAAAACTAGTTTCTGTAAAAGTTTTTGGTTTGAAAATGAATAAGGACCATACTTCTCCAGACCCTACTCTTCTCTCTATGCTGTGTCTGTGACCCTGCAGGGTTCAGCAGGTTCTCAGAGCCCTGGAGAGGAGAAGCTGGAGCCCAGCAGCTCTTCAGATCAAACAGGGAGAGAGCCAGAGCCCACTGGCCAGAACACACAACCTGCTGAACACAATCAAGACGATCCCACTGAGGACGAAACCCCCAGCATCAGTATGTACCTGCCGGGTAAACACATTGCTTTTTGTGTTTTCACACTCACCCACACACAGGTTTATACAGTGTCAAGATGTGAGGTCGTCTGTATATCCCCCATGTATTTTTTGCACATTGAAAATGTATTGAAAATACCTTACCCTTTTTATATTGTGTTAAAGATTAATAATGAATGGATTTTTTTGGCTGTAGCCTATATGTATAGTATATGTATACTGATGCAAAAGTTTGAACACCTCCAGTCAAATACATGTTTTGTTGATTTTCTATATGAAAATAAGTTAACACATCCTTTACAGTAAAAAAAAAAATTAAATAAGACATTTGCACAGTTTAGGGCACAGTTTCCATTTATTTCCTGAGTTTAACATGTTGAAAAAACATAAAATATAAAATGCATCCTAACTTTTTACAGGCCACATTTTTTTTTCCTTAATATGTTAAACACAGCAAATAAACAGTAATCGTACATTAAAATTCACATAAATGTGTTTCATGCAGAGGATGTGTTTTATTTTCACTTTTACAGTTAACGGATCATGTAAACATGTGACTTATGCAGATGTTCCCAAAGCTTTGCATGAATTTAGTTAATGGTTCTAAATTTTAAGATTCAGAAAATTCACTTAGCCTTTAAAAATGGTTAATGATAGAACCGTAGTCTACATATACATGTATGGAGCTGATGATACATGCTGGAGCTGCAGAATATATAGTCTTTTAACTTGTATGTAGCCTGTAGGCTGTTGAGGCTGTTTGTAGGTGTACATTTGTTTCTTTACCCAGAGAACACATAGGGAGTACATAACACAATGATGTGCAAGAGTGTGTGTTTTGTGTATTTTGTGCTTTTGTGTTTTTGTGTCACATGATTTGGGCATCAGTTAAAGTGATGGTTTAGTCAGAACTCAAATGTGCACATTTTCTCTTTTACCACGATTACTCACGACGTGTGCTGTTCAAAGTTTGCTTCTTTAGTTTTGCACTTTGTTCAATTTGATAGGTAACAGTAATAGTATATCATACATCCAGGTCCAGTGTAACTTCACATACCAAGTATGGGTTGTTGGCTGATGAAATACATTTGCTGTAAAAGGAAAATTGTGTAAGTTTGATTTTTGGTAGAAATATTGCTTTAAGACTGCTGTGTTTCTTTGTGTGTGTTTGCTCTGCAGAGGTGCTGCAGTGTTTCTTGGCCACGCGGGAGGCCATGCAGCTGCAGCAGAATGAGACGGTTTACGAGTCTTCAGGCACCAGCACTCTGCCAAGCAGTACAGAGAGTCCTGGGACACCTGAGAGAGAACCCCCCACGCGACCCTGGGACTGTCCTCAGAACACAGAACACACACTCACCTTCCCCGCAGCCTGCCACCTGGTGGTCAGCCGGTGCCTGTTTCTGCTGCTGGGGGTCCGAGCAGCTTGGCAGGAGCAGAGCCAGCTCGTTGATACATACACTGAGAATAACATGACCAGGTTAGTGTTTTTGTGTTTATTTTATGTCTTTGAAAACAACCCAGTTAGGACTGTCTACTGTACCAAGCATTTTGACCTTTCAAAGCTTAAACTTTAGGTACTGATTTATTGAATCAAGAAATCTGCTTCTATTATTTTAGCATGATTCAAAGTTAGATTTAAAATTACATTGAATCCACAAATGTAACTGGAGGAACTACACTATATGTCCACACGTATCCAGACACCCCTTATAATTAGTGAATTTAGCTACTTTATGTTGCACCATGGCACGTTAAAGTCAACATACCAAATGCCAAGCATCAGCTAGAAGGATATAAAGCTCCTCAGCTTTGGAATGTGATGAAACTCCTTCCAGTACCTTTGGGATGAGTTGGAGTGATCTAGAACTAATCAGCCAACATCGGTACCTGACCTCACTAAAGCTCTTTTGACTGAATGCAGTCAAATTCTCTCTATTAATTAACATCGATTTCAGAAAAAATGATGGATGAGAATTTTTTACACATGTAATATATTTACACAATAAAAGGATATTGAGACAATCACAGTGCTTTAATATATTTTACAGCCCTAATATTAAGTCTCTCTTAAGGACCACACTGTTATAAATTAAATGAAGATTAATATATGTGCTTATATTGGTTTCTCCCCAGGAAGTCGACATCCTCTTTTGAAGGGCAAAGCACTAAAGCAGAGTTTTGTGGTTCTTCAGACAGTAGGAGACAGAGTGAGAGAGAGGTATGAAGTACATCCCAAATAGTTCACCCTTCTTTGACCATTGTCGATTGACAAACAAAATATCAAAACATAACAAATGTATTTTATTATTTTTGTTATTGTCAGTAAAATATTTTACAATATCATGGCAGTTGGGATTTGTATAAGTGCTGGGTCACTAAAAACCTGAGATATATATGAACAGGCCTTTAAGATGACCATATTTTTTGTTCAAAAGGCCATACAGAAGCACACTGCACTGTCACTCTGGGTAAAGGCTTCACACCAGTGGACACTTGCAATAAACACTTTAACAAGTTTTATTATTTTGTTTTAGTTATTACATTTATAAGGTCTTCTTAGTTAAGGTTTGAACTTAAGCCTTTTACAGAACAATATTTTTTTTGTTTGTTTTTGTTTTATTTTGTTTTTTTTTAAGTTGGCCAAAACTTAAATGATGACACTTAAAGAACTTAGTTTGCAGTGGAAAATGAAAAATAATCTTTAAAAGGAGTGATTTTATGCAGTTAAATAAAAGTAAAGGGGTGTGTTAGTGAAAGGTAAAAATTCACTCACCATGCTGAAGGAGCACCTCTAGGTTGAGTCAACAAAGAACTCTTACTCTGTATTGTTCCACTGGCCACTGCTGTTGCACTTTTAAGCAAGACATAACCCCGAAGGGCAGATTTGCCAAGATGGTTTGGTTGTGTCTCCACTTCTGCATTGAGTTTAATTCCTACATAGCCAGTGAAATTTATTTATCCAGTCCAGAGGACAAAATCATTATATAACCTAACCTGAAGGTTGCTGCAATGTGAGGTCGCCTCCTTAACCCAATCAGTGTGATTTTCTATAATCATTTTCAGTGTCATTTCTCTTCTTTGAAGGTGACAGATCAGTCTAGGAGTTCCTCAGGATCAGTTAAGAACAAGATGGGTAAGTAGTGCATGTCTAACAATACTTTTTGTTTCTTTTTAATAAGCATGTGGTTTCATATGACCAAAACACGAGTAAGAGTGCTGCTTTTCATATCTTCTTGACTACAGTATTAGACAGAGGGAGGACAGATTAAAATATAAATGTAAAAAAATATTCTTAGAAACATGAGAAAGGCATAATATCTGTGACTGTATTCCCAATGTTAAAACAACTTTACACACTGGATGTCATTTGTTTGAAAAAGTTATTCTTAAATTATGTGAATATGTGTATAACTTATCTTGCTATCTTGCACACAAAACTGGATTATTTCCAAACTAATTTAAACAGTCAAAATGTAATAGTAAAAATGAAGTTCTGTTAAAATGGGTCATGTTGACAATTGTATTTTTTGTGAGGCACCTTTTTGCAGTATGTTAACCTTTTGAATAGGGCTGCATAATACTGTATTTTTATCCTTATCACAATATGACTTTCTGTTATAAGCACACTGTTAATAACTGCCATGACAGAATGGATCAAATAAACTCACACATGCAGCACCAAAGTGACATAATTAGATTGGCAGGGCTGTAGCATTAGAAGCCCAACAAGTGCTTCCCTCCACTGGGCTTGAACCCTGCTCTCCCAAGTTGAGAACGAATAACTTAACCATTCAGCTGAACAGCCAATTGAAAAAAACACACAAAAGCTTCAGACCTGGTGACTGTTCTCACTCTGAGTATGGTAAACTATATGAAGCACAAATGATTGCTGTCACAAAAAATAGGCATCATCATGAGGAAATTTTTTGATCAATTTAATATATGTTTATTTATTTTTGATGTCTATATTAAAATAAAAAATATACTTATTTATTTATGTTTGTAGCCTGACCGCAAACACAAATAGAAAAGGCTGTTTAGGGAATGCCTACTGTTTTTAGACCAAAGCACCTCATAGAATTCCCTTTTTACAGGTTACAAATTCTCTACAAAGGGGCCCCATTAGCTGTCAAATAGCTTTTGATGCTTCATAAGAGCAGTCAAATGTTTCCTTGTTCAGCCCTAAAGTGCACAAAAATGTAATTACAGTTCTGCTGTGAGTAGCCATTAGTATTTCATTATTTTTATTTTGCACAATAGTGAATGGTACTCTTGTAGTTTGTATTGTTTAGCTATTTTACTTAGATTTCTGTCACGGGGGATGCTGGAGCCTATCCCAGTGCTCATTGGGTGGAAGAGAAGGGACACAATATTTTATTCATAATTTATTGTTTTTCTTATCTTCATCATGATATCCAGTAGCTTTATTGGACATCGCATTTTAGTCCATATTAAGCAGCTGTACAATTGAACAACAAGGTTAAATTCTGGACAAATGTACATGGTTTTGTGAGGTTTTCTAAATATTACACTAATTTGAAGCTTTCCTTTTGGTCACCAAGGTTGGGTTTATGTGCAAAGAGTAGCATTTAGATATGGCAATGTAGACGTAAAAGGAAACTCTCCATAAAAATGTTTTTATGTGTGTGTTTGTGCAGGACTGCCGCTGTGCTCTCTAGGTATCATGAAGGACGTGTGGGAGCGACTTCGGCAGTGTATCAGTCCCAGCACGGTGCTGGGCTCAGGGGCTGTGGGCTCACCCATGCTTGACCAGGTCACTAACCGCAAGCTTTAAAAAATTCTTCATATACATTAGTGCTTTTCTAGATTGGCATTTTATTGTTTTTAAGCTCTGTTGGACATAGATTACATTTGATTGTGATACTTTAAGTGATTATCTCCAAAATCTGTGATTTTAATCCAATGCAATGTGTCTAGTTTTTACAGTCTGATGGTAATAATCATGGAGTGAATGGCCTTTTGTAACTGAACCTGGACATCATTCACAGATAGTCGTCTAACAGAATAACAAAACCTGCTAACAGGCAGAGCTGTGCGCCTAGTTGTTATTGTTATTGAGTGTGTCCTGTGGCATACATGAAAATCTGGACCATGAGCTTCCAATCCAAGCCAATCTGTGGAAAAGTGGGAAAACTACACAGATACCTTTACACAAACCAGTCAACCAGTCAAATCCTGACAAATTACATTACACAGCCTCCTCTAGGAAAACTAATCCAGCTCTAAAAGCTGGACCTTTTGAAGTTCTTTCTAAATAAACTATTTTTTTATTAAGCAGAAGGCTACTTACATTACAGATAATGATAATACATACCAATTTGTAACTACTATAGGTCTTCCACTTCCTGTGCGGAAGCCTGGTCAAGACCTCAGCTTTGGTGGAAAGAGCAGCAGGCGTTCAGGCTGACCCCAGAGCCATCACTCTGGCCATGGCCCAGCAACAGCAACGGGCTGAGGTTAGTAGGGCTAAGATAAATTTTGAAGATTTGTTGAATTTAGGGATGGGTTTTTCCACAATGGTCTCAAGACAGTCGTCAGCCTTCAGATTTTCTCTCTCCATTTAAGCTTTGCTCTTTTCTCCCTTCCTCTATGCAGGTGCGTCTAGAAGCTTTGTGTCAGATTTCTTCCTTCCTATCTGAGATGGAGGAGAAGAACAGCGGCAACTCTCTGGTGCCCCTACGGTTCCCGGGCCTGCTGCAGTCAGTGCAGCTGCACTTCCTCTCTGGCTGTTTCGGACTGGGAGCTCCTGTCACAGGCAGTTTGGCCACACTCACCGACAAGCTGAACCACTACACTGTAAGACACAAAAATTGTTCTGTAGTTGGAGCTCTGTCACCCACACTACAAAAACCTGGCCCTCACCACACAGGATTTCTCAGTTGGCTAGATAAACAAAAGTCAGTCAAATAAGAGAAGGGCTGAGGGGCATGTCTTTTGAACAAATTTCAGTTTGGGCTTAAGTTATCCAGCTTAACTGAGAAGTTCTGCTGTTTAAAATGTCCCTCTTAGACATTAATTAATACCAAAAAAAGCTGTACAAATAGTCAAAATCAAATTGAGCGTTAACTTACATGTCTTCTGAGTGTTTAAATGCAATGTAATGTTTTGTATTATAGAGATAAAATAGTTTAAATAAAAAAAAGTATTCTTTTGGTACAATTTTGGCTTACAATGTCCTGCATGTACCTCTTTTTATGTAAATATTGAAAATATATGTTTTAATTTTATGTCAGAGGTATTGTAAAACAGTGTCTCAGGCATCAGGCAGCATATTCATAATCATTTCTTGTAATGTCTTTCTGAGAGGTAACTTTTAGGTGTATAAAACACACGTATCTCGTTCCTATCGCCACTGCTGTGAACAGTTCTGACTAAAGTTTCTCTAGAATGGAGCATTTCACATCAAACCACTATGAATGACTTTGTTTACATATTAACAACTGAATTATCTAGCAATTCAGAAAAATGTATGGAATTCCCTTTTAATTTGTAAGCTAGTTCATTCTGCTCTGGATGTTTATCCAAACACTGAAGCACAACTGACAAACATGATTTAATTTTTTAAGCTGAGTTTTCTCTAGCCTAGTGATCCACATATACATGCATGTGGGCATTTTGGGCCTCTAGAGGCCTCTTTGCACTTTGACTAATAGAAGCCTTAGTAATTGGTGAGTTGAGTTGAATCAGATTTGTTTGTGTGGATCATGAGGTTCCAAGGACTGGGAGCAGGAACTGCTGTCCTCCACTAGGAGCAGTTTTCAGTGATGAATTCCCGTGTTTAATATAAAAACATCTCATTTAAGTGGTCATCTACAGTGGAACCATCCCAACTTTTAATATTATTACCATGGAAATATCTTCATTGTAAATATTCTACCCATGACACACTGGCCTTTAAATGTTTAAATCAATGCAATGTAATGCCTCACGTACTGAAACAGACCTGTTTACAAACCTTTGTGCATGTGTGCACTTGCAGGCTGGCACTGAATCGGCTTCTATGAGCGCCCAGAGAGAGCTCCAGGCTGCAGCACACACTCTCTACCAGCAAGTGGTGCGTGTGCTCAGGCAAAAAGTAGCACTGGAGAAGGAGCACAAGGGTAAGTCTATAAACCTTTCCATTATTTGTATTTTCGTGCTTCTAGTACATTAAAGGTAGTAAAAAACAGTCCAATTTGGGTAAGACTATGCTAGGCTGCCATTTACTTTAAAAGCTGCAGTATGCTGATATGTTATTTTGGGGCAGTTGTAGCACTGTATGAACCATGCTACATAACATTGACATAACACTGCCATAAACATGTAATGGACGATGTCACATTCAGACAGATTTTGTTCAGTAATATAACAGTGTCATGGTACCATTGCTGGTAATTGTCATGACAGATGCCATAATGTTTCATGTTATAACAGCTTATGTTAGATGCTAATGTTTGCTAAGTAATGTCATGATGTCAAACATTGACACATTGACATCTGCCATGACAATTAACGGTAATGGGAAAAATTACATTGTTATATTACTAAACATAATCTGTCTTGATAGCATATTACATCTGCCATGACATGTTTATAGCATAGTTACGTCCATGTTATGAAGCAGGGTCGAGGACTACTGTTTACTGTTTTGTGTTGCATGTAAATCCTCTCTGTTTTATATGTCATGTTACCACTACATTGATAATAGCCACACACATTTTATATGCAGCTGTTTAAACCATATTACTGCAGCTGAAGCATTCACAGTATGGATATTACACATTCATGTTGGACTATTTTCAGTTTCTACTGTAAAATAGTCAGACATTTAAGCCACATTGTTAACTTCTATAAACATGCCTTTACAGCAGGTTGTTGAAAATGTCTGTTTATGTCATGTGTGCAACAGTGACGTAGGTAGAGCACGGAGGGGTTAAATAGCCTTAACAAAGGATCAGAATCTGTTTGTAAACTGTAGTTTGTACCGTTTCGGTACAATATGCCTCTATTGGGGGGTCGGCATGTGAGTCCTGAGCCCCGCCTCCATTCGCACAATGAGGCCATTTTAACTTACCTCACGTTCAATCCAGACAGAAGAGCTGCGGCACGGGGGCGGTGACAGGGAGAACGAGCTCTGGTTCCCTCTGGGCGCAGGTGCTTATGCTGCCCTTAATGACTGGCAGCTGATGCTGGTCTGGCTGGCAGCTTGAGCGTCTTTTAAAAAGAGCAGAGACGGAACAGATAGAGAGAGGGACGAGCAGACAGAGTGAGGAGCTTAAAAGCTGGAGTGATAAAGGACTGAAAAGTCTAGCAAGAAGCCACTGAAAAGTGGCCAGCATAGCTTTGCTTTGGTTTGTTTGAGTTTATGTTGTTTGGTGAGTGAATATTAAAGAATGGCTGTTGCAAGTGTTTTTCCTGCCTCCAGCATCCTCCTTGAGTGCATGAAGTGCTACAGTTATCTTTTGGGAATATTTAAAATTCCAAAAAATTTATATTGACTCTACCATTTATTGTCTTTATTTTACAGGCAGTACTCTGATAATTAATCTATTTCATGTTATGTTAACGTGATAAAAATCAAATTTAAACAGTTTTATCCCTTACCCAGAAGGTAGTTTATCAGCACACATTTGCCACAAACCATGTTAAGTTGTTAAGTCATCTCAAATAGACTTGCTTTTGTGGTTTCTGACACCTGTATGACATACTGTTATCTACAAAATAAACAAAAGTTTGTTACATAGCTAAAACAATAGTAGCAACAATTTTTATAGATAGATATGATAGTATATTATAAAGTGTTGAAACCACATAGGTGGGTGGGGTTTCGACTTGTATTACATGTCTGTTGCATTAGCCTTGTAAACTAAGGAGAAGTCATTTTGGATGGTTGCCTACATTTGGGGTAAAATTGTATAAAATTGATTTTATACAATATCTGTTAACTATCGCTTTAAAACATTATTGCTCTCTACAGGCTCTTGTCAGCACTTGCTACTGGCTGCAGTTTTCGCACTGACCTTCCACTACCAGCCAGCCGATCTTGTGGTGGTGATAAAGAGTGGCCTGCTGGAGCTGCTGGCCAGCCTCACTGATAACTCCTGTGTTCTGGTCAGTCAGCGCTGGCTGGCTGCCTCCGTCTCAGGCAACATGCTGTTAAGTGGGGCCGTGAGGCTGGCCTCCGCCAGGCTACTCCAAAGCCTCGTCATCGCAGCCAGGTGAGAAACCTAGGAATAGGAATTTTAACTATTTTTACTATTTTATTATCCTAATTTTAAAATCACTAGTATTCCAATATCCCAATAAGAAAATATTATAGAATATTATAAGTCAAAAAATGAAGATGTCTGTCTATTGACTGCATCTAGCATAAGCAGTGATCAGAAACATGTATGAGTTGAGCTACAGAATGATAACTTACAATACTTTACAAATTTGTCAGGAAAATATCACTATTTTGCTTAGCCTGAGATGCACTGTCAGCTGCTTTTGTGGCCACCTTCTCTGCAGTTTTGTGTTACACATTCAGACAAAAGCTATTTATTTATCTCATCTTCATACTTAGATGAGTCTCGACATCAGTAAAGTTTAATAGCACATGTTAAAGAGCACAAACATTGGAGGAAGTGTGTGTGTCCTGCATTAAGTTTGCCAATCTTATCCACAAAGGGCAGGCGTGGCTGCAGGTTTTCAGTCCAATCAAGCAAAGTCTACGTGATTCGACATGTTTAATCAGTTGGTCTCATTCTTCAGACAACTGGGTAGTTATATGAGGCATGTTTCTGCTTGGTAGGGAAAACCTTGGTTGGACTGGGGGACCTATAAATAAATATATATATATATATTATATATATATATATATATATATATATATATATATATATATTCTTTCAGTGGAAATCTCCATTCAGAGTCAGTTATGAATCCTTGTCCGGTAACTGGCCCATTGGTTAAACGCTTTAAGTTAAAAATAGAGTGGAAAATAGTAGAGTTCAGCAGGGAAGATAATATGTGTGTGTGTGTGTGTGTGTGTGTGTGTGTGTGTGTGTGTGTGTGTGTGTGTTACTCTAGCTCCTGTGAAGGTGCCTTACCACTGGATGTGTCTCAGGCTCTGATGGATGTGATGTGTGAGCAGCTGCAAGGTCTGTTGCTCAGTCTCCACCAGCAGGAGGCGCTGGAGAACAGTGCAGAATACGACGGAGAGCTTGATCCCAACACTAAAACTCCCAAACAAGAGAGTAAGTCGGTAGAAGTTATAAACTACACCTAACCTGTCTTTTGCAATAGATTTTTCAGCTATTTACAAATAACCTTGTATTTGCTCATTTAACACAGTAGTGTGACTCGCTGTGTGTGTTCATGATGTGACATTAGGTGCAGAGGTGCCGCGCAGTAGCAAAGTTGTGGAGTCCCAGCTTGCAGACTTCCTCGTCTTCCTCAGGCGCATCCTTTCGCTAAGGGTAACCAAAAGAGTGTCCTCATTCTCCAGGTGGATCGACCCACTGATGACAATCATCTCCTACCACAGCAGCTCAGGTACCAGCATGATTGATATTGGAAGTTCAAAGGCTGATGTAATTAACAAGTAATGAATATTTGGTTTCTGACACTGTATGACATGCTAAAACCATATTAAAACAGCCAAATGAGTAGCATTTTGAACACCTCCCTCAGTTCCTCTATAAGTTAATCAGTTCTGAAAAGTTTGTGAGCTAATTGTGAATACTTATTCCAGGTAATCCTCATTTCTATAATCTCCGCACAAAGCTGTTAGCCTTCCACATTCTGGAGGCTTTACTTCCAGCCTGCTCAGACCCTCTTCAGATGAAACAGGTGAAAAAGATGGTCAAGCCATGAATTCACTCTTGTATGTTTTTCAGTGATACATTTTTATTGATGTTTTATTTTGTGTTGCAGATTGTTGAGCAGCTGTTTGGGCTTTTATCCACCTACATGTGGGAGGAACCTCTGGCCATGAGGAGGAAACTAGAAAAGGCATCCGAGAGCTCAAAGAAGGTACAGTGTATTTCAGACACGTTCACCAGATAATGATAGAAAAGTAGGTAGTAAATGTAGGAACACTCACTTGTGATAATCTTTTACACATAAATGCTCTTTCTTTCTAAAAGCCTTTTCTCTCCTGGTAGATTTAAGTATCATGTTATGTTTTATTTAATAATTAAATCGTTTGTGTTATTTTTGGGTGTATTTCAGGAGTGCAGCAGTGAGGACGAATGTATTCCTATAGGTGATTTCTCCTTCGATCCTCATAAGCTGGTCTGCTGTTCTCTGGAGAGTGGAAATGTTCTCTCCCATGGCTCTGGAGGGAAAGGTTATGGCCTGGCCACCACAGCTATCACCTCTGGCTGCTTCATCTGGAAGGTATGGCATGTGTAATGCAGATCCCTCATTTTAATTAAATGGTCAAATAAATGTTTATTATAGTACATATATTCTGTTGTAGTAATGCTATATTAGTGTCTAGTATAAGCCCAGAAAATGAAGAAATTATGAGTTATTAGTTAAGCAGTGGTGGGATGGTGTTTAGATACGTACTTTATGCGCTAGCTTGTGTTATTCTTTAAATGCATGAGTTTTTTGTATATGCGAGTAATAGTAACTTATAGTGACTCAATACCTGACGTAAATAGACCTACAAACAGCCATGACAGTGTAAAACTGAAACTTAAATGTCAAAATAATTATAGGAGAAAGTGCAACATTCGCTCTATTCTCAGCAAAAGGGTAACTTTCTTTGGTTAAGAGTGTAACATTTTGGCCCACATGCAAGGCCTGCATCTTTTTACTGATTGTTTTAGTAGCACTTCACCTGTAGCTGGTGGAAGCACCTTTGTCTTCTTCTTCATCTTGTTTCAATAACAAAATAATAAAGCGTATTCAAGATATAGTGTTGTCACTCATACAGACATATGCAAAATTTGAACACCTCCTATTTATAAATGAATTTCAAACATACCACACTTTCTACAGGGAACAAACTTCCAAATTTTAGTTCACAATTACTTCTTATTTACGTTTAACATATGGGAAAAAATAAAATATAAAATTTGCCGTATCTTTTGAACAGGCAACAATGATAAACTTTTTCCAAAATATGTAGATAAACAGTAATTATGCATTGAAATGTGCAAGTATGTGTTCTCTGTAGAGAATGTGTTAACTTATTTTCACTTAGAAAATCAATAAGACATGTAATTTGACCAGTTGCACCCATACTTCTGCAAATGACTGTATAGAAAAGATGGATGAGGTAAAGGGAGGGATATATATTTTGAGCCTGAAGTAATATCATTTGGAGATAATATCAGCTGTCATTAATGACTTGCAGTTTTATCAGTATTAGCAAAAAGAAATCTATGTAGCTCCACCCCCACTGTAAGTTTTAGCTGTATGTTTGAGTTTAACTAGTGTGACAACCGAGAACTGATAATCATATGTGACAGTAATGCTCTGTTTATCTTAAACTATCAGAGTAAAATTTCATGCCTTTGTTGTTTGTTGTATTTGTTGTATCACAACTCTGTAGAAACAGTGTCAATAAAACAGGCTACAGCATGTATCAAGATATTGAGAATATGTCCCGTCTCTTCCCCTCCAGTTCTACATCACTAAAGAGAACAGAGGAAATGAAGGTACATGTATTGGAGTGTCCCGCTGGCCCATTCGTGACTACAACCACCGCACCACTACAGACATGTGGTTGTACCGGGCCTACAGCGGCAGCCTATACCACGGAGGTGAGCTGGGCCGGGCACTGCCCTCCTTCACCCAGGGAGACACCGTCACCTGCATCCTGGACATGGAGGCCAGGACCATCTCCTTTGCCAAAAACAACAGGGTGAGTGGAGTTTGGTTTTTTGGATGTGATAAATGCAGACATTCAGTGATGTTGTAGTGTTTCAGTATTTTATAAATGTTGCTGTGAAGAATTGTTGTTACATCCTTATTAATAAAGACTCCTAAATGGTTCTTGGTTTAGATGTACAGTTGTAGGAAAAACATTTAACTGCTGTAGAATCTTTGCATAATGGTTAGATGGTAAGTGCACTTTGTATGTGGATGTTGCTGAATATACTGAATCTCTGATGTGCAGGAGCCCAAGCTGGCATTTGAGGGAGTGGATGCTACAGAGCTTTACCCATGTGTGCTCTTCTACAGCAGTAACCCAGGAGAAAAGGTCTGTCTGTCACCTCTAATAGCTTAAAAGGCCCACACAGGGGACTGTTTAAGCCTCTGTAGGCTGATATATGGTGCTTTTGGGTTCCAGAACCTCTGCAGGGAGACTTTTTTTTTAAATGCCAAACAAATTTTAAAATTATTATTATTTATTTCATTGATTAGTTTTTGTGTCACATTTCTTTCCACTTGTTTTTATTGACATGTATATTGCTGAGAGGTTCAGTGTCTTTCAGTTTACACAAAATATACCTTTAATAGCCATTTTTTGAGCCATCTGATTGGCTCTTTGTCATTCGCCCTACAAACCCCATTTCTGGAAAAGTTGGGACATTTTTGTAAAATGTACTGAAAACAAGAATCTTAATTTAAGTTACCCTTATTAGTCCCACGACAGGGAAATTTAACCTCTGCATTTTAACCCATCTATGCAGTGAAACACCCACATACACACTAGCCCTATCCACAGCGCCCGGGGAGCAGTTGGGGGTTAGGTGCCTTGCTCAAGGGCACTTCAGTCATGTACTTTCGGCTCAGGGGATCAAACTGGCGACCATCCGGTCACAAGGCTGGTTCCCTAACCTCCAGCCCATGAGTACCCCCTCCAGCCCATCAGTGCCCCCAAATCTGTGATTTGTTAATTCTCCTGAATCTTTGTTTAACTGACAAAGAAGTACAAAGAAATGACTATTAATGTTTTGGCTGAGCAACTTGATTGTATTTTGTAAATATAAACAAATTTTGAATTGGATGCCTGCAACACACTTGAGAAAATCGGGACAGGGCAAAATAAGAGTAAAAGTTTTACAGAACATTAAAGTTACACTGTTTTGAAACATTTCACAATAAGCAGGTGACTTGGTAACAGGTGAGAGTATCATGACTGGGAAAGGAGTTTCCTCAGAGGCTCAGTCTTTGCAAGCAGACTTTGTCACAAAGACTTTGTAAAAGAATTGTTCAGTAGTTCAGAAAGAGCATTTCTGAATGCAAGATTGCAAAGAATCTAGGTCTTTCACCTTCTACTGTACATATTATTGTAAAAAGTGTGGAAAGGGTGGAAACCACTGTTGGATGTGCATGACCTTCAAGACCTCAGTTGGTTGCATGAGAAACTGTCATGCTACTGTGTTAAATATAGGTACATGGGCCCCGGAGTAGTTCAGAAAACTATTGTCACTTAACACAGTCCACTGCTGCAAAAAGAAAAAGACCGGACACTCTATTACGCAAGGAGAAATACATAAATCAGTTCTATGCAGAAATTCTGTCGAGTTCTCTGGGCCCAAGCTTATCTCAGATGGTCCAAAAGACAGTGGAAATGTGTACTGTGGTCAGATGAGTCCACGTTTCAGCTTGTTTTTGAGAAAAATGGACACTGAGTGCCAAAAGAAAGGGATAATCCAGATTTTTATCAGTGAAAGGTGCAAAAGCCAGCATCTGTCTTGGTATGGGGTGCACCAGTGCCCATGGCATGGGTGACTTGCATATGTGTGAAGGTTCCACTGTCATGGAGGCGTATGTTGGGATTTTAGAGAAACATACACTGTCATCAAGACGATGTCTTTTTCTGGAACGTCCATGGTTATTTCATCAAGACAATGCCAGGCCTCATTCTGCACATGCTACAGCAGTGTGGCCTCGTAGAAGTGCATGTGCTTGACTGGCCTGCCTGCAATCCAGATCTGTCTTTGTCTAATTGAAAGTTTATGGTGCTCCATGAAGAGGAGAGGAGACAATGACGACCATGGACCATTAAGCAGCTGAAGTCTTGTAACAAGTAGTATCCTCTGTTCCTAAATGATTAAAAAGTGTCATTAAAAGGAAAGATGATGTAACACAGTGGTAAACATGCCTCAGTCTTTTTTTGAGTGTGTTCCAGGCATCAAAATACAATTTAAATACACTAAATACAATGAATGGATAGAATCTGATAATAAATATAATTAAATAATTTGTAATGTGTCAGTATAAATGAAAATCACAGCATTTCATCTTTCAGTCAGGAATTTATCTCTCCAACCTTTGATAGTTTCAGTGTTTTTACCATCATTCCGCTTCTCCTTGAAGGTGGCGCTGTGTGACCTGCAGATGCGGGGCATGCCCAGTGACCTGCTGCCAGGTGACCCCCTGTGCAGTCCTCGGGCCACCGTACTGGTCGAGGCTACAGTTCAGCTTCTGCGGCGGCTTCACCACAGCGACGACTGGGCGCCTCACATTAACCAGCACATGAGCCGCAGACTAGACCTCATCGGCCCTATAATGAGAGAGGGAGCCCACTGCAGACATGGTCAGTGTGAACAGCTGGGGAGAGTGTGGTTGGTTGGCAGTGTTGATTTATGAACGAACTAAGCTAGCATGCTAGACTATTAACACATTGGTGGTGAATACACTTAAAAAAAAATCCATTTGTTCAGATTTTTGCTGATGCTTTCTAAGTGAGTGATGAGAAGTTTGGTAAATAATTGGAATAAAATATTGATTTTATCATTATTTTTTCATTATTGAGGCTTCTCTGTATGTTTTTCTGATAATTTTATGTTTTCTGCTTTTTTTGTGATTGAAAAATGAATAAATTGTACCTAATGGCCATTTGACTGGAAATCAAATAAATGACAGTACTGTACAATTTTGTTTTAATTTAAAAGGCATAATTATTTCTGTTTGTTGTTTCATTCTTTAAAATGTTATAGTATTCTAATGTTGTGCCTACCGTTTCAATAATGTCTGCTAACCAACTCATTGTAACTGAGAGCTTCAGGTTATAATCAAATCTCGGCTCTTTCTTGTTTGTGCGTAAATGTTAGGACACGTCTACAAATTAGGATTAAATACAGATTTAATCGTCTGATGTATGGCGTGTGCTGTGTTTTTCTGAGCAGGTCATGGCAGTAAGGATCAGGCAGAGTGTGGAGTGATGGAGAGAGAGAGGAGTCCAGGGGAGACCTGGAAGAGTCCTGAACTTTTCTGTGGTCCCACGGGTCTGTCCGAGCCCCAGCTCAGCGTGCTGTGTACAGAGGTGTGGCCAGTTCTGGCCCTGATTGGAGGAGTGGACAGCGGGCTCCGGGCTGGTGGCATCTGCCTACACAAACCCAGTGGCCGGCGGGCCACTCTGTTAGGGGTCCTTAAGGAGGGAAGCCCCCTGGCTAAACTACAGTGGGAGGAGACCGATCTGACTGTGAGGTAGGCATGTATAAACCAGCACACATACACATGCACACAGTACTATGTACAGTAGTGTGCAAAAGTTTGAAAGTTTTGATCAAACTTATGTTTTGTTGATTTCCTACAAGAAAATTTAGCACATTTAAATAAGCAGTTTTGCACATTTTAGTGCACATTTCATATTTTTGGCTGGAAAATGTTGAAATGTAAAATGTGCCTTAACTTTTAAATAAGTCACATTTCATGTTTCGCTACTTTTCCAAATATGTTGAATTCAGCAAATAAACAGTATTTGTGCATTAAAATGTTCAAAGGTGTGCTCCTTGTAGAGAACATGTTCACTTAGACATTGACAATCAACATAATGTGTTTTGACCAGGGGTGCACAAACTTTGCATGTGACTGCTGAGCATACTGTAGGGTGATTCTTGGTCACATACTGGCCTATATTTGAGGGCCAGGTCCATAAGGTCCACAAATTAAGTAGCAAAAATAAAATGCACATCTAATGTTTACTATCTAGTCTCTGCATTTGATGTGTAGACACCAAACTGTAAGCAGTGTTATGGTTAACATTACTCTCTTTAATTGACATTAGAAAGCAAAGCTTCAGATGTGCTTATTAGTCTGGAATAAAAGAAGAAGAAACATAATGTATTGTGCAAAATTTTGTTATTTTAACTAGGTATTTTTTTGCTGAGATAATATCAAACATTTTCCTCTTTTGATAGTCCCATAGTAATTATTCAAAATGCAGATATTCAAAAACCAAAATACCCATGCCCACAAGATAATTATTCACATTTTTGCAGTATGTCACTGTGATGACGTTATACGAAGACTATTGTAAATGCAAAATATACACCATGGAAAATACGATACAAAACATTAGGGATGCATAGACCTCATACCATATTTGACTGTTGTGTCTTGTAATGCATTTTTTATAGGATCAGATGTTAATTGACTGACTGTTACATACACTGGACAGATCAAATCATCTATCACTCCCCATTCTGCCTATTTGTTTTGCCCACTATGTGTATATATTCATATATTTATTGCACAGCAATGCATGTCATACTTATACACTCTCAGAATAAAAGGTATGAAACTGTCACTGAGGCAGGACCCCTCTTGTCACTGGGGTGGTACCCTCAAGGGTACATCTCAGTACCTTTAGTCAGGACCATAATTGTGTCATAATCCATTGAAATTATATTTTCTAAGTTGTATTGACTCCACACACCCCGTCTCGTCTCCAGGCTTTTTATTTTATTGTTCTGTTTCAAAACTTGAGGTTATAAAAAGTAACAAATATATACTTTTTCACCTGGAAAAACTTGTTTAAGGTACACAATTGGACCTTAAAACCACTGTACCTTTGAGGGAACATTTACGTTGTTTGTACCTTGATGAGTAAAAAATGTACCTGTGCAGAACCTTTATTTCTAACAGTGTAGTAACGCTTGATTACCAGTGACCTTGACAGCTTTGATTACTTGAGCTCTTAGAAGTCTTGTGTTATCACTGTAATTTTGCTGTATTATTTAAATGTAATTTCAATTATAACATATACAGTTATTTAATGAACTACATTTACTTTACTGCTACTTGATTTTCATTTTGACAGGTTTGAGTCTGCACTTTCATCTTTTTTTCTGTCTTTTTAATGTCAGGAAATTACAAAAACATGGCAAAAATGAAATGAAAAAAAAACATGTTTTTTTCTATCCACAAAGACAGTTTATAAAAAGTTATAAGCACTACAGGGACTTTAATAAAATGGCTCCCCTTCTGCTGACAAATGTGGTGTGGTTTAGAAATTAGAAAATGAGTGAGAAGTAATTAATATCAGATTGCACTGTGCTTTTATCAACAACAATAGCTGGGACTTCTAAGGGTTAATGGATGTGTGGTGTTTAAATTATATGCTCATTCTCCTCAGAATGAATCTGTTCAGTGTCCCTCTCCATCTTCATTTCTTTCATTTTTCTATCATCTGTTTTCTTTCTCTTCATTTCTGCTTAATCATATTATCCTTTTCTTTGTTCTCTTTTTTCTCCTTTTCTGCTTTTCCCCCTCTTTCTCTCTCTTATTCTCTTTCTCTCTCCTTATCTCTCCCTCCCCTCATCTCCGTGTTGCTGTGTGCCCTGCCGTGCTCACACTAATCTAAAGCTTCCTGAATTCTTGGTCACCCAGCGATACCCCTCTGTCGTTTCTGGAGCCATGTGATGTGCCCCAGCTGGATGTTTCCCGCTGCAGTGGATTCACTCCTGCTGTTCTCTTTCACCTCATCCTGCTGACTGGTGTGCTGGAGGAGCCAGAGCTTGAAGCTGGAGCAGGAGCAGGAGCCAAAATGGGTGGAAGGGTCTCAGGGAAACCCCGAAATAACTCCCAGAGTAACTCTGAGGGTGGAAGCCGTAGCGAACTTGAGCAGAGACTGGACGAGGACATTGCACGTGTAATGATGTTGGAAGAAGGGATGACTGGTACGACATAGGAAAAAATCTTTTTTTTACATCATTTCATTGTGAGAATTGCCAATACATCATGAAGCATCAACCTGAAAGTGTTGATTCAGCTGTACTAATATTGGAATGTTAGAATCAATTTTAGTTATTTTAATATTAAATGTAGTATGCAGTCAATTTTTGGCCACATAAAAATGTAAAATAAATGTCCTTTTTTGAAAATTGTTTCTCCATTCATTTTATTCATTGTATTCATCTTTAATTAAATTATAAATAGCAATAAAGTAATTTTATTGATTCGTGGTCAGTTTAGAGATTTAATTATGAGACTGAATCATTTACTGAAGACTTATAATCCATTTTATTTTGTTCTGGTCATTTTATTTTCTTAGGCCTAATGACCAGCTTGACCGAAGAGGACAAAAACAAGGGGGATGAGAGAAAAGAGGAGCACCATGGTGAAGCAGAATCCCCCAGAACCCCTAAACCCTCTGCAGAGGAGCAAGAGGGTTCCCCCTGTCCACTGACACTGTCAGTGCAACCAAGAACAGACCTTTTTGCTCTGGAGCTTCATGCCGTCCGCATATCCTACCTCCTGCTGGGGGCATTGAAGTCCCTTGCTGTGATTCTGAATTGTGGGAAGTTTACAGATCTGCTCTTGGTGCCTAAAGCAGAGGCAGCAGCTGGCCTGGGCAGCCCTGATCCAGCCAGATGCCCTGCAGCAGCTGCTGGGGAGGAGAGTGCTGAGCTGCGGTCCGTTCTGCAGTTCCTGGTGCGCAGCATGGTGAAATGGGCCGTCAGACCAAGCCCTATCAAACAGTCTGTGGCTCTGGCAGACCTGGAGAGAGCTCAGGTCATGATCTTTAAAGGTGCCCTCTGCAGACTTCAGGAGGACAGCGCTAGCAAAGAGAACAAAGGTACGTGGATCACATAATGCAGCTTTTTTCAACTTTTCGGTCATGCGCAAAGGTTTAAATGCCCCCAATGAAAATAAGTTAACGTATCCTTTACAGAGAACACACATAAACGTACCATTTTTCTGTACATTTACGTTTTAGTGCACAGTTTCTATGTATTTGCTGTGTTTAACATACTGGGAAAGAATTAAAAATAAAATATAAAATGTTTCATAACTTTTCCCCTGGCCACATTTTGGGTTTATTATGTAAAATTCAGCAAATAAACACTAATTGGGCATTAAAATGTGCAGAAATGTGTATTCTGTACAGGATTTATACTTTTTTCACTTAGAAGATCAACAAAGCATGTAATTTGTCTGTCAAAAGCATGACTTTTTAAAACCTTCAACCAAATAAGCATGTTTTAAAGCAATGTTTTTCAACCCAGTCTGTTTTGGAGTGAGCACTGATTTCAACAGTTCTGACACCAGCTGGAGCAGAGCTAAGTCACATTAGCTGGAAAATCAAATGTAAACCCAGGAACACTGATAAAGACACTAGCACAAGTGCAAGATGGTGCTTTTATTTACACATGCTTTAAACATAAAATTAAAAATTTTAAACAGAGCATTCAGAGGGCTTTATTCTTGCAGGTATGTTTTTCACTCATTCAGAATTTCATGCATCACCCTTGTCCACATGATTTTGGAAAATGGTAGATTGGGGCAGGTGTACTGCTATTTTTGACAATATATGAATGGGAATTGATAATAGGCTCTTACCTTTATTATTGTTATGTTTGTTTAAGTATACTACAGACACTGAAACAGTGAGGAACAGCCGTTATCTGATGTGTGATGTCTTCATCACCTGCAAACAAGGAGCCGTTCTCACAGATTTTTAGCCATGTTGGAAGGCATCAGATGTGCTTTTTATATGATACTCTCAATAAAAGTACTCGCACCACTTTCCGTCTCCTTTTCAACTCTTACAAATCTTGAATCAGGTAGTGAGGAGTTGGGGAAAAAAAACAAGGAACTTTTATAACCAAAATATTTAATATCTCTGTATATCTCTATATAAGCTATAAACAAGAACAGGTGTGTTTCCTAGGTTCCTCTTTCATGATACAAGTACTTAACAAATTAAAAAACACCTGAACAAGGGGCACAAAGGCCAAAAACACATCAGACAGCAATCATAAAAAAAATGACAGTAATGAACTTTAACACAAAGCTAATTCTTACACAAAAGGGCTAAAATCAGCATTATCATTTCTGATTTGCTAAGGGCTTTTATTACAAAAGTGGAAATTGAGAAGCGCGGGTTGCATGAGGCCACTGTTGCAGGACAGTCAGGGTTCCGGACCTCTCTGGGCTTAAGATTCACACTCAGCCAAACATACCGAACTCTCAGGGCTCTGGGTTCTGGAAAAAAAAAAGAAAAGCTTAAGTGTGAAAATTCTCTCTGTCTCTTAGGATTCTCCAGTCTCTCTGGTCTCTCTGCACATGGCTCAGAGATCCTCTCTTTTAAAATCCATGCACATTCCCTTATAGGCATTCAGAAGGGGCACTCCGCATGTGATTGGAGATGTTTGACTGCAGCGCCGCCTTCACGCTGTCACAAAATACTTTGGAAAAGAAAACTGCCCACTCATTATTTAGACAAAACCTACTCTTCATAACAAGGAAAACACTTGTTGAAACTGAGTTTTGAAGCTAAATATACCCAAAATATAAGCAAAGAGCTGTTTTGTGCTAACAAAAAACCTTTTGGAATTATTACCTTTTGGGGTGATTCTAAAATGTAGGCACCTTTAAGATGTCTATCATTTTAAGGTTAATCCCAGTGCTTCTTTGGCAGTTTTTGTAGATGCTGTGCTGTAGAGTTAGCTCTGTAATCTTCTCCCCTTTTTAGATTCTGCAGGCCACGGCTCATCTCAGCCTGTATCGAAGTCTTCCAGCTCCGTCTCGCTGTACAGCAATGGTTCAGATGGGACTGCCATCTTTGGCCAGTCAGCTTCCTCCTCCACCAATGACCTGACGACCTCACTCCTCTCCGCCCTGCAGGCTGACGGCTTGGAAAACTTCAACCCTTTCCTGCCCATCAACCTCCTACAGTGAGTACTGCTACAGGGAGACTACAGTACTGAAAAATAACAGTGATCTAGGTGATAGCCATCTTTATATTTATACAATTCACCCTGCTGGGATTATAATTATATTACAGCTGTATTCTGACTGAGGGAAACAGGCAAAGATGAAAGTCAGTAAAAGTCCTCAGCACGCTACTGTATTACATATATTTCTTTTTCTGTGTACTTGAAATTATGATGTTAATGTTATTCCTTGACAAATGACTAATTATTGACTATTAATATATTGATTGATTTCTTTTCACACTGTTATTGTATATCTACCCGAACCTAACCTCACATCCAACACAGCATACACAGAGAAACCACAGTTAACTGAAGTTTTGGTGTCAAAATTTTGGAAGTATGGACCAAAAAAGTCAGAAAGTTTCTACATGTACAACATACTCAGGTAAAAACCATTTAACAGATAAAATGAGGGCATCAGTCTTTCAGAAATTAATTTTGAATTTAGTCATCTTACAGTCGATAGTGTTTTAAATGATATACTATCTAACTGCATTTTTTTATCAGCCAGAAGATTATTTTATCATTACAACTGGAGAATAACAGTTTTAGGCTTAATGTTTATTCAGTTTGAAAAGTAAAAATATTTCACATCATTTTATAATGTATTAGTTTCAACAACATTCATTATTTTCTTCTTGTTTCAGTTTTTGTTTCAGTTTACCTTTTTTCCAGTTTACAAAAAAATGTTTTTTTGTTTTTTTTTATCTTAGTTTTATTTTAGTTTATTATACCTTAAGCACACACACCCACATGAACACTCTCAAAAAACACAAACACTCAGTGAGCTCTGTGATGTGGCTGGATGTTTTCACTCCAGATCACTGTCAGACAGCGACACATCAGAGGCTCAAAATCACACTCGGTCAACTACAGGTGCGAGTGAGAGAGCAGGTGAGTGTGTGTGTGTGTGTGTATGTGTCAGGTAGAGAAGACATGGCCATGTCTAAACTAACCTCTTTAACCTCAACAGCATGTTCACCTAACTGCTGCCATAAGTTCATTCTGCTTTGCAAGGAGGAGCTGACCAAAAGGCCTCTATTCACACCAGCGTAAAGGATTTACACTGCAAATGGGACCAAATTCCAGATTTGAGATTTGTCCTTATTTAACATGATAGTGTGGCATAAAGTACACAGTTTTTCCGCTCACCCCAAATGTAGTTAGTGAGCAAATAGATTTTATCTGAATTTTGCTTTTTTAGTTTTGCACAGGAACTCAGTGGCTAATGTAGCTAACACTGGAAGCTTATAACCTACTACTTAGCATCATACAAACCCTGCAGTGTAATGCTTAGAAATGCATCCAGTAGTTCAGTGATCTCAAGCAGACTTGCTTATGTGGTTTCTGACACTGTATGATATACTATCATCGGTAACACTTTCTATGAATGTCACCTTTGTAATCATCTACAAACGCATTCATAACATGTTATAATGCATGCATAAGACATTATAAACATAGCTATAAATATTTATAAAAATGCATTATACGTTATAGCCATGTTTATTATGCATTATGAATTGTTAACATAATACATTATAAGTACTGATCATAACAAATTATAAGAGCTCATAAGTTTTATTTGTCCACTCTAAGTAAAGTGAAGCGTACTGTACTAAAGCCTCCTCCAGTGTTAAGAGTGAGGCTTCAAGTTGAAGTATTTACTGAAGGATTTACTGAAACACTAAAACATACACAATAAAGCACATTACAGGCTTCAAATGTCAGAGTTTAAACTAGTGCTGCCATCAGTGTTTTACCCAGTGTGGGAAAGGTAATGTGCACCACCGTTAGCTTGGTATTTGACTTTACGCTCTCCAAGATGGGACTGACTTCTTTGGCACTGACATTATAACATGTTATTAACGCTATTTATAATGTATTATATTAACAATTCATAATGCATAATAAATATGGCTATAAAGTGTAATTCAGTGTAATTCATTTTTATAAATATTTATAACCATGTTTATAATGCCTTATGAATACATTATAACATGTTATAAATGTGTTTATAGATGCTTACAAAGGTGACATTCATAGAAAGTGTTACCCTATCATCTATAAAAATGGCCAGCAGTATGGACACAATTCTAGCTTCAAGATGACTATTACTGTCTATTAGCTACTTGTAGTAGCTGCTTAGCTACTTTTGTCCATTTTACTTTGGTCCAGTGTAGTGTGGGGAAACAACATAAGCAAATCTATTTAGAATTACTTTAAAAACCAGGAGGCAAGTGTGTGATGATTTAGGCTTTTAGGTTTTTTAATGCTAATTAGTGGGTTATAAGCTTTCATTGCTGGTTAGCTACAGTAGTGTCATGGCTCCAGTGCAAAACTGAAGAAGCAAACTCCAGATAACAAACATTAATATGAGGGGGAATTACATAAAATAAATGATGGTTTCAGAGCAGTATTACTATGTTCATTGAGGTGAAATGGGGTTATCAGCAATATGTGTGCTGGTTGAAAATGAAATTATAACCATTTGATGCTAACGAGGCATCTTTAGTTCTCAAAGTGAGCAAGTAGAGCCACTTCTGGCTAAATGTGGATTCTGTGTGAAGGGCTGGTGTTAGCAGCTGTCCTCTGTGTTTGTGTGTGTGTGTGTGTGTATGTGTCTGGGCCCCTCCAGGCGGATGGTGCTGGCCCGGTTCCCCACGCTGGCTGGTTTGGTCCACAGCCCTGTGCTACCCCCTGGGCTCAGCCTGGTTGGCTCCGCCCCCTGTGAGGGATACACAGAGCAGCAGACCAGCTTCCTGGAGCCCTGCGGCCAGACCAGAACCCCCGTGGGTAAGACCAGGGGCAAGAACGAAAAGGGAAATGGGCCAAAATTCAGTCCAACGATAGTGGAGAAGTATCAAGGCTGCCGTGTAGGGCAGGAGTTCCAGATCCTCATTCTGGAGCATCCTTGTCCTACATGTTTTAGTGTTTTCCCTGCTCTGACACACCTGGAGGATATTTCACAAATGAGGATTTTTCAGTAAACTGGATAACATAAAGGCAAAGTAAGGAGTATACAATAGAAGTGCCTGCATTGCTCCACTTCTCCTAACTCTCAATTGCAAATATTAAAAACATCTCACTGGTCCTAGGCATATTATTCATCGAATAATTGGGAAAAAAAATCTTCTTAACCATAATTCAAATTGAGTTAAAATCTAGTGTCTGATCAAAACTTTAGGTACTGCGCTGCAGATTGCGTAGTTATGACAACATAACTTTTTTTTTCTTGCAGAAGAGAGACTTTGATTCTGTGTGAGATACTGGATTTCAGAAGTAAAGTTATGTACAGTGACCAGTGACTGATGCAAGTAGAAATTTAGCCAACATATCATACAAACATTGTGAGCATTAACTGTTACTAGGTGGCTATGTCGTGACAAATTAAGTAACGGTAGTATGTGTCGGCTAAAGTAAATTAGTTGACAAGATGTGCAGAAATAACTTACCTAGTTAATTAAAGTACTTGCCCAGAAGAAAGGAAAGGAGTAATTAAATAAAAATTGGAAATAATGCAGTCTATAATAAACTCAAAATTCTAGCTAGCTTGTTCACTGGTAGTGACTCAGACTTAACTAAAGAGACTTTGGTTTGTGTGGGAGAGGGTTGTGACTGTAATTCTGAGTGGTACAAAGGAAGTACAAGTATATTATTTCACATTCAATAGTAAATTAATGCGGGTGCCTATGGTTAACAGCGACAAAACACATTAAGGAAATCAGCTCACAGCTCCTTCAAGTTATGTAGCTAACTGAGGAAACATCCTTTGTGAAACACTTATTAAACATTAACAAACCCTTATGAAAGCCCTCTGTTGCTGGGGGGTTCAAGAGAGTACAATTGGCCTCAATTCTAACCAATGCAGCCATCTGTTACGTAGCAGAATTGGCCATTAATGTTCTCCTCCAAGCGTGTAGGATAGGTCTACTGCAGAACCAAGGTTGGGAACCACTGGTGTAGGACAGAAACTGAGTGCCTTTGAAGAGAACAGGCTTATTTTATGAACAATAACTGTAAAGAGAGATTGGCTTTTATTTTGCCTGTCTGGCTGTTTTAATGTAAAACCTGTGAAATGTGAATGCTCTTTTGTTGGGTGGTTTGCAGGGGTATGTTACTAATTTACTCAGTGCATGGAGTTAACCTCTGAACCTCCTCACTCTTGCATGGGTTTCATCATTGATTTTAAAACTGCATATTCTAATATCCAAAAAATCCTGCCAGTATGTTTCATGACAAGATGTTACATTATTTCACCTGTTATTTTATCTAAAGAGTGCAGTTATGATGACTCACTTGTCTTCTGAAGTGTGATAGATTAATGCACCGTTTTCTCTCACTGATGTTTGTAGTTATTTTTCTCCCTTGTTTAGGTTGTGTTCTGCATGTTTTATTTCACTGTTGGATGGCTTCATGTTTTTTTTTCCTCCTTCAGACCATCCCCAAATGTTTGTCCCTGTTCGGTTGTTAGAAATGGGCTTCTCTGTGAGACACATCTACAGAGCCATGGAAGCTGCAGGTACCTCCAAGATGTTTGTGATCTATGTTCAAACTATCTTATTCAGATTTTTTCTATGACTGCTCTTAAAAGACCTGCTACTGTTCTGGCAAGCAGTATGCTGAGCTGTGCGTTGCAGTGATTTTTTCATAGTTAAGTGGTAAATATATTTAGGTATGATTTAAAGTGGCGTAAAATCACTGTAATGCACATATTTGATTGGCTTAATCATTTTGTAAGACAACGACAAAACACTGTATACTAAACTACACGGATGTTCAATAACGTGTGTGTATATTAAGTGTTATACAACTGCTTTGAATGTTGGACACTCGGCTTTAGCTTACAATTATGTTGCGTTTACATGTTGGCGCTTGAAAATAAATCCTTTCATACCTCATCGTGTCATTGTGGTATGCAAGCGATGGTGGCTTCAAGCCAAGCAAATGTTGGCATGGTGTCCACGTCATTGGTGAAAATGGATGATCAGAGGAAAATCCTTAGCAGTATTGGTTTTTTATTTAATGTCGGGGGAAAAAAGGGGGCATTTTCTGTTATTTAATGTTTTGTTGTGTGATACTGGGCTCACTTGGACTTCAGCAATGAGATGTGTGGCATCAGTGGCTCCCAAAAAAATCAACATCTGGTTTATTCCATCTACCGTGGCTGACAATAAGAGCTGAACTCTTAAAAGGAGCATTTTGCTGACCACTGTGGTACAGTGCCTTTGCCACTGGCGGTGACAGAATTTTCCGTCACTGGTCAGAATATCTGCTTTATCATTGACGGCCTACCACCAACATGTAAACACTGCATTAGATACAAGGGCAACAAGAGAGATGTGTTTGTTCTGCATTCCTTACTTCCTTCACATCATTTGTCTTCTTTATTTGCCTGTCTTCCTCTTGTCTGTCTTGGCTGAAACAATACACTATCGCTTTAATTGAGCCTGTGTCTTCTTTATCACCATCATAATTTGCTGTCTCTTGAATAATTAGTTGCTTGTTAGTATAATAAATCATATTCTCCCTGAATATTGGACATATTGACAAACTAAAACTCTGAGTGCTGGATTTATTTTACCAGAGGAGCTACTGTAATCACTGGAATCACTAGCTAGATCTGTGGTTTAATCCAGTTCAAATCTGTAGTGTCCATAGTTTTATGTTAGTAATTCAGAAGGTAAGTATTTCCTGTAATTTGATGTATGAGATTTTAATTCACCTAATGCTAATGAATTACAAAATCTGATTATGCAGTATGTTATTGTTATTGAGTGTGTGCTGTGCATGCTGATGTGCACAGTCAAGCTATGATATTTTAATCCAGGGTTTTGAGGAAAGTGCCCAGATACTTTATCCTAATCACACAACACATGACACAACCCCTGCTAAAATTAATCCAGCTTCAACAGAGTCTTTCTGTTTGTGTTAAATCCTTGGAGTGCTTTTACTGATTGACCTTTGTCTTGTGACTTAGGGGTCACAGGTGAGGTGGACTCTGCTATGATTGAGGTTTTGGCGAGCTGGATGCTGGAGCACCCACTGACTGAGGAACAGCACGCAGGAGAGGGCTCATCAGCAGGGGGTGCCACTGACACACCCTCATCAGAAGGGCCAGAGACAGTCCAGTGCCCGGAGTCTCCAGCTACACTTAGAGAACCCAGCGAGAGGTAGGAATATACACATACAAAGAGCAAGAGAGCCAAGAGCCTAAAGAGGATAATACAAATACAAATGGAAATACAAATACATGTTGTCTGCAAATTTTGTGCACTTCTGGTACTGAGAGAATGCACATTATAATTCCTCATATTTCTCTGTATGTATGTGTATGTGTGATAGTCTGTTAGCTGGGCTGGATCTGGTGGAGAGAGAAAACTTCTTGGACGTCCATCTAACACGGAATAGGCCTCCACCAGCCCGGAGACAGCGCTCAGGCCTGAGCCAGCGCACATCCTTCAGGAGAGCAGGTCCACATGCACAAATAAGCATACCAGACTCAGAATTTTTAGAGCAATAAACCAATAAGCAGAGTTTAGAATCACTTGGTATATTAACACGTTTTTGTCTTATAGGCAGTAATTACTTACACAGTGAGGATAGAAGCACATAAACTAGACACCAAAATGTATTTTTACACATTACATTCAGTATTTTAAATATTTTAGAAAGAACAAGGAGCTATTAAATTATGAGTTACATACTGTAAATATCTATTTACAGGCATTTTTTCAAGATATCTGCCTCAAGATTTGATCACCACTTTTTTTAAATATAAGGCATTCTATATATTAGTTTTATTATAACTTTGTTGTGGTCATTTTCGAATCAGAGCTCTGTTCGTCTTTCTGTAAGAATCAAAAATTTTTTAACAGCTTTATAGCTTCTTATTAATTACTGGAAGCCTGTTAAGTTGCGCAGGACTAATGTGTTCATCATCATTTTATGCATTTACCTGCAACTTAATTGGTTGTGCATTATTAAAAACAAACTTTTGACTGGTAGTGCACAATAGATTGTAGATAGAGATAATTGTAGATAATACATAACGTGAATAACATTTGTTCTTACTGTTTAGATTCTCCGTCGCCTGGCCCAGTCCCAGCCCTCTACAGACAAGAAGTGGGCGTGTCTGAGTGGCCAGAGCGGGCGGAGACTCACCCGTTTGCAGCAGAGGAGGAGTCGGAGCTGGGCTACATGGACGACCCATACCAGGAGGAGCCGTATGAGGAACTGCTTACACCTGAATTCATCGCCTCTGAGAGAGACACACTCTGGATGGTGGAGGTGCTGAGCAACATCTGCTTACAGAATGGGCTTCTATGATGATGATGATGATGATGATGATGATGATAATAATCATATCCTGTACACTGTAATGACTATCACTCTTTACATTTTCATTTTTTTCTCCAATATCTCTTTCTTCTTTCTTTTTTCCCTCTTATCTTTTTTCCTCTTTTTCCATACTCTCTTTATTTCCATTTTTGCACTTTGTTTCTGTCTTTTGCTTTTTCACTTTTTTCTCTCTCTTCATGTTCTTTCTCTCTTTCTGCTCTCTTTTCATACTCTCTCTTCATGCCCCTTCTCTTTTTCTCTCTTTTTACACTCTTTCTATCTGTCTGTTTCTCTTTTTAAACTCTCTTCTCTCCTTGTTCATTCTGTGTCTGACTGTTTGTCTGTCTATGTCTCTCTCTCTCACAGGCAGGAGAAGAACACACTGAGGCTCGTGAGATGGTGGAGTGTGAGTTGTGTAGCACTCTCACTCTGCAGTTTAACACCCACATGAAGCGTCATCACCCGGGCTGCGGTCAGAGTGCTGGCCGCCGTGGTTACCGTAGCAACGGAGCTTATGTGGATGGCTGGTTTGGTGGAGAGTGTGGCTCAGGTAGCCCCTATTACCTGCTGTGCTCAACCTGCAGGGAGAAGTACCTGACTGCTAACATGGGAGAGCTCAGCTCCAAACACGAAAGGTGAAGGACGTTTAGAGAGGTAGATGAAGATGCCTTATATGATGAGAGGGAGGATAGCGAGGATAGTAGAGCTGACCTTCCATAGCATAATATTGCTGTTTCCTTTTCTTAAAATCACACCAAAGGGAACCTTACACAGTACATTTCTTGTAACATCATAACAGGGACATTCCTATTATATGGAACAGAACGTTATGAATGGTGCTTATTATCTGTCAGTACTTCTAAATGTAAAAGTCAGTGTTGTTGTATGTTGCCAGTATCAGTGTACCAGTACAGACAGTATGTATCACCCAGCTCTAGATTTAGAGGTTGTAATGCATTGATGGTGTTTTTTCAGAACAAGGGGTCTGGCGTCTGATCTGATTGGCCGGTTGGACAGTACCTCTGATGGTATGTGTGCTTTTCTTTTGACCATTGGCTAAAGCTCTGCCGAATACAGTGTTAGATGAATATGACATGACTAAAAAAATAGATGGCTTATTTTTTGTTTATATCTTTGTGTGTATACATTAGACGAATGGGACCCTGGACACCAAGAGGACTCTGACTCAGACAGACTGACTGGTTTGGAGGATTTTGGAGTGCTCTTGAGGCCTTTGGGGCTCAGTGAGAAGAAGCTGATCCCGGACCCCATACCCTTCATTGAGCCCGACCCACTTGGAGCCAATGTTACTGGAGACAAAAACCTGCAGTACAGAGGTAACAATGATTGCTGATGCTGTTTGCAATCATTGTTTTCAGTCATTTGAAACCATTGTTTTTGCAGTTAAACGGATAAGTTTTAATATTCTGTTCCTGCACAATTTCACAGTTTTTGCATAATTTGTAAGAAATGTTAGATGTGTCCACAATGATGAACAAAGCTATAAATGATTCTAAAATGACTGAGGAAGTTGTATAACATCAAAGAGTGAAGTTATAATAAACTTAATATCAAGAAAAAAGTTTCAAATATTACTATCCAGAGTGACATTAAAATAATATTAATATCCAGAGAAAAATAACAGAATTAATATCCAGAATGACTTTGTAATGTAATTAATATCCTGAATGAAATTTTTCTTAAAATATTGTGAACATTGAATAAAAACCTAGTCTGAGCCTGTTGTCTGAAGGCAGTTTATACAGTGAGAGAGCACTGCCGGCACATTTCACCTGCCCTGATATTTAGTGGCTTTGTTTTCTTTCTTTCTTTTCTTTGTTTTAATATTGTATGTGTGTCTAGGTGTGGTGAGCACAGAGCTGAAGGGCTCGGCAGGTTTGCTGAGTCTGGGGGAGCAGGCTGCGTCTCTGAGAGAAGCTCAGGAGAGACTGGTGGCTTTGAGGAGAGTGACAGGCACTGCCCAGATCCTGCTGGCATACAGCATGGTGCTGAGGGCCCTGTCCCAAATCTCCTCCACGTAAGACACCTCTCCTCTATAGCTCTGTGTGCACGAGAGAGTGTGTGTGTTACACAAGCACATGTTTAGGAACCATATAAATTAAGTTTTATTTTTATTATTATTTATTTACAACCCCATTTCCAAAAAAGTTGGGACGCTGTGCAAAATGTAAATAAAAATGCAAATCATGTAAACCATATTTTTAAAGGGAAATACTACAAAGACAACATATCAAATGTTGAAACTGAGAAATTTGATTGTTTTTTGAGAAATATATGCCCATTTTGAATTTGATGCCAACAACATTTGCCAACAAATATTTTTCAATAAACAATAAAATTTCCCAGTTTCAACATTTGATATGTTGTCTTTGTATTATTTTCAATGAAAAATAGGGTTTAAATGATCTGCACATCATTGTCATTTGTTTTTATTTACATATTTCACAGCGTCCCAACTTTTTTGGAAATGAGGTTGTATTATAAATATATTTTTATGTATTATTGTTGTGTTTTGGGTTATTGGGTGTAATGTGAGTGTGCATATTAGAACTTACTGTCACTATTGACTAGGGCTAAGGATTGAAATTTAGCATCTTTATGGTACTGACTAAATTACATCAATACTATGGAGTATCGGAAAAAAAAATGTGACTTAATACTACAAGCCAAAAAGTATGCTAGTTTCTAAACAATAATATAGACTACTGAATGGATGTCTATATTATATTCTATCAGCATGGTATTATCACCAGTGCTTATTGATTAGTCTGCAGTCTTTCACTGAGACTTACAGAATTATACCAGGTGTTTATACCCACTTTCTGCATCTCACACTTTTTTCTTGTAAGATATAATAATTAATTAAAAAGAAGGTATTGAAAAAAGTATCATTCAGGAATTGGTATCAAAGTTAAAGCATCTGCTAATATGGATATCTAAAGATTTTAAGCTGTACGCAGCCCTAAATTAGACTGGGTCTTGGTTCAGTTAATCTTCAGCTAAGGAAAGCTTTTGTCTATGAATGTGATGATCTAAAACAGTTTTAATACATAATATACACTTCTGGTCAAAAGTTGGTGGACACTACTTTTGAAATTTAAATTTTTTTGAAATTTAACAAGAAAAATCATGTTGCTCATAGTACTTATTTGGTATGAAAAGCAGGTTTTGCCTAAATATTGAATGATTTCCCAGACTACGATTAAAAGCCATTTTGAAACTCTACTGGCCCAAAAGTGGTTTAAACACCTGAAAGGTTAATTATAAGGGGACAAAATGGGTGATCTTTGGCATTATTTCCAAGGTAGGACACTGGTCAGTTGAGCCTTCAGTTTTGCAACTTCTTGCTACAAAAAAAAAAGAAAACCCTGCCAAAACTACCAAAAAACTTCCAAAGAAAACATCTCAGAAAGTCGCTTATGCAAAACGTAGAAATACTCATTGTCCCCATTTTCACAGACAATGAAGGTTTGGGAAAAATGACACATTTGTTTGCTATTTTTCGCTCACTCACTGTCTCTCTGTCTCTCTCTCAGTAGTTCAGTGTGTAATCAGTCCAGTGGGCTGGAGGCTCTGGGCCTGGCAGATATTCGAATCCTTGTGAGGCTGATGTGTTTGGCAGCAGGTGGGCGTGTCCACATGGATGTGGACCAGCAGGGCTCAGGACGGGGCTCTGTGAGTGACAGCACAGGCTCCGCCTTCCTGTCCTTCCTCAGCTCTGCTATTGGCAGCTTGGTGTGCCACAGTGCTACAGCCTACAGAGAGCTAGTGGACATATGCACTCAGGTACATACAGACACATCCAGAGACATATAATTACACATATAATAACATATAATTAGACACCGTCTGTTATAAGTAGACAATGATGATCAGAAATGTAATAATTGCAGAATTAACTGACCTCATTGCTTCGCTTGCGTGTGACTAAGTATTTTCATGGGTCATGAGCTTGCTGAGTGTTTTCCTTTTGTTAGCTCCTACCTAATAAAATGAGGGCGTGTTTAATGTATATTAAGTGCATAGGAGGGCATTATGGACATAATTAGCTCATGCTATGTAAACGAGGGACTGCTGTATGAACGTGTGTTTACACATAGCAGAATCTGAATGATAAGTTGTGCTCAAACATCATCTTGTTTTGATATTGTTTTGATAACACCTCTGCCTTCTACGCTGTAGACTGGGGTTCAATCCCCGCCTGGGTAAGCACCCTACACTATACCAATAAGAGTCCTTGGGCAAGACTCCTAACCCTACCTTTGCCTACCTGTGTAAAATGATCAAATTGTAAGTCGCTCTGGATAACAGCGTCTGCCAAATGCTGTTAATGAAATGCAATTGTTTTTGTTATTCTCGGTGCACAAATCTGTGCTTGATTCTGCACAACCACTTGCCACAGCATAATGATGACATTAGAAGCATAGACACATGTTCCTCCACTTCATTTTTTAGTAGTGAAATTAACTTACTGTTAGAGAGTGAGAAACGTGATAGAAAAGTGCCTATGTGGTCAAATAAGGTCCTGATGATGCCTCCACATTGATAAAGTGATGTGGTGGAGAAGAGAAGGTGAACAAGAATTATGAGCCCACCTGCACATATTAGTAGTGTGCTTTATCAGCTCTGACAGATGTTAAAAAATTTAATTAAAATATATTTTTTTAATTCTTATGTACTTCAGTATTTGAAATAAAGGAGAACTTTAAATTTAATTAATTCCTCTGTGCATACTTGAATACTGTGTGTTCACTAAAAAGGCTTGTAAAGTGGTCTCCTACATTGTTTACATTGTGATGCTGTCACTGTCCATTTTTCTGTTATTTACTTTATCGTTTACTAACTATATCTCTCACTCTCTCACATGATAATTCCATATTTCTTTCTTGGTATAAACTCTTGCTGGCTGCTTTGCTCTCTTTCACCCTGAGACTTCTGTACAGACACTATGGATGTGGATGTATTTTGTTCTTCTAATTAATATCACAGCCCTTCTCTGTCACTCTCAGGATCTGATGGCTGCTGCTACCGGAATGAATCTTGGAGCCATTGCTGACCCACAGCAGAGAGGACGCCTGAGCGCTGGCCTAAAGGGGGCCCCACGGGATCCCAAAGAGTTCACACACCCCACATTTCTGGTCACTCAGAGCCTAGTGTCACTCCTGACGGAGAAAGGAGTTCGTTACCGTTATAGTGCGGAGAGAATGGAGTCCACTGAGTCTAAAGGTAAAACGCCAGCTAATATGAACAGGATGTTCTGGACGTTCTACTGAACATACTGTTTTAAAAGGTGATAAATGTTTAAGTTTGGATATGTGCACAAAACATGTTTTCATAATAATACTACTACTGTTACTACTACTACTAATAATAACTAGTAAAATAATAGTAATTACCAAAAACTGGATGTTTTTTATTTGCTGTTTTATTTTTATAATTTTTAATAAAAATGCTAAACATAACATAAAAACAAGGTAATAAAGCAAATACACTTTTCTTATTGATAAAACTTTTCAACAGAAAAAAAACGAGCTGAACAGACAAGGAATAAAAAAAGTTTACATAAAATAAACATACTATTTGTATTGATTATTATATTATATAATATTAATTATTTATTATTACATTTTAATATTTTTTATAATTTATTAATTATTATAGTTTGTAAGCTACAGTATGTACCACAAAATCCAATGTCCTCCACCACAGAAAACAATTCATTCAAGGTCACTTTTGCACATTTGTGCCATTTGTTTGTGAATTTTATTTGTCATTTCAAACGCTGTGACAACAGATGATGCCGTTGTGCTAATGGAGATCTTCCTATTGGCTGCTGTAGTTTTGCTGTATTCTACATATCGAGCAGGATGTTATGTTTTCAGGTGGTGTCAAACTTGTAGTGAAGAAGTGTTTGAGTGCCGTGCTTTCTCCTGGAACTCAGGATGAACAGAGATCATAAATTGCTTGTCTGATTTTCCTCATAGAAACCGTGAAATGTCTCTCTACAGTCAGATTTTTCCACTGTTTTCTTGCTGCTGCCCAAAATGACTGCATCTCTGCTGAAAGGCGCAGGAGAGCAGAAAAACAAAAGCATTGTCTTCAATCTTTGACATAATTTGTCACGTGTTAGATTTTGATACTTCGTTGTAATCCTTCGGCTTTTCTTTCTACCAAACCATTTTTCGCTCTCAACTGAAAACCAATTGTCACGTTTGACCATTTTTTGAAAGTGTTAATGTGTCTATAATAATAATAATAGTAATAATAATAATAATAATAATCCTTTGATCCTTTGATCCATATAACGGCACAGCTGTGGGAGACTACACTGAATAAATTGCTTCAGCATTAAAACCATAGTTTGTAAAAATTCAAATTTACAGTCTCCAATGTAGTACTCCAAATGTAGTAACAAAAGTGTGTTGCATAGCTAAAACAGTAATTTAAAAGCAGTAGTCTTAAAGCCTGAATTTTGTCTGTGCTTTTGTCAATTTTTATAAATGACAACATATACAGCGTCAGAAACCACATAGGTCTGTTTCCCTTAACAACTCAACAGGGTTTGAGATCAGCATGGTTAGGCATGCAGTTTGCACACTGATGACTGTTGGGGTATAAACTTTCATTCCATTACTTAGGGACAGGGGGAAATTGGGTCCTTTTTTGCTGAACTCTTTATTTAACTCCTTGTACACTAGGCTTACAATTAAGTTAATAATTCTACTATTTAATTTTCAATAACTACTATAAATTGTACAGTAACTGTTATGAAACTAATATGTGGACCGACATACAGACCTGAGAGTTTAGGGGTATACAGAGCACATTTATCATCAGCTTGATTAGAATGAATCATGTTCATGTTCTTTAACAGAGGCTGGAAGCCCCCCGACCCCAGTCCCGCCTCTTTCTCAGAGTGCGCTGCGTGTGGGACCTCTGGAACTGGCGAATGCTCTGGCAGCCTGCACTCTCTCCGCTAGGCTGACCAGTAAACACCGTCAGTGGGCAGCTCAGCAGCTGCTACAGGCACTCGCAGCCGCGGAAAGGGACAGCCCCATCCGACCCCAAACCTACAGCGACATGGCTGGAGACCTGCGCAAGTGTCCACTCAGAAAACTGGAAGCTCACCACAACAGGGTACTGAGTTTCTTTACACTGTTCAAAAGTGTAGAATCAATATTTTCGGTAGGCTAAAACCAATTTTGCTGCAGTTAAATGCAAATATGATTCTAGCATTTGCCTTTGGTTGGGGCAAATATCCATCTTAACAATACTGACCTGTTTATTTAAGTCCATCTGTGCCCCATACAGCCTCACCCTAAGCAAGGACAAGCCACGAGTTGCTTACTTGTACTGTAGGACTGAACCATATATTTAATAATCATTAGCATGATATTGGCCTTTGTAGTACTGATTTAGCAGAAGGCTGCATTAATTAATTTTTTTTTTAAATGTCCTCTGAGCATCTTGACCAGTTATAGTTTCAGCTGAGTTTCTGGGTGTTTTGATGAATCAAGGCATTCAAGTTGTCCAATAAATATAAACCATTTTGGTCAGAATAAAGGGCAGTCTTATTAGATCATATCACATTGCAGTGACTCTCGCAATATGTAGTAATATGGAATTATAATTACTATAATGTTGGCTCAAAAAAGGTTACACACTCTATAACTGGTCAATCCCAGGTCACTGGTCCTTATGATTGATTGTAGTTTGTGTCCATGCGTGTGTCCATGTGTAGGTGACGAGTTGCAGTTGGAGTGCAGAGCAGGGCTTGTTGGCTACCGGTTCTCATGACGGGACGGTTCGCCTGTGGGACATCTCTCAGAACACTGCAGAGCTGCTACATACTCACAGCTGCAGCAGGTACACATACAGTAATGTATTAATCATCAGTTGTCTACAGGGAAATTTCATATCGCACATCCCTAATTTTATTGTTTTGTGTAATTCATTTATGTGTTTAATTAATTATTTGTGTAGTTTGTGTAGTCTGGTTTTGAGAGGTTTGGACTGTTGATTTATTGTAGAACAATCAATGTCTCTGTCTCTTGCATAGAAGCATTATTTTCTGTTTTCTTTTGGTGACTTTTTATGCTTGTGTGTGTGTGTGTGTGTGTGTGTGTGTGTGTCCCTGTGTGTGCAGTGAGGCTGCTTCTGCTTCTGATGGCTCTGTGGGAACTCACCTGCTGTCTCCAGTTATGTGGAGTGCGCAAGGAACGTATCTGGCCGCCTTCCAGAACAAACTCATCAACATCTGGACCGTCCGCGGTGAGAGCTGACACACACACGTTTGTTTCTGTGGGGACAATATGTAGATTTCCACTAATTTCCTGGAGACTTAACCAGACCTTATCCATAACTAATACCAACCTAACCCTAGGCCTTACCCTAACCTTCCCCTAAGCCTAACCTTAAAACATGTCTTCACCTTAAAATTTAATGATTTATGTTGTGGGGACGTCCCCACAAGGAGGAGAGGTCCCCACAATGTTAGTGTATATACAGGTTTTGGTCCCCACGATATGACATAAACCTGGCACACACATATATATAAACACACACACACACACACACACACACATACACACACACAAACGTACACAAGCCTACTGTCCAACCTCCTCACACACCGCACCGTAAGCCGTATCCTGAATTGTACTGTTCTGAAACTTCTTTGAAAGCTGCCTAATGGCCTCCCAAGCTACTTGGACAGACGTCATCCCCTGATTTGTGCAAGCCGTAGACAAAATGATTAAAACAGTATATCAAAGGGATTGCCATATTTCGATGTCACAAAAACCTCAAAACTCTCAAATGCTTTAGAGCAAAGCTTTATTTTTTTAATTATGAATCTGACAAACTTAGGAATTTATGAAAGATCAAGCCACAAGCACAGCCAAAAATAATGTATGTATAATGTATAATGTAATTATAATATTGTATATTGTAAAAATTGTCCAAAATTTCGGCTGCTTTTTTCAAAGAAAGAGAAGCTTTGACTGGAAGCTGAGTGTCAATGACACTTAAATAGTTAAGAAATGAAACAATGACTCGATGAAAGAATGATTTAAAACAGTAACACTACAATGTAAAAAATGAAAAGTCTTATAGGTAAAGTGACTTGTTACACAGCTTTTTGAGTTAACTCAGCTGGAGTTCACCCAACTGGGGGTGAAGACCTCTTCCTAACTCGCATTTTTCAGTTCTGCATCTCAGTTAGGTAAACAATTAATATATATTTCAGTTTTTACTTACTACCTGGGACACTGTCCTTCACACCAGACATTCACTCCTCTTGGGCAGATACAGAGGCCTTCAGCATCACTAGGGGTTTGAACTCACAATCTCCTGGCAGTGGAGTGAATGCTTAGTCAGCTGCATTAGACAGGAGCCCCTAAAGTTTTTTCAGATTGTTGTTTTGTTAACTCAGTATTTATTGTTTAGTGAGTTCAAGGTTTTAGGTCAGGCACTAATGATTTAAATTTAAATGAAATGGCAAATCTTGGATATTTAAGTGTTTCCGACTATTTTATATGTTTCTTCTGCTGAGGCAAATTGTATTAAACTAACTAAAATTAATATGTAAACCCAACATTATCACATTCTTTATTTGGTTAACAAAAACATGCTATATGGAAGCGACTTTAAGGGCTCCTGAGCAGTGCAACTGTCTAAGTGTTTACCCCAGCATCTGAAAATTTTGAGTTCTAAACTCCAGTGATGCCACAACAAGGCCCAAAAAGAGAAAATACCTAGTGGCAGTGTGTACTGGAGTGAGTCCTAGGTTTGGGGGGGCGGGTTTAGAAGTATATATTTATTCTCTCTTTTTTACCTAACTGAGATGCAGAACTTTTGTGAGTCACGAGGAGTTTTTCACTAAACTAAGACGTTTGAGTTGAGTGAACTTTAGTGTCCTCAAGTTTAGTTAACTCAAGAAAAGCTGTGTAATAAGTTGACTTATAATTCTTAGTTGAGATGAATTTTCAGTGTGAGGTTAAAGTACTGAAATTTCACCATAGGGGAGTCCAAGTATGATGCTGTCAGATTTCTAAATGAGTCAGTAGGGGTTGTTATGGTTTAATGGTTATTCACGGTGTATTTGTCACCTTTGTTGTCTTTTCACTGCTCATGAGTTTGAATATCTGCTGATGCAAAGAAATACAAGTTTTGTTTACTTCTGCTCCATATGTTTGTTGATGTTTATGTGTTTGTTTCAGTAAAGTGGCTATTATGTTTCCATTTCAGTCAGTGGTTCTATGTGAAGAAGGCTGTGTTTGAGTTTTTCACTGGAAAATGGGACTTTGTTAAGGTTGTTATCCCTGCCTTGTTTCTTGCAGGCTCTCAGGTTCATGTGGAGGCACAGCCTTCCTGGGTGACTGCCATGTCATGGGTCCACAGCTCCAGCCCCTTCCCCAGTCAGGGCGCTTCAGGACAGAGCTCAGCTGAGAGCTTGCTGCTGGGACGACTCGATGGTTCCCTTTGCTGGATGGAGGTGTCAGAACAAGGAGGGGGAGGAGGAGTGCAGGTGGAGAGCACAGAACTACCTCACTGCCAAAGGAAAGAAGGTGAGAGTTATTACACAGAGTTCATATTCATTCTTGCCCAAATGATGTCTATCAGTGGAAACCTGCTGGGTGTCTGAAGTTTGTTTCTTTAGCTTTGCACTGGAGCTATGAGGCTAATATATATAACAAGCAATGAAAGTTTATGCCCCACCAATTAGCAAAGTGTAAATCATGTTTAAATCATCACATACAGTGGTGCTTGAAAGTTCATGAACCCTTTTGAATTTTTATATTTCTGCATAAATTTGACCTAAAACTTCATCAGATTCTCACGGTCCTAAAAGTAGATAAAGATAATTAAAATAAACAAATAAGACACAATTATTAGAAATGGTCATTTATTTATTGAGGAATATTTGTCTCATTTGTTTAATCTGAAAATCTGATTTGGATCAAATTTATGCAGACATATAGAAAATTCTAAATGATTTACAAACTTTCAAGCGCCACTGTACTTGTTTCAAACCACGCTGTGTTGTTACGTGATATCATATAGGCTTCCTTAAGTGGTTTCTGGAACTGTATGACCCACTATTATCTATGGAAATTGACAATGGCTCATCGTGTACATTTTAAATAAGTTATCAAAGGGAAATTCCACCCATTTTTCCAAATCTCTGCATGAATCAAATAATGACATGTAAACAAAGTCATACAGAGTGGGGCATTGTAGAGAAACTGATCAGCTCAGATATTCTTTACAATGGAGGAAACAGGAACCAGGGTCATGATGTCTACAGTGCCAATATAGCCATTTTATTTACTATCCGAAATGACCAGTCGACTGATTGAGTTTTTATTTGTAATGCTTGCAATGGTAAAACAGTAGTAAATCCAAAATAATTATGTTTTTTATGTACTATATGCCTTACCTTGCAACACTCTGCATGTACCTCTCTGCCAAAAAATAAGTTTTAGACTAAAACCTTATTCATAACCATTTCATGTAATAGATATCTGTAAGGTAGCTTTAAGGCATTAAACACTGTAAACGCCTGGTTCCTGTCACCATCACTGTGAACCATTCTGACTTTGTCACTCTTAGCTTGTTCTTGGCTATTAAGCTGGGTCTACACCACACCTCTTTTAAAATTCTAAGAGATTTAAAAAGCAAAGAGCATCACACACTTAACGTTGTTAACAGAGTTTCCTGTTATTTTATGAAGACCAGGACTCTAGATGATAAGACAAAAAGAGGGTACAACACACATAACAAGTTTTGGCTACAAAAAGTGCTCAACATCCCAGATCTCCCCCATTTTCACATGATACAAAGCAAGACTAGACATACAAAACTAGACCAGACTTGTGCTTTTATGCATACCTAAGAAGAAAATGCAATCTGGGGATGAATAGGGGGTTAAAACACAGATGTTGCAGTCAAAACTTGAGACATATTTTACTACGCTCTGACTTGAAATTGTAAGGAGAGTGTTTATTTGCATGAATTCAAAAAGCAGCGCCTCACGTGACGGAGTCTATTTATGTATCTTCACCTTTTTCCTCTCTCCAAGTTCTCTCATTGGCTGTTGCTTGAATCACTCATTCAGTTACTTTGCTGACCATCTCACACTACAGGACAACTGAACAGTTAAGTCGTGAAATTTTAGCTAGTACTTTGAAAGTAGTTTGAAAATACCCGAGGGCCTCTGATTTTTCACACTACCAGATCATCCTTTCTGACTGAGCTGTTGGAAGGGACATGGTTAAAATCAGGCTGAAAATTGTGTAGTGTAATCCCAGCTTTCGTTCATAATTTCTCTCTTTCTCTCTCTCTCTCAGCTCCTCAGTGTTTGTCCTGGTACAGTACTGATAGGCCGTTTGCCGTGGGTTACCCTGATGGAAAAATCCTGTTAGCAACAGCTGAGTGCTACGACATGGAGCAACCAGTACTGCTCACTGCTTTCCACGTGCGTAGAGTGCTTCATTCTCCAAAACCCACGCACATCTATGTAAATACAGGGTGATTCAAAAAAGTTAATCTGATTTCAAAATTATTTATTTCACTTGTAAATCATTACAGAACAATGCAGTAAATTGTAAATGGTTTCAAGTGAGCATAAAGTTTATTATGTAATTTTACAAGTGCTCAATATGAACCTACTCCAGCTGTACAGACAACATCAACGCCACAGTCAAATTCATCCCATGCTCGATTGAGCATGTCTGTGTCACTACACTCACGGCTCTTTCAGTGTGATTTCGGAGATTATCCAGTGTTACAGAACCAACGACGAATGCTCTGAGGTGTCTGAGGTGCACAGTTATGACGAATTCACTCTTATTGAAGAATGAAGGGAGCCATCTTTTGGTGACAGTCAGAAACTCTATGACCCCCTCTTTCAGTTGGTATGTGATTGGTTCCTAGGGGCCTCATGGTTGTAAAAATATGGAGCTTTAAAATCGGATGAATATTTTTAATCACGCTGTATATTACCATACACAGAAGAAACATCAGCAGGAAACAAATTTACTGAATATGTTCAACATGGTATACAGCTTATGAATTCATTGTAGATAACAGTTCATGGATAAAGGAAGAGGTGTTTTGTCTAGATATCTATGCTTCTTAGCAGTTACTGAATAATTTACTTTAGTTACTGAGTAATGCATATTAGTTACTGAATAATTTACAGTAGTTACTAATATTTCATCGTAGAACCTGAATAATTCATATTTGTTAATGAATAATTTACAGTAGTTACTAATATTTCATGGTAGTAACTGAATAATCCATATTAGTTACTAAATAATTTTCAGTTGATTCTGAATTATTTATAGTAATTATTGAATATTCAGAGTGGTCACCAAATTATTCATGATAGTTACTGAATAATAAGCCTGCAAGGGATTAACATCTTGTTTTTTTGTGCAGGAAAGTGTGAGTGCTTTACGGTGGGACCCCACGGGTCACCTGCTGCTGTCAGTGGGCCGTTCTGAGGTGGTGAAGATTTGGGGTCGTGTTGGAGGAACATGGGTGATTCTGCACTCCCTGTTCCACACTGGGACGGTTAATGTCGCAGAATGGAGCCCTATGCCTGGCCGAGGGACAGATCCTCGCCTCATGATGGCTGTGTGAGTCCTACATACAGGCACGACACAGAAACTTGGGCTGCATGATACAGACAAAACTCCGTTTTGTGATTATAATACAGTAAAACACATTGTTTAGTGAATGATGAAACATGGTTATAGATCGGTCTATTATTTTTTGTCAAAAAGATTTATGTTGTCACATGAATGCCTTTGTTGATTAAACAAACCCACAGAAACACTCATTTGGAACAGCGATTGGTCAAGAATCTGACAGCACACAGTAAAGGCACAGAATGCTCAGAAATGCTCATCATGATAACAATAAAATATCATCATATTGCCCACCCATATTGTTCTATTAGAGAGTTAATGATTTTAGTGTAAGACATTAAAGTCCTGATTTAACCCATTATTGAATATTATGTGAAATTATTATTGAGAATGTAGCTAATATTGCGTACTAAACCACCAATGATTGACTGGTTCTACATTAGTTTTGTTCTTTTTAGTTTTGTTTTTGATTTTGTGCTAAACCAAAGGGAAGCATGTGAAGTCACTGTATTTCACTTAAGGTGTTTGTTTTCTTGTCTTGTTTCCTGTCAGTGGGTGCCAAAATGGTCTCTTGTATGTGTGGACTGTTCCACAAGGGGGCACTAGCGTCTCAGTGCCCAATTTCCTTGGTGCTTCTACCAGCCAGGAGAGGAGTGCTGTGGTCAAGGTCAGAGAGACCAGAGAGAGAGGATTTTTTACTTTTTGTATAGCTTTGCCTCCAGCATCTACCTCACTCTTTCAAATGCCTTTTCTCTTTTTTGCACTATTTTAGTGGGTTACTCAGAGGACTAGGCTTTGAGTGTATTAACTCATTTTTTTGTTTTTCTACAGTTTGTAATTGTAATTTGTTTAATTCATTTGTTTTACTTTCCATTTAAACTGTAGTGTTTTAGTTTTCTGAAAATTAGCTTAATTTTTACTTGTAAAAAATTAAAATGAAAAGTCTTTTGTAAATGATTATTATGATTAATAGTAGTGTTAATATCAGTATTATTATTATTGGTAGTAGTGATAGTAGTGGTAATAAAAGGGGTGTGTGTGTGTGTATTTGTTCCCACAGCGTGGCAATGCCAAGTGTGTGTTCAGACTGAGTGGACACATCACAGCAATAAAGACGCTGTCCTTTTGTCCCAGTGGACTAGCACTCATCTCCGGAGGAATCGGAGGCCTGCTCAATATCTGGTCTCTGAGAGTGAGTTTCTCTTCTCTTTCTTCCTCTGAATAGCAAATTGAGGTTTTTCTGACTCTCTGACCCCCCTCCTTTTGTCTGTTTATAATTTTTTTTAAGGATGGTTCAGTCCTGCAAACTGTGGTTACAGGACTAGGCTCTGTTGTCTGTACCAGTTGGATACCTCATGTGGGTGTTGCTACCTGTTCTGGGAGGTCCAAGGTAAGAACATAGTAGTTCAGGCAGTAGTTATAAGACTGAATGAATTAACTGATATAAAAAAAATACCATTACCATTGATTGTCATGACAGATGTTTGATGTCATGACAGTTAAAAATTAGCATGTGACAACAACATATGGTATCTCCCATGACAGGTTTATGGCATGTTTATGTCATTGTCATGTAGCAGGGTTCAAGTAAAGTGTTACTGAAAGTGTATTAATGCCAAAGGAAATTAGGAGTTTACAGCAGCAAAATGAACTTTGCAAATCAATTCTGAGAAGCTATAATATTTGTAGAGCTTAATATGAGACTGGGGTTTACAAATGTGTGCTTGAATGTGAATGAACACGTACATAAGATATAATCTGTGTCCGTGACGTTTTTAAAAATGTGAATATCATACAGATGTATTGTTACTAAAAACATTGCCTCCTCAAAATTGTTGCTCAGATCCATGATTTTACTGTTTCCTATCAGGATGTGTTGCTGATTCGCTGCAGTCCAGACTGGATCACTCAGAACCACATCCTGGCCTCCTGCCGCACTGTGCTACGCACACAGGGCATTCTGGGATTGAACCGCGCCCCCTGCATGGCCGTCTTCTTGGAGCGGCTCCCAGTTCTACTACAGGAACAGTACAACTATGAAAGGGTGAGCAAAAAACGCCTTTATAGATAACTTAAACAGCCAAAACACTGTTGTTGTCACCTTGGCTGTTTTGCCAAGATAACAGCCAAGATATCTCTGGTGTTTGAAGTTATTATTATTGTTATCTATAAAAATTGAGGAAAGTAAATTGCATAGCTAAAAACAACAGAAGCAGCAATTTAGAAGCCTGAAATTTGTATTTTTGGCCCACTTAAGTGATTTTATAGATTACAGTATCTCATACAGTGTTGGCAACCAGCAAGTCTATTTGAGATTACGTAATAATCTGACAATTTAAGACGTGTGTGTGATAATTTAGGAATGAAATTTGCACAGTTCACCAGTTGGTGGGGTTGTAAGCTTCTGGTACTTCTTGGCTGCAGTAGCCTTGTAGCTCTAGTGCAAACTATAAAAGGAAAAAAAAATGTGATAATTGTGGAAGTTTGTTTTCCCACAGTTGTTTCTGCATTTTAGTGGCTATAGATTTGCAGCATTTGTTACTTTTAGGACATCTCAGGTTAAAAAGCTGCCTTGCAAATTCCTGCTTGAGGATTCAGTACTTAAAAACTATTCATCTGGAGAAGGTTCATATATCAAAATATGAATAGCAAATATAATTGTATAAAATGATGGAATGGTACACTCTCACCAAAAGCTTGTGTTGGTAGCTAGTAGTTAGTTTGGCTATGATATATCTGCTTTCTGTACATTGCAGTATTCTGCCTCATACAGGAATGACTTGGATCTGCCCCAGACTTTGCACAGGTTCCCACCGGTGAATTGGAAGTGAGAGTTGGAGGAGTGGGCTCTCCTCCAAAACATCTCCAGTGCCAGCTCTACATATAGCTAAACTATTAACAACGTGTTAGTGTACAAATTGAATCTGGCTGTTTCTGCACTGAGAAATGCCGGTCGGCTCATGGAAATGAACTGGATCAATCTGGGTTCAACCAGCAGCTATTTTAATTTGAATGATCCTTTGTCCCAAAGACTCTAGTAATGGGCTAATCACAATTTACCCACATATACATGGGTTACACAGAATTAATTATTTTTCAAGATTTTTTCATTCTGAAGCCATTAGAAAATGAAAATTAGCTGCATTCATTTTTCCCATTTTTTAACCTGCTTTGGTTTACCTTCCTAGCAGAAGCATGTGGACAAAAAGCATAGAAACATAACTCACATATACAAGTCCATATTTCTAAACATACTTATAAACGTAAAAAATATTTATGCTCTTGTGTGGGCCCTTGCAGGAATCATAAGGTTATTTTCAAAAATCGTTGACTGTTGATTGCCGAGATTGCTGTAGCCAACACTCAATACCGTGAATGTCCTAGCTACAGTATTTTTAAGTTCAGTGCTTAGCACTACAGCCAAAACAGCACACACCGATTTGATTGATCACACATGTTTAAGCTATGTTTGGGTGATTTAATGATATTTGCAGTGTTGAAAGTCTTGACTTATGTCTGAGTGGCATCTGTACTTAATGCGCATGCATGATTAAGTGTGTGACGTAAGCTGTCCATCAGTCAAACTCAGTTAAAACTACTTATTTTTGGAGGATTTACAAAAAGCACAATGCACAAGTTTGACTTCAACAAATGCAGTCACCAAATTCACAGCAAAGGAAATTGTTTTCACACAGTGGCAAACTTTCTTTCAAAGGTATTTAAAGAAGCACTCTGTTACTTGGTAAAATTGAAAGAGGTAGCATTGCTGAGTTTGGAGAAAAAAAAACTTGCTGAAGGATGTGTGTGTGTGTGTGTGTGTGTGTGTGTGTGTGTGTGTGTGTGTGTGTGCTGCAATTACACATTTCCACCAGAGAGGTCCCCAAATCCCCAAAAATTTACATAGTGCAGCTTTAATTGAATAGTATTCCAGTATCCTTATCAGAAAATATGTAATATTGGTTTTAGTAAAAATGTAATTTAAAGTCATATTAAAACAGTCTTTGAAAAGTGACAAATGAAGTTTCGATTTTCCACACCAAAGGAAACCGCATTATTTGTAGTTCTCATAGCAGCAAAAACAAAATGAAAGCAGCAACAAAAGCTATTTTCATGTGAAAGCAAAGGGACAGTGGGTCACATTTCAGTGGGAAATGCACTGCCTGTGTTGTCTGGAGTGTGTGAGAAAGTTAGTTCTGAGTGTTTGTCTTGACTCTAGCCTATGGTAGTAGTATAACCCATAGTAGTTTGTCTAGAAACACACAAGATAAAGCAATTTGTGACAGAGAAATCAAAAAGTAAATAGCATCTGATATTATTGACATAACTGACTCCGTACCTGTGTATCCCTCTTCAGAGTCATGTGATGGCTGGAGATCAGCTGGTCCACAGCAGCTTCCTGCAGAGCCTGGCCTCTCTGGCCGTTGGGCTGTCCCTGGACCAGCTGCTGAGTCGCCAGCCTGTAGCTCCTCACCACGTTGGATCAAGCGCTGGGTCAGATACCCTCAGTGTTCCCTCTGCCCAGTCTGAATGGAACTGGCTGTCCACCTTTTCCATCACAGTGAAGAGCGCAGAGGCTTTTGCCCGTGGCACCACCTTCCCCGAGGCCTTCACTATGCCAGAGCTCCAACAGCCCGGGGCCACTGACAGTGCCAGGGCTTTGGTAAGTGATGGCTAAATAGACACCAAACCCAGAAATGTTGACATGGAAAATGATCATGGTGGCCATTCTTCATTAGCTTTCATCAGTTATTAACCACATCAGCTTTCTGGGTGAAGCGCTCTGCCTGTCAAATATTTCTATATCAGTATTTTGAACAGTGCTGTCCTGGCAGTAATGCACATTGGATTCAACTTGTTGTGATGTCAGCACTCAAACCTTTCAGATGTTTGAGCCACCTTTGGACCAAATTAGTTTCAGTATGGGCTTTAAACAGCACTTTGGACAAGAAAACTGTCAAATCAGTATTTAGGCAAAACCTGCTTTTCATACCAAGGAAGACACTTTGATGGACATGAGGCTGTGTACTGAAGCTAAATATACCCAAAGGCAAAACCTTTACACACCACTAAAGAGTAATTGCAAGAAAATTCAAATTTCAAAAGAAATGAAGGTGTCTCTAAACTTTTGCTGTGGATTGTATTGGTTGCTGGGTGAAATTTGTCAATCCACTTTGTTGAAAGACTGATGTCAGTCCTCCAAACTAATCAGTCTCTTTCTGTTTTATTTCACCAAAGGCTATGTGGCTGTAAAAGTTAAATTCAACCCACTCTGTATTTTGATTTGCAGGACAACAGCAAGTGGAGCTTTATGATGGATGAGCAGCTCATGTTGTGGGCCACCAGCAGACCCGAGGTGTGTAGTGGTCTCTCATTCTTCATTGTCAGTAAGAGCCCTCCTCAAACAAGGCTAGTGCTTTGGCAGCGTTCCATCACTAACCACTCACATGCTCCCACTGTTCAGAGTTATAAATGCTCTCTCTCCATACCACTCAGCCTCAGGCAGGCCACACACTGACCTACTTGGTGGACATTTGAAATGTTGTTGTTTTCCTTTCACAGAGATTTTAGAGTAGTTGGATTAGGCCTGGGCATTAAAACATTAATGATAATTATCAATGTTGAATATTTTTCATATATCAATAATGTACATTTGAAGTATTTTCAGTAAAATGATTATACTGTTATGTCCCTTACTCTGGAACATGCTTTAATTTTGAACAATTATGGCTTCAGTACATTTGGAGGCTCTGTGTATCTTTTATTAAAAGGGGAAGGAAAAGTCTAGACATTCCCTCACAACAGCACAAAACAGTGGGGCAGTTAGCAGAGTTTCCCCGCAAGCTGTTAATAAAATATGTCTTGAACACATGCCCTCTACAGTGCAGAGCAAAAATAATAAGTCTTTTATTTTCTTTAAGGTTTAAAGGTTTAAAGGTTTAAAATTTATAGCATTAGGAAATGCACATAGTATTTATCAGTAATTATAGCTGTTGAGTGAAAAATATATGATGATAAGATTTTTGGCTGTATCACCCAGCCCTAGGATGTGTACACTTTGTGGCATCAGAAAAATCCTCTGCTAATGATTCAGTGACTTGATTTGGTCTATTTTTTGACCATTTGTGCTTATAAGTTGTTGGTGAAAGGTTTTAATCTTGTTCGCTTAAAACAGGGAAAAACATGTGAACCATTCCACTCATTTTTTGCATTATCAGTTATTCTGTTTTCTGTTTTATTTTGTACCACCTTTTATATTAAAAAGCCAAACATGCTTTATTTACATTTTAGTGACCCCTTTATTTTAAAAACAAGGCATCAAACAGTGCCATACCATGCTTATGATTTTTACAAAAATGTCACATAAATTGTTTTTCGTTGCAAGGGCTGGATTGGTAAGTGTATTTGTGGGTGTGTGTGCAGGATTGGCAGCAGGGTGGGAAGAGTGAAGTGTTCCTGTGGGGTAACGGACGACATGGGCAGCTTGCAGACGCTGGTACCAATGTTTCTGTGCCCACCCTCGCCCCCTCCCTATCTCAGACACAACAGGTACGAGGCAGTATCTCTCAAATATGCACAATCCCAGTGTTTCACAATCACAGTGTTTTTACTGTGTGCTGTGAGCATTCTGAGCAGTCACAGTTCCAGATGAGTGTTTCCGTGGGTGGTGAATCAAGGTATTCCAAAAAAGTGAATAATTTTGGTCAAAATAATGCAGTCCAGTCTTTAACAATGTCTCATTATTGATTCACCAAATTAGTTCTTAATGTATTGCAAGGCATACAGTTGCAATATGTAGCAATATGTAGCAATATTTAGCCCAATTCTTGCAGCCTTAATTTCTGTTCTCTGTTATTTACTGTCGCCACTGTAAAGACGCATATCACAATTTGAAAAATTTACAGTCATATGCAAATTTTGGGTGCCCCTAGTTAAATTACGGGTTTCGTTGATTTTCTAAATGAAAATAAGTTAACACATCCTCTACAGAGAACATGCTTAAATGTGGTGTTTTCTGCATATTTAAGTACACAATTTCTATGTATTTGTTGAGTTTAACATTATGGAAAAAATAGACAAAATTGTAAAAGCTCACAGTTGTTAATTTGTGTTTTGTGCTTTAGGTGGTATGTGGACAGAACTGCACATTTCTGGTGCAGGCTAATGGAACAGTGCTGGCCGTGGGCGAGGGCAGTTATGGCAGACTGGGGCAGGGCAACTCTGATGACCTTTACACACCCACGGTCATCTCTGCACTGCAAGGTGACTTACCCAAAACATACATATACTTAATATTCCAAACACTAACCAAACACTGACCAAATTAACAGTGCTGACTGTATTGAACAGGTTTAATAGCTTCTAATAAAATTCCAGCTCTTCTTTTTAAACATGCAAACCAGGTGCACCTAAAGTTCTTCGTGAACAGCATACACTACCTATAAAATGGCTCAAGACTAAGAGTTTATTATATTATTATATTTATTTATTATAGTAACTATTGTTTGCACTTTAAACTCTACCTCTGCCTTCTGACCTGCAGTTACTGTTAATTTACATACCTGTATACACTTTCTATGCACCTATTGTATTCGTGCTTTTCTATTGTCTTTGCACTGTTGTCTTTTTTTAGCTATGTTTTAATCCATTTTCAGTGCACAGAGAAGTAGCCAAGCAGTATTTCGTTATACTGTACAACCCTGTATTGCTATAATAACAAACCTTGAATGGAATTGAATTAAAGGAATACTTTGTCCAGTCTACACAGTTTGCCCCTCACTCCATATGTAATCGATCATGTAATCGATGTCTGAAGTTTGCTTCTTTACTTTGCACTGCAGCATATTTAGATACTTAACACTGTTCTGCGTTATATATAGCAACATAACTGCACCTTATGTGTTAACTCTGTTGTACAGGCTACATATTACTACAGAATATGTAATAACTTGATGCTGTTCTACAGGATATGTAGAATCTTAACACTGTTTTATAGGTTATGTAGTAATGCAGAGGTGTGCAGACTACATAGTAATTTTCTGTACTGTTCTGCTGCCTTAATAATAATGTAACGCTGTTCTTCTGGTACGTGTGTAGGTAGGTACATAACTGCAGCATATTTAGCTACTTAACAGAGGATATGTAGTAACACTGCGGTATATATAGTAACTTAACTTTGTTGTCTTTCAGGTTATGTAGTAACTCAGCTGGTGACGTCATACGGTTCGGACGGTCACTCTCTGGCTCTGACAGAGACGGGCGAGGTGTTCAGCTGGGGTGACGGGGATTACGGGAAACTGGGCCACGGCAACAGCGAGAGACAGAGACGACCCAAACAGATCGAGGCTCTGCAGGGAGAGGAAGTGGTGCAGGTGAGAATGTGTAGATCCATGTCAGACCACATTAATATGCTGTGGGAGCCACTCTGCCTGTTTCAGATAACCTCAAGGTGGGATAACCATCCACTCTTCTTTTGTTTGTGCATCGTCGTGTCAGCATGTATAATGCACAGTCAGTAAGAATCTACTCCTTTCTTCCTGACAGTCTTCTGTTTTCAAGCCATTACACACCATTTATTTTGAAGTTTCATTTGGACTCCAGCGGAGCTATTGACATTCATCCTAAATGGTACCCTGCTGTTATCCCTCTTTGAATGTCCTTTAGCTCATTACCTTTTGGCATTTTCCAGTGCTGAAATCCTTCACAACTATATATCATATTTTATATATAGCACCTTTCATACATAGAATAGAACTCAATGAAAAACTTAAAAATGAACCTTTGGACCTCAGAAACGTTGAGCATAAAAACAGGCCTAGTGATGAAGAAGGACTATAAATGAAAGTTTATATTATTTTAAAAAAATACATGAAAAATCATGAAAAAAACACAAACTAAGATGAAAAGTTAAAAATGATTTGAAAGGAAATTAATTAAATTAGACATTCAAAAGGTTGAAGTAACATAATTTATACACATTTTTCCAAAAGATTTTCTGCAATTAGAGAGGCTTACAGTGCTTTGAATTGTGTTTTATACATTGTTATCCTGAGCTGTGTTAAGAAAAATAATAAAATAAGAAAAATAAAATTAAATAAAATATCTTGGTCTCAGGTCTACATGAAAGAAGGCTTAAATTAAGAGATTGAGGATTGGAGCCTGAGTGTTGGACATGATTAGTGTGATTAGACACTAACAAATCGCTAGCAAGAGTTCCGAAGCGGTGCTTACACAATGAGATTTGTTACTACCACTGCACTTATCAGGAACTCATTACACTTATCTGGAAAACCGTGAACTGTTGTTATTGTCAGTAAGGACAATGTGCAGTCACTTTCTGTATTTTTCTTAAGTGCTTATTTCTGTCTTGTACCTCTGTTGAGTGTTTGGTTGTGCATATTAATGGGATATTATTGGATGTACATATATATATTTTTAATAAATCTGTTATGACTCAATAAAAAGACCCTTTGAGAGTCTCCTGCCAAAAGATACACACATTCATTATTATTGAAGCTGAACAATGTAAACACTGTCTTTCCCATATATTTTCAGTGCTTGTTCTTCATCATCGCATATACTCATAAATCGTACTTTTCTCTCCTGAAGCTGGCGTGTGGTTTCAAACACTCTGCTGTGGTCACGGCTGACGGGAAACTCTTCACCTTTGGCTGCGGCGATTCTGGGCGCCTAGGTCAAAGGTCAACTTCCAACAAGATGGTGCCGGAGAGGGTCACAGCGCTGGAAGGCTACCACATTGGACAGGCAAGACAGAGAGCCTCTTTAGGGCTAAACAGTATGGACAAATATACAAGTACTGTAATTGTATTGCTGTATATTTCACATGCAATACACTTTACAGTGTAATAAGTAGTAATAGGTGATGTGGTTAAAGATTGACCTGCAATAGTTTGATTAAAAAAATTGACTTTTGTTGGATTACATGAATATTTTGATTCAAAACACCCATAGAGACACTCTGGAACTGTGATTGGTAGGTTGATCACAACACAGTACAGAACACTGTAATTGGTCAGTCTTATTTGCATATTATAGCTTTGTTGATGAAGAACAATGTTTTGGTCCACCGCTTTGAGAAAAGCAAAATATTTTTGTAAAAAATATTGTTTAAATGCCATAACCAGATAACATTTTCACATTTGCTGACCAGATAATGGCTTCTCGGATTCCTTTGGCAGAGCTTTTGGAAAATCAATGAGGCTAACTAGCACTGTCTACTGGACAAAAATCTCGGTGTAAAATGCAGTATACTTCTGGTGAAGCACTCTTGAATGAAAAGCACTGGATTTATGAAACACAAACTGCTTTGTACCTCTTGGTGTCCAATAATGATTGTTGATTATGCTGCTGCTTAAAGGTTTGGAAGCATTTGTAATGTTAATAATTGTGTCTGAATTATATTTTTAGATATTTTATACAATATTTCAAGGGTTTGAAAGCAAGAAGCTATTAAATTATAAATAATAGCTGTAATTATCTATTTATAGTAATTTATTTAAAAATGATCTGACTTGAGATTTTGCCTCAAATAGGAGACTTTACAGTTGTATTGTCTGTAAAAAACGTTTTCACATTGCAGAAAACATGCCGAAGCATTGAGTGCAGAAAAGCCAGCAAATGCAAAGTAGAGGAACCATTGTTTACCCTGCTGTCTGTCACCTTTTATTCAGACTGGATGCTATTTAGATTCTCTCTGTTTGTGTGCAGGTGTCCTGTGGTATTAACCACACTCTGGCTCTGTCGTCAGACGGGATGACCCTCTGGGCATTCGGTGATGGGGACTATGGGAAACTTGGTACAGGGCCTTGTACAGTCAAATGCTATCCTCAGGTACTGCTTATTATCTGATATTAAAGCAATACTTACAGTCAAAATCACATTTACACAGTTGTGCCCTTATCCCAAATGTAGTCAATCCACCAAGACATGTTTGGTGTCTGAAGTTTGTGTAGTTTTGCAATGTAGTTATGGCTAAAGTTGCTAACAAGTAATGAAGCTTATACCTCACTGATTAAAACTGTAACTAAATCTAAACTGTAGTGGAAATGTGGTTTCTGACACTGTATTAAATGAACAGAATAATTTAGATTACTTTTCAATTTGGCATTTTTTAAAGTGAACTATAATTTGTTTATTAATCTGGAACAATGCACAGTAACCAACATAAATTAAATGTGCCTTTTCAAGTGAATTTTTAAAAATAAAAGTCATGTTTAGTCTCTTGCGCATGCAGTTTACTCCATGCTAATTGGTGAATATTAACTTCATTACTTGTTAGGTACATTAGCCTCAAAGCTCCAATGCAAAACTAAAGAAGAAAACCTCAGACATTAAACGTGTCTCTGCTGATTGACTACATTTGGAGCAAGGGGCAAATTCTGAACATTTGATTTTTTTTTTTGCTTTAACGCCTAGAATGTATGTCCTGATTGGTTAACCCTTATAAAAGCCTGTTCTGATTGGACAGTTCTTCTGTCTGTCTGTCTGTCTGTCTGATTGATAGAAAGTGGAGACTCTCTGTAATAAGGGGCTAAAAAAGGTGGGCTGTGGAACTCACTTTTCAGTGGTGCTGGCCAAAGATGGGCATGTCTACACATTCGGCCAAGGTATGTCAAAGGAAAATTCTGGATGCAACGTCCTGCATTATAATAACAAAGCATAGCAGCGCATGTGCTAAGGTCTTTATGTCCTCATGGTTTCATATAAGTCACAATTGGTGATAGACTGCACTGTATTTATACATGTGTTCTGAATGGTATAGACAAATACAATTGGCCTGTGTTATTTTGACCAAAATAATTTACTTTCTTTTATAATATACTTTTCTTGGATTGCAAAACACCCACAGAAACACTCCTTTAGAACTGTTGTTGAACAGGATGATTACAGCACACAGTGAAAACCAGGTGTTTGGTTATATGGCTCTATTGCAAATTGCAGCCCTTGGCTAAATCAATTTTGCAAAGAAGACTAGGAACTTGAGCAGCTCTAGTGAAAATGTGCTTGTGTTCTGTTGTGTTTCCTCAGAGCGTCTGATAGGGCTTCCTGACTCCATGCTGAAAAATCATAACCGGCCACAGATTGTACCTGCTCTGGAGGGCATTTTCATCGAGGACATTGCTGTGGGCTGTGAACACATCCTTGCTCTGTCCAACACTGGAGACGTGTATGCATGGGGCTGCAACTGTGAGGCTCAGGTACAATATCACATACAAGTCTACTCACAGATACATATATCAGATCACTTCTGCGTACACTTCTGCATAGATTGTGGCGAGGTCTTTTAACATGGTTTCAACACTGAATGTGCTTGGTTATTTGAACATACGGACATTCAGGCGCATCTTAGTATTTGTTATTTATAATCAGGTACTAAAATAGACAGAACATGGCACCACTGAAAGTTTCCGTAATGTTTGGCAAACTGTAAGAACTTGAGTTTGTTGGTCCTTGAACAGAGATAACTTACTTCTGGCAAACTCCCCAAACAACTTGTGGTTATATAGGTGGTGTCTGATTGTGGTTTGGGAACCCCAAGACATAAATAATTTCTGAAATTTCCCACACTATGTGTGGGGTCAGTATAGACATACGTCTTCTTCCCAGCAAGCTTTTTCATTATTGCCCTGTTAGTGGAAATGGGCATTTAAAATGTTGGGGCTATTTTCATGTAGCTGATTTGTTGACTTGTGCAGCTCAGCAACTTTTTGTCATACATCATTGCTGTATTCTTTGGTCTTTCTCATATATATATATATATATATATATATATATATATATCTCCCAGTGAAACAGGAAGTCATGAATGACCATTTAAGTGTTCCTTATTCCTCAGGTCAACTTAAAAACATAAAATATGAATGGGAATATGCCTATATTTCAGTCTTAGGAATTTCTAGGGGTGCCAATAATTGTGGCACACATCGATTTAAGAAAAATATTTGTTCATGACCAGATTTATTTTTTTCTTTGAATCATTATACCTTAAATAAAGGTTAGATTTTGGCTATTATTCTATGAAAGACCAAAAAGAATTAGTAATTAAGAATATTTTTTACAGCTCATTTTGCTTTTGATTACCAGGGGAGCCAATATCAATATTAAATATTTTCTTTTTGGGATGTCTGTAAAGATGATTAGAACGCACATTCCTAGTTTCTACACTGAAAAAACAGTGTTGCTGTCCATTACTGCTGTTATTAAGTCTGGTACTGGGATAAAAATGTGCCAGAGAAATCTGTCTCTGGTAGGGTTGTGAGATTTGTTTTGTGTTTATAGTTGGGCCTGGGTCACTCCAGTCCAGTGAAGGAGCCCACACTGGTCACAGCTTTACAAGGAAAAAATATCAGACAGATCTCTGCTGGCCGATGCCACAGTGCTGCGTGGACTACCCCATCGTCATCGAGGACTTCAGGTACACACATGCGCACACAGACTATATAATTGACCATATGTTATTTCTACATATTGTGTATGTTTTATACTGAGTACATACTCATGCATACATGCATTCACCTTTTGGTGAAATTGACTGTTTTGCATGAATCATGCAGGTTTGATGAGTTTTTGTGTTTTGAGGAGGGAGAGAGTCTGTTGCCAACAGAGAGTTCTGAAAGAAACACAGCACAGCAGCAGTTCACAGTCACTATTTATTGTTTTTTAATGCACCAATCAGTGTAGGCCATGCTGATTTCTGTGAAATATAACTGCTCTGAGAGCTTAGCAACCACAAGTGGCAATCACTGGGGTCCAAGCACTAGGTGCCATATGAGGACAGTAGAAGTCAAATGATAGGCACATTTTTTCTAATAGATGTGTGTCTTCAAAGAAGACCATACACACTGACCTTTTGAGCTTGGTGTGGTAAGCAACAAATTTCTAAGTCAAAGTCAGCTTTATTCTTCTCATCACAGATGTATTGAAAGAACAATGAAATGTGGTTTCTCCAGGAAACAGTGCTACATTTATCATAGAACAGCAGCAGATAACAGTGGGGACAGACAGTAAATACTATAAATACAGACAATAGGATGCTTCTAAGCCATCCTCTGGATGGGAGTGGTGTACACAGTCCGTGTGATGGATGAGAAGGATACTTCCTGATGCTTCATGCTTTACTTCTATACCATTTGGTCTAAATGTTTTTAATGGCAGGGAAACTTGACCCAGTGATGGACTGGGCAGTCCGCTGCCTGCTGCAGTGCTTTTTCTGTCTGAGACAGAGCAATTTCCATACGAGACAGTGATGCAGCAGGTCAGAATGCTCTCCCTGATGGTTCTACAGAAGCGGTTGAGGATGAATGTGTGCAGGCCAACGTGCATGCTGTACTGACACACATTAGCATACGCACATAGTCAAATGCACAAAGTTGTGCTCTTGCACTTTTTTATCTTTTCACTTTACAAGCTCAGTTTGTACTATTTATAATCAACAATGCAAAATTAAACTAGTCAGTCTGACGACCACGTACTGCTGCTACATTGCAGCACAGTAACTTCCACCCTTATATTAGGGCTGCAACAAGATTAATCTAATGATTATTACTGTCACCTCTTACCAGTATTACAACTACTTTTCCATTTTAACATCAACAACAACTAATCTGTCGTTTCAACAACTAGTTGACTAATCACTGCAGTCCTATTCTGTGTCCTGTGTGCAGGTTCTGCAGGACTGCAGCTGGGTCTACCCCAGACCATCCCCCCTCAGTACAACGCTCTGAAGGAGTGCAGCCCTGAGGAACTGGGCATACGTCTCCGAGTGCTCTACCACTTCTCTGACCTCATGTACAAGTCCTGGAGGTTGCTCAACCTGGACCCACGCAATCAGGTGTCAAACACGAACTGCAGTTCTAAACTTTGTATTTATGTGTTATATATATATATATATATATACCTCCCTCTGTCTTCATTGTCTCTTTAATGTTCTGATACTTGTTCAGGGGTGAAATGTTGCCTTCAGAGATACACTACTGTTCTAGAATCGCCGTTTCGAATAATGTAAAACCAATTTGGTTGCACATAAATGTAAAAATAATGCAATAACACTTTATAATCCAGTTCATAAATTAAGTCTTTAAACAATAATAATGGACTATACTGTAACATATTACCAATGATTTTAATATGATGCTAGTAGTAATATGAATGATTCCTTTTAGAGTTTTAGACATTTAGAAAACGGTTTGAAAAATGGTGATCAAATATTGTGTAACAACTTGATATTGTTATTTTTAACCTCTTCAACTCCTTGAGACCTCCGGTGGTTACAAAATGCACTTCGTCATATTCTTCATAACTTTTATATTTCATAAGCTACATTCAGAAAGTGAGTGCCATGTGAGAGCTGTAACTGGGTAATGTAATTTTAAAATTCTTATAATAAAAGAAGCTGAAATCACATTTATTTGTCTACTGAAAGTCGACCCATTTTTCCACAAATCTGGGCTATAAACTATAAACAGATGGCGTCTCTTCAGTGATCTACTCTGTAAAAATTATTTTTATAAAATAATACAAAGAGCGTCTAAGATTTTTGGCTTTCAGCAGTAAATTGTAAGCATATAGCATTATGTGCATGATCATAAAACACATTTTCTGTTAATTTGAGGGGAGCTTTTACAAAATAAATAAATATATAATAAAATTAAATCAAAATGTACATTTATCTCATGCAGTTACTGAAAGATTTGCCTTACAATTTGGTCATGTAAATTCAGATGGAAAAACCAAAATATACCCTGGACAGTAAGAGGTTTATAAAAATAATACTCAAAAACTTTAATACCTTCAAAAATCTTAAAATGCCTTCAATGTATAATATTTAAATCTATGTATTGTCTATTATAAAAATAACAAAAATAAAATAGCAAAAAATATTAAAATGACAAGTGATTGCAAACATTTAAACAGTAGTGTACTTAAAAAGAACAGGGGATCTTATAGAGTAGATGAGCAAATCTGCTATACAAAATGTAGGTCTGTCTGAACATTGGATAACAGAATGTATTCTTATTGTATTCCTACTTATTCTCTTATTCTCTCTCCACATGTGCTTTCAACTCTGTGTCCACCTTACTGGCTCTAGTGTTTCAAACATGTGGAGTGTTGGTCTTGTTAAGTGCTGTGCTTTGCTGTCTGCTAAATAATTGATCTGTATTGTCCAGCGACTGACTGTAACCCTGCTGCTTTTTGGCCCATGTCCAGGTGCCTGCATCCCGGTACAGTTCGGGCACAGCCGCCATAGTGCAGGGTCAGCTCAGAGGACTTTTGTCCCCCAAAGTTAACACGCTGCCCCTGATGCGCTCCATCGGCCGCACCATGACCCAGGGCAAGACCTACGGACCACAAATCACTGTTAAAAGAATCTCCACCAGGTGCATTACTGATCAACAGGAAATAAGACATTGTCATATTTCTCAGAATTTTCAGAGAGTGCTGTGTTTACTTGTTTGTTTTGTTTACTGTCTGTCTTGTTCTTGGGATTGTTCAGATTATTTGGATTGTTCTTATTGTGTTCGTCATACTATTGTTATATGTTGTGTTTGTTTTATGTTTTTTCATATCATACATTACAAAATATATTGCAAATAAAATGTTATTCTGATTCTTATTCTGATAAAATCTCTTTTACTTGGTCCTCCCATCCACAGGGGACGCTCGAGCAAGCCCATCTTTGTGCAGATTGCTAAGCAGGTGGTGAATCTGAACCCCACTGAGCTGCGGCTGCCCTCCAGGGCCTGGAAGGTGAAGCTGGTTGGGGAGGGGGCGGATGATGCAGGTGGTGTGTTTGATGACACCATCACTGAAATGTGCCAGGTCAGTCTGACTCTGAACACTTCCACAAATCACTGTAATTACTGTAGAACCTAACTATACACCCTGGACAAAAAATATTCAGTGTCGTGTCTTAAAGTAAATCCACCAGACTCTATCTTTCTCTCCTCTCTCTCTTCTCTCCCTTTCTCTCTCTCAGGAGTTGCAGTCTGGGGTGGTAGATCTACTCATTCACACACCCAACAGTTCTGCAGATGTGGGCAGTAACACAGACAGGTACACTCACTATTCACATGTGCATTCACCCACACATATACTCACTATGTGCACTCTCTGTGTCTCAGTTCAGGTGCTACGTACTGTATTCTGGATTTTTGTTGGCCTAGATTGTATCATCTTAAGTAGTAACGTCTTAAACTGGAACCAAAGGCACATTTTCTACCATTTTTGGCCAAACTTTCCCTAATGAGAAAGAGAAAGTATTTGACTAAAAAAAAAACAAAGGACTACAATGAACTGTCAAAATTGAAGACTTACAGATATTTTTATTGGTAATGAAAATGACATATTGTGATCAAAAACACTTCATGTTCCCTTTGATTTCCTGTGTTGGTCAGCGCAGAAGTGTTCAAACAGTTTGAGAAGCAGTAAATCACCCATGAGGAGCTATTTCAAAGACATTTGAAAATCCAACATCCTACTTGATATGCAGGATACAGCAAAACAGCAAAAGCATAAAGAAAAGCCCCCAATTTTAAAATGACAAAAGAATTCACAAACGACAGTGCCAAGAATGCAAAGATTAACTAAAAATATAGGATTTTGTAGCTCATACTTTAGCCTTCTTACTGTAATCCTTTTACTAAATTTATTTTATGAAAAGTCTTTTTTTGGTTTTGGTTTGTCCAGTGTTTCCTGAATTTCAATTTTTGTTTTCAACAAGAATTTTTATTTGGCTACATAACAAATATCTATAGTTTAACTGTTTTCTCATGACCCTGAGATGAGATCGCTGTTTTTCTGTGACCCTGTGATGTGATTGGCTGTGGCAGGTTCTTGTTGAATCCTGCAGCCATCTCAGATGAGCACATGGTGCAGTTCCATTTCCTGGGCATCCTGATGGCTGTGGCTATCCGCACCAAGAAGCCATTGGACCTGCACCTAGCTCCTTGGGTTTGGAAGCAGCTGTGCTGTATTCCCCTCGGGGGAGCAGACCTGGAGGAAGTGGACCTCCTCACCTACCGTTCACTGCAGGGCATCCTGCACCTGGACGACAGCAGCATCAATGAGGACAACTTCACTGTGGTGAGACACTGGAAGGCTTTGATCAGCGTTGTGCTGGTGTTGGGAGTACTTCTAGGGTGTATGTTGCTAACGTGAAAGTCACTCGCTTAGATCGGTGGTCAGCTATGCTGCTCCTTGCTTCTGGAGAGCTACCTAATCTAAACTTTATAGGGTAGTAGAATTCCAGGAGCAAAATAGATTGACAACTGATTTAAAACATATTTAAAGCTTAATTTATGTGGTATATTTTATGGTATTTTATTTCTTTCTCTGAAATCAGTGAACAGCGGTTGTGTTATTTTATGCGCTAAAAATGAATTCATTTGATATGGATGTTTTCAAGCCTATACACTTTGTTATGGGGTCTTTAAGACAGTGTTAGAAAATAAATAAAAAAAAAATCTATCAAGTAAAATCCTCAGAGATGTGGGGAAAAATTTGCTTCAGCCACTCCTTTCCGTTGTATGGATGCTTTAAAAGGCTGTAATGATCCGTTTGCTTCCCGAAAGCCATGAACAGAGCAACTTCTAAAAATTTTCCCTGTATCTTCCACTTCTAAAACTCTGCGACAGACTGTCTGCAGTAACAGCACTGCTCAGAACTTTAGCATGAATTTGTGGAGCTAAACCGCTGTTGGCTGAAAGGCTGGTCGTATGTAAATACTTTCATGGTTGTGACTTTGACTTTTTTTTGAGAGAATATGTTTAACCCTTGTGTGGTGCTGATGTTTTTGTTACTCAGTGGTCTGGTGGACCCACCACATTATTGTTTTTTAAATCAATACAGCCATAACAATTTATGTAAAAATACCAGATGTTTAAAATATCATAGGTGGCCAGCGTAGGGTTCTCCTTTAGCAGCTGTAGCCAGTCAGCAGCCTGTCCATGTTGTCCACCCTCACACACACGCACACACACACACACACATACGTATACAACATACACACAGAGACGCACACACACTAACAGCATGGCATGTAGGAGGAGAACAGAGTGAAGAACACAGCACCTCCACACTTTTACTCCCTGCAAGTTTACCCCCAACACCACATGTGTAATATAAATGTGTGGGGGGTGAACAGAGTGAAGACACTGAAAATGGGTTATTTAATATGTTCTCCACAGAAAATGAGCAAAGGCCAAGGAATCTGAGGTTGAAGTAATAATAAATCACATCATTTTTTCTTCTGGTAAACATTAAAAATGGGTCTCACAGACCTGAACACCAGGTATATGCATAGTACATATTTGAAAAGATTATCATGATTTCTCATGATATGGGCCCTTTAAAGAGTTAGCAGTTTAACAGTGTTAGACAAAAGTGTTAATTACTTTTTCCAATGCTAACAATACTGAAATACCTAAATACATATAGATCTTTCTCTCTCTCCCCTTCTGCATCTAGATGATCCCTTTGGACTCGTTTGTGGCTCACAGTGCTAATGGGAAGTTGGTGCCGGTGGTCCCGGGTGGGCACAACCTCCCTCTGACCTTTGGTAACAGAAATGAGTATGTGGAGCGGGCACTGGAGTACAGACTGCATGAGATGGACAGACAGGTACAGGTCTTCCCTATTGTGATGTTTGTGTTAAAAGAGAAAAAGCAGATTTACAAAATTTTCTCTTTACCCTAATCAAGACATGTTAACTGTCTAAAGTTTGCTTCTTTAGTTTTGCTCTGGACAAGGCTAGTAATGGAACCTTATGTTCTGCCAATTAGCACTGTAGAAATTAGCATCATTTAATCAGATTTTTTTTGTGAATGCACTGACCTCATGACTGCGTGAATGTAGGTTGCAGCAGTGAGGGAAGGCATGTCTTCCATCATCCCCGTGCCGTTACTCTCTCTGCTAACGGCTCGGCAGCTGGAGCAGCTGGTCTGCGGCCTGCCTGAGGTTTCCGTGGAGATGCTGAAGAAAGTAGTGCGCTACCGTGACATCACCGAGAGCCACCAACTGATTGTCTGGCTTTGGCAAAGCCTTGAGGAGTTCACCAATGAGGAGAGGGTGCTGTTCCTGCGCTTTGTCTCAGGACGCTCCAGGCTGCCGTCCAACCCCGCTGACATCACACAGAAGTTTCAGATCATCAAAGTGGATCGTGTAAGAGTTTTTCAGCATTTATCTGATATTTTTCAGCACCATCACTGTAGAACTCCCATTAAAAGAACAATTCAGAACAATTTGCAGTGACCACAAATGTAGTTGATCAGCCAAGACATGTTTGGTCACTGAAGTTTGCTTCTTTAGTTTTGCACTGGAGCTACAAAGTTGATATAGCTGAAAAGAGTGAATTGCATGCCTAAATTATCTTACTTTTGCATGAAATTCTTAACTAATCTCAAATGGACTTGCTTATGTGGTTTCTGACATCTGAAAAATGGACAAACATAAAACATAAAGCATGTTTTTGGCTAATCAGCTATATTTTTATATGAATTTCTGCCAAGCTTTATCCTTTCAACACAGTTCTGGACCATATTACACTTTCAAGCCCTTTTCACACAAGGAACACTGCATTACTGGAATCCCTTTACTACTAATGTTCAGGCCTTGCATCATTCACGTTTACAGCCCTTAAATGGTATGCACATATTTACCTTTTCCATGAAGGTCTAGTCATGTGGGCTCCTCAGCATGATTAAAAACACCTCCTTCATTTCTGCATTATGTGCAACCCTGAAAACTTAAGTGCTGCAAAAAAGTTCCACTTTGCCAGAGATGCTGCGTCACTTTTTTTTATGCAGTAATAGCAAGTAATTCAGAGTGAATTAATATGAAACGTTCCATTTTAGAGATACTTATAGTTTGAATTGTTCACAGTGGTGATGATAGGAACCAGATGTCTGAAGAGTTTAATGCCTCTAAAGGCTACATTACATAAAGTTATTAAATGAAATGGTTAGAAATATTCTGCCTGATGTAGGTATTGTTTTGAGAGAAGCTTTATCCTAACACATACTTTTTTAATCAGTTTCCTGGTGGAGAGGAACATGCAGGATGTTGTGATTAAATGTTTTTTTCAGGTTTACCTCCATTTTACAATCAACAGTACATATAAAATCTCAGAAGGCATATGTAGGTTCACTGGTCATTTTGAATCCTAATAAAATGGCTATATTTGTGTTGTAGACATCATGACCCCTAGTTCCTATCACCATTTCACGTCAAACCACTCTAAATGACTTTTTTACATCTCAACTATTGAACTATGCAGAATTCTTCAATAAATGGGTGGAATTCCCCTTTAGCACAATTCACCAGCTGAGCTGGACACCGGCTGTCCAGGGCCAGACCTGAAGAACTCTGATTTAGAGGTTTACTTATTTTAGGTGGGGGGTCCAGTAAGTTATGTCTTTTATTCAGATTCAGAGGCTGTAATTTTATTTGCCTAAACAGCTGTCTATTTATTTATTTCCACTCCAGCCTGTGAACGGTCTCCCCACCGCCCAGACGTGTTTTTTCCAGCTGCGTCTGCCTCCCTACACCAGCCAGGCTGTGCTAGCCGAGCGCCTGCGCTACTCCATCCACAACTGCCCCTCCATAGACATGGACAACTACATGCTGTCCCGCAACACGGACCCAGCCGAGGGCTCCGACACCGAGTACTAACCCTCCAGCCCTCAGCTTGGATGCTATTACACGGGGGGAAAAAAGAAAAGCACAAAATGCATTTGGTCTGGTCTGTTTTTGTTTTCTTTTTTTTCAAATCGCCTCTGGCTCCTCTCTTCCTTACTGGTGCAATACAGAAACCACTCACTCCTGCAGTACAGGACAAGAGTGCTGAAGCAATCCACTACTTTATTTATTATTTTTAATTTAATGTCTCTGCTTGGTACAGAATATCTAAAGTCTTGTCTGAGAAGACTGTAAAAAAACAAAAAAGAACTCTCCGAACTAAATCGTTAAAAGCATTAAAAGATCTGTGCCTGGAATGGTTGCTGAGTCAGGTTAGCTTCAGCTAACTGGAAGCGAACTTCTAAAAACTGGGATGAGTCTAACAGGTGAAGTTACGAAAGCATCAGGCAGCTTCCTAATCCCAGTTTACGCCAAAGGCTCCTTTACAGCTGTAACATAAGTTTGTTGCAGCTTCATGTCATTCGGACTTGGTGAGTTTTTTCGATGGGAGCATCGAGAGAGTGTGTTTAAGTACTAGTCAACAAATTGAGGCTTCCCAATACATTGTATCTCGAATGAATGTATACCTGCAAATGCCATGCACATATGCACTCGGATGCATTTTTATTTGCCAAACAGTGTAACTGCTATTGCATTACAGTACTACATATTAGCATTGGATAGAACTTTTGTTGGTTCATTTATTTATTTTCTGTGTGTAGAATTACATGGCGTGAAATGTGTGTTTTTTCTTCAGAGAGAGGTACGTGTGTGTGTGTGTGTGTGTGTGTATGTGTGAGTTTGATACACCTACTGCTCAGCTACAGGTCATTTATTGCGATTATGAGGTATTGGCTTCATGCCCCAGTACTGTAAGTAGATTGTGTTTGGACTGCCATAGGGAAAACCTCTGCTTCTCTGTAGAGGCCTTGATGACTACTGTGTGCCGTGGTTTACAGTATTGCTAATTTATTCTCCTTTTTTGTTCTTTTGTAAAAAAAGAGGCTTTTTCTTGTCGTAAGGGAATATTTGTCTGTGGTCAGTTCCACCGTGGGTGGTGGAGACTGAAGGGGCAGTGGATGTTGTAATGGTTTGCACATCAGACTTGTATGCATTGTGCTTGACTATACAAAAAAAAAATCCCGTTCATGATGATATTAAAAGACTTAGAGCTCCTCTATCATTACAAATTCAATTGTTGGTCTTTTTTTTTGTTTCAGCACAAACCGAAACGTCTGAAAAAGGTTCATACAGACACTTGAAACATTTTCACCGTATACAGCACTGTGCAAAAGAGACCACCCTTCACTTATTTAAATTCCAGTAAAAACTGCCATTAAGTACAAGTTCACTTTTCTTAAGCGTTAAAGGTGATCAGTTTTTGTTAGTATTCAGTATGCCCACGCTTTGCTTTTGTCACAGCTTCCATTTTTGGGGGAGTCTTGCTTTTAGTTTTTCAAAGAAATGTGCAGAGATATTTTTCCACACCTCCAAAGTTCAGTCCTAGAAGTTGGTTGCATTTTCTGGTTCTCACAATCCAAGTAATCTCAAACACCTTCAGTGATATTGAGGTCTGGAATCTAGGATGACCAGTCAATTGTACTGAGAACGGCAGCTTCTTGGTGTGATTTGCGGTACAAATCCATCACAGTTTGATTTAAGTGCATGTGACTGAGTAAGGCCCAATCCCATTTCTTATTGTTAACCCTACTCCTTGTTTTCAAGGGTCAGCTTGCCCCTTGGAACTGAGTTACAATGGGTAGTGGTTGAAATCTTCCTCTGTAAAATGGGACCCTCAAATAAAAGGAACATTACTTCATTAACAGCTACCAGCGCTGCTCTGTAGGCGACCCTGCCAGTCTGCAGTGATAGCAGAGAAGGGAAAAATTCAGCAACCTCACTGCTGGGCTTTAGTTACATTTAGGGAATCATATTACCGTTATGGGACAATTATTTATTATCGCCCACCCCTAAGTTTTTAGTGATATGAAGCTGGAGTCAGCTATTCACCAGCTTCTTGTTTGAAATTTACTGTTCCACCTTAAATGGAACAGCAGTTACATTCTGGCACTTCAGGCATCAGAACTGCTGGACCATTTAAAGTGGAACGGGAAAGTTAGCTACTTACTGAGACATTAGCGTACTGTTAGCGACTTTTTATCTTTGCTATGAAGAAAATGACCATAATACACTGAAATGACATTGAACTAAGACAATACAATGTTTATCATAATTTACGGAGAAAATGCTCACATTTGTGTGTTTCTTTGGTCGCTCATGCGGCCATCTTGCCAGATTTTCGTTTTTTCTCATTACACTCCATTTGGAGTCTCTGAAAAACCTCCGTTTGGATGGCCATGTAGCCCTGACACTTCGCCCTACCCCTCCATCTCAACAAAAATCAGGACACCCTACCCCAGATGTGAACACGCAAAACGGAGGGCTAAGTGGTAGGGGCGAGGGGTGAAATGGGATTGGGCCAGTAAGTGGAACAAGTTGCTATTCTTGTCCAGCATCTTTTAAACTCTGTTAATTTGTTATTGTTTTAAGAAAACAAATCTCTAAACATGGTCACTTTATGTAAGGAAACATGTTCAAGAAATAACTTGTAAGGTTTGCTTTTGAAAATGTAAGGTATTTTAAGGTGAAGTAAGGTAATTTCATTATAAAATGTTGAAATTCACTAAATGCTTCACTGCAGTCAAGCTAATGGCTACTGAAAAGTCATGTATATACTCTCTAAATCTCTCTGCTTTAATCAACCTGTCTTTTTCTTGACGCAACCTGAAGAGGTTATTTGTAATTCTTCAGTAGGTGAGAACACTCCAAGTGGTCTGGGGAGACACCTCTGTTCCCTCTCATTACACACCTCTGAATCCCCAGCTCTGATGCCCTCCAGCACTGATGCTCTGTGTTTAGCCCACGCAATTACTTTAAGGTGCCATAAACAGGAAAACAACGCCCTTTACTCCTGTGTCAAACACTCTTTGTACACGTTTGAACTGTTCTTAAAGGCCAGTTTTGCCTGAGAATTTTAACGATGCTGTAGAAAAAACTAAAATCCACAGACTGGTCTGCTGTGTTTCAACTGAACTGGGAGCAGCTGTTCGAAACTGATTACGGAGTCCAAAATCTAAAATATAATGTTCCACAACATTCACCACTGTAAGTATTTAATCCAACTAGCAGCTGAAATCTGACTCTCATCCTTAAAATAAGGGCTCATCAGGTGTTCTTTAGTAAAGACAAAAACATCACTTTTATTATTTATTTATTTTATTTATTTAATCAGTGTTAATCCTTTTTTTGTGTTTCACTTTTTTGCCTAATTTGTAAAGTCCAGTAACACTTTGACATTCTGGTTTAACATTTTGTTAAAATATAGTGTCGAGTAGACCAAAAGAAATTATCTGAAAATTACTTTAAATTTTCTTCTCCTGTAAAGTCATCATTTTGGCTAGAATTGTCTAGAATCTGGCTAGAATTGTTTTCTACAGTTTTTATTTATTTATTTATTTATTTTTACAATCATTTATTTGCAGCAAATCAAATGGGAATTGGGTGTGTTTTCCTCTGGTAGACTGAGGTAAGTACATGTAAATAGAAGAAAGCAGAAAAAAGTCTTGATGACAATAAAACTTCTGACTGGTGCAATAACAGCTTTAGAGGTCAGCAGTGAGTAATGATTCTTTGATATTCCTTAATAACATCTTTAGAGGGCAATGGTGAGTATTGTTTGTTTATTTGATGTTTGGTAATAACAGCAGTGAATAATTTTATTTATTTAATGTTTGATAACACCTTTAGAGGGCAGCATTGAGTAATGTTTGTTAATAACAAATTTAGAGGGCAGCAGTGAATACTTACATACATCTAAACCGCTTATCCTTCTGGGTCGCGGTGGGGTGCTGGAGCCTATCCCAGCTGTCGTTGGGCGGAAGGCACAGCAGTGAATAATGTTTCTTTATTTAATGACTGTTTATAACATATTTAGAGTGCAAGGATAAGTAAAGTTATTGGATGTTTGTTAAATTACACCTTAGAGGGCAAAAATGAATGTTTATCTCATGTTTAGAATAACAGCAGTGGGTAATGTTTGTTTATCTGATGTTTGGTAACAACCGGAGGTGGGTAATGTTTGTTTATCTGATGTTTAGTAATAAGAGCGGTGAGTGGTGTTTGTTTATCTGATGTTTGGTGTTAACAGTGGTGAGTACTGTTTGTTTATCTGATGTTTGGTAGTAACAGCGGTCAGTAATGTTTGTTTATCTAATGTTTGGTATTAACGGTGAGTACTGTTTGTTTATCTAATGTTTGGTATTAACGGTGAGTACTGTTTGTTTATCTAATGTTTGGTATTAACGGTGAGTGCTGTTTGTTTATCTAATGTTTGGTATTAAACGATAGTACTGTTTGTTTATCTGATGTTTGGTATTAACGGTGAATACTGTTTGTTTATCTAATGTTTGGTATTAAACGATAGTACTGTTTGTTTATCTGATGTTTGGTAGTAACAGCGGTCAGTAATGTTTATTGATTTGTGTGTTGAGCTTGAGCTGTGTTTGTCATGAGATGGGAGCTAAAGACAGCAATCATGGAAAAAATGTATAATAATTATACACAGAAATAACACTGACTGAGTTGCCAGCTTATTTGGTAGAACTAACTCATTGGCCATTTTATCAGAAACACTTAGGCTTACAATATAGGCGAACGATAGACCACTGTAGTCGTGCGTCATTTTGTAGTCCTCTCCATGCCCTTATGCCCATATTAGGAACTCCGGGTCTGAGCTCCATTTCTCTATGGCCAGAATGAATAGGGTTTTTTAAAAAATCGCCTCTATCGCCCCCCTGCGTTAAATAAAAATGTTCAGAACACGATACGTTTTATTGTGTATCGTTTACGTGTACATTTTTCTCCCGAATACCACCAGATCCTCCGAATTACGAGGTCGTTAAACAGTTGAAATATGAATATTGCTACATGTGAGCTAAAGATACTGCACACTGAATTCACGTCATTAGACTGGCAGCCTCCTTAAGCAGGTTATCACAGAGAACTTGTAGAGATAAACCGGCTCTGTTATCACCCCCTGATAAACTGATTTCGGCTCTCAGGATATCCTAATTATTATTGTAATGCTGGTAACATTTTTCTGAGGACGTTTTCTCAGGACACTCGCCAGCTTTTTGTTCGACTTTCCCCGTTCCACCTTAAGTGGTGCAGCAGTCACGTTCTGAACTGCTGCGCCATTTAAGGTGGAACAGAAAAAAAGCCGAACAAGCAGCCGCTGAAAAAGAAGCTGACTTCAGCTTCATGGAGGGTTGAAAGGCCTGATATGAGGAGGTTTCTCCATTTCCGCTTAACAGCTGAGTAACAGTAACTTATTTTTGCTGTTTCATAGAACCGACAGGTCAGTATTTTGTCTCGTTTGCTAATGTTTGTTATAGCTAGTCACAACTGCTGCACCATTTAAGGTGGAACGGGAATATTCAAACAAGAAACTACAAAAAAAAGAAGCTAAATTCAGCCTCGTAGTTTTAACTCGGGTAGTGTTTTGATAAGGAGTTTTATTCAGAATATGCCACCCAGAGGTTTTATTTACGGGTATACCCATAAATATGCGCAACAGTAGAACATCTCGATAAGGTAGCACAGCTCGTCAGAGCAGCGCCACAGCCCGCCTTAGTGTCGTGTAGCTCAGTGGAATCAAGTTGATGCACAGTAGCTTTAGCTCGCTTGTAGCATTATTAGTATTATAGCTCTTTCACGACCTCATAATTCAGAGGATCCAGTGGTGTTCGGGAGAAAAATGTACACAGAACAAAACGTATCGGGTTCTGAACATGTTTATTTAACACAGGGGACGATAGAGGCGATTTTTCGAAAACCCTATTCATTCTGGCCATAGAGAAATGGAGCTTAGACCCGGAGTTCCTAATATGGGCATACCGGGGACTACAGAATGACACACGACTACAGTGGTCTATTACAGACTGTAGCCCATCTGTTGCTGCCCAATTGATCTGCCTGTCAGTGGAAGGAGAACACCATAGGACCACCACTGACCAGAAATTGTTTGGGTGGTGGACCATTCTCAGCACAGCAGTGACACACACATGGTTTGTTTCACACATCTGTGTCACTGCTAGGTAGACCCAAAATATCC